TTGTATTCATTTTATTCCACAATATTCATTTCATATTTGAATATTTTTCATATCAAATAATCATTACCATTGATCATTATCACCGCTCATCATCATCATCATGATTTCAATGTATAATCATTAATATGATGATAATGATAATGGTGTCGCTATATATACACACAAACAGAACATTACATGATTTGGTGGTGACATTAATTCCTGTATTTCTCTATCTCTCACACAGAAAGATATCATCTTTTTGTTCTATTCGATGATGGAATGTATACGTGAATTGTATGAATGATAATGGAAATAGATGGAAAAAGAAAAACAAAAACAAAAATCAAACCGATGATGAGATAATTGAATTCATTAGAAAAAAAAACAAAACAAAACAAAAACGGTCATGTTCTCATCATTCAAACATAGATTCAAGGGAGTGGAGAAAGAGAGAAAGAAAAAATCTTTACAGTAACCGATTTTGAAAAATGATTACTGAATAAATTGCTTGATTGTATTTTCATTCGAATCTAATCTCTTTTTTTTTGAAAACATGAAAAAATCATAATTGATTTTTTTTTGTTCGCAAGTGAAAAATAATAAAAAAACCAGTGACCTGATTCTTACCAGTTCTTTTTCACATGAAACTCAATCAACATCTTTATCTCTATGATGATGATTATTATTATTATTGATGAATCTGCATCAAATTCAACTGACTTCCATCATTATCATCATGATCATCACACACACGCCAATTACACATTTGATCATCATTATTTAACATTTTTTTTCTCTTGATTTATGAAAATCTTTTTTGTTGTTGTTGTTTTAATAAACGGGGAAAGATGAGTAAAAGAAAAATGCCACACACATACTGAATGATTTTTGTATAACGATTAATGGATAACCTACGAAAATGATTAAATTATAAAATCGATTATGAAATTTCTTCATTTTGCATTTTAATTGATGCTTCTGAAATTTTTTTTACCAGTCGATTATGGATGATTCTATGATTTCTAAATCTTTTTTTTTGTTTTTGGTTCAAAATTTTTAAATTTATACTTTATACAAAAAAAATCCAATTTCAATATCCGAATAACATATGTCCGCATAACAAAAGAAAGAAACAGAAAAAAACAAATCATGCAAAACACATTGGAAATTTCTTTGTTAGCATCTCCACTATTTTGACGCCTCAACATTGTTATCCAAATATAATCATTGTTTTTTGGATTCTATTGAATTCTATGAATCGAATCTATCAAGACAGACAGATTGTACAGTAGAAACAAATGAGAAATGATAAACAACAACAGCAGTAGTACCTCAAAATAACAAAATAAACATGAATTCTTTTCGAAATTCTGGTGCGGAAATCATGCAAACAAAAAAAAAACAGAATAAAACAAATTCAAGTCTTTCGAATTATTCTGTATACACTAATCTCCTAAGAGACTTGTCAACATAATCGAAAATGTGTTTTGGTTGTTATTATTGTATAAATAACTTCCCTACACATTTTTTTTTCGTCGTCTCAATTCGTTTTCATACGGCAAAAAAAAAGTCAATAAATTCTACTTATTTTGTTTTGAAAAACAAAGAATAAACGATAAACAAAACAAGAAGCTCAAAATATTTCCACTTTTCTACAGATTCGATTTAGATTGCCAATTTCTTCAGTTTATTATACAGAAATGGTATACAGAATCAATGAACTTTTTTTTCCTCTGGTGTTATTGTTGGTTTGTAAATGTATGAATGTACAAACACAGTACAGAATTCGCAAAGCCAGTCCAACATCTATAACACTGATTCTATTCTGTGAACTAAATGGATTCGTTTCGATAACAAGAATGTGTCATATACTTTTACAACAAAAAATATTCTATACGATATTCTGTTGTTCAAAAACAAAAGCTGTGTTAGAAAAAAAAATAAGTCAAAGAAACTTGTTTCAATCAACCGAAACAAAATTGATGTTTTAGTATAGTAAAGTTTTTAACGTTCGCTTCTCACAAGCTTCTCAAAACAAAAAGTGTCAAGAATAAATTGCTGGCCATTTATCATCACCATCATGTTTTGTTTTTTTTCCTGATATAAATATATAGGTTTCACCAGACTCCAACCAACAAAAAAAAAGTTATAACAACATTTTGGAAATTTTCTTGTTTTCTCCATTGAAAGATTGGAAAACTTTTCCAAAATAATAATTTATTGTTCACAATGTTCAGGCGACAGTTTTTCGTTTGTTTTTTTTGAAAAAGGCAAGTCAAAATGGTTGAAAATTTCAATGTAATTAATTTTTTGAATTTAATTTCCTTTGATTATCATCTTCATTTGATCTGAATATCGATACATTGTAACCACAGACACACACACACATGAAAAACAACATTGACACGCGACAGATCTTTGTGAAATTCAAAGAAAAAAACAATTAAATTCTCTATCCAAGATCATAAAATCTCGTTTTTCGTTTCTTTCTTTACAAAAAAACCACATCATCATTTTTTGAAGTTAAGAGGAATTTTATTGCTTTAAAAAAACAAGAAAAAGTTTATCAATCATTTAATGATTGCCTCTAGTTTCACATTTGTATCGTGTAAGGTATTTTTAGCGAAAAAAAACAAAAATTTAATGAAATTTAATTTAATTACCAAGATTTTAAAATTATTATTACTTTTAAATCATACTAATGCAATCAATCAATCAATCAAGATGATAATGATGTTGATGATGATGATGATTCATTTACAACTGTTTTAAATTTGCATTTTTTTTGAATTGGGTGTGTGTAATGATGACATTCATGTCGGTGATAATAAATTGGAAAAAAAGTTCCATGTCATGATTCCTAGATTGATTGAACAGAATTTTCTTCTTTTTCAAATCGATTGGTCCCCTTTTTTGCGGAAAAAAAATATCTCGGTATCTTGGCTCTCTCGCTGTCTGATAATCGATAGCGCCTGTTCAATCAATGATTGATCCTTAGTTGTTCACATTATCTTCATTTTTCCTCCCCCTCACACACATAATAAACATATAGTGAAAAAGATATATATAGAGAGAGATAGAGATTGAGAGATGTTGTCGACGAGATGCGAACAATTTGCGCCAATCACTATGATCAGAAAATATTACTTTAGATTAGATTCAACTAAATTGTGATTTGAACAATAACAAGATCCTGGTTTGATGATGATGATGATGATCATCATCATCATCATGGAAAACGAATAACATCCCGATAACAAAAACAAGAACAAGAGAAGAAAAAAAAATCAGCAGCCGCATCACACAATGGCAGCAGCTTGCAGTTGTTGTATGCGCGAAATATATGTTTCTTCATCATCATCATCATCAGTTTTTTTCCTCTGGTTTTTTTTTGTTCCCGAAGCTGTTGATGGTAAAGGCAGTCTTCATGATACATCATATTGTATCATGTGTTGTTGTTCCCCCCAGTCCAAATAAAACTAAAATCCAACATCCTTTAATGTAGGATGTGAACACAGGACATAAATGTGTGAATGTTATATTTTTTTTTGCAGTGTGTGAGGGGGCGGAAGCCATTCAGCCATCCATTCATTCATTCATCCGAATCCAAACAGCAATACACTCTAAATTTTATTAAAAAGAGCTCATCACATACACACACAACGCATACAAATATTTGGCTTACTTTACATTTCCATACAAAAAAAAGTCCAGCCTTAAAACAGGCGCGTCCAAACAAGTTGATTTCACCCAATCACAATCACAATATAATAAATTTTTTTTTTCTCATATAACTAACTAACTAACTGAAAAGAGAGAATCATCATCTATAGCTGTGAAAAAAATAAAAACATTTGATATCAATACAAAGCATCCCAATTTCACCATGATCATCATCAACTTCTTATGGGTGTTTTTTTTCGTTATTCTAAACACAAAAAAACTGAAAGAGACATGGAGAGAATCATCATCTTTTTTCTAGTTTTGGTTGGTTGGTTGGCTGTTTTTGTATTAAAGTTTCACACACACACACACACACTATGAATATAATTTTTTTTTCTTCTCACCTCTACTTACCAACTCGTCGCTTCTTCAACAAAAAAAAAATTTTCTCCTTGCTTGCAATCTATCTCTCTTTGTGTGTGTTCCAAATGCGCTACGCATCTGATTGATCTAGAGCAGAAACAAAAAATACTAATAATGGAATGAGCGATCCATAATCGACTTTGGGGCCTTTGCTTGAACAAAGAAAAACATCAAACTTTTATCTCAATGTGATTCATGTGATTCAAGCAAAAGAAAAAAAAAACTAAAATTATTCATTTTGATAAGTCATCGCTTCGATTGATTTGATAAAGAAAAGAAAAGTGTGGGTGTGTATGGTGCCGAATATTTGTTTTTTTTTTTGTTAAAAAAAATTACATAACAGCTATACCCTGAAAGTTCATTTCGATGATCATCACAGATGTTTTTGGTGTTATCTTTAAGTCAATTTTTTTTTTACTTTGGATTTCAAATAAATGAATTTTGTTGTTGTTGTTCCTGTTATTTGGTGATGATTTTAAACAAATGGCTATATGCTACAACAGCAGCAGCTATCCAATCTCTTTTTATCACTTTACTGTTTATCAATTGAAAATGTTCAAAACTAGCTAAAAAATTTCTATCCTACGAAATTGTTGAGAGTGAGAAAAATAGGTGGGATCAACATCGTGACTTTTTGTATCACACACACACTTTTACACATATCGACTCTCTATTTTCGTTGTTGTTGTTGTCGACCATATATACAGATGATGATGATGATGATGACAGCAATGATGATGATGACTACAACAACAACAACGACGACGACGACTACGACGAATATTTGTTAGTATATCATTATAATGATCATCATTATTCGATGTTACATCGGTCGAAACACTGAACACTGAAACATTTTTTTTTTTTTGGTTTTGAACATTGAAATTGAATCAAATTTTTGGTTGATTTTGTTTGTTTGTACAGGAAATGAATTGAAAATCAATATCGGTGTTTGTTTGTTTGTGTGAACTGTGATCAAATTTTGAATCTTTTTTTCAATTAATCAATCAATCAATCAAAAAAAAAGAACTAAATTATTGTGCAATCATTATTCTTTAATTATTCAAATTAATTAATTGACGACGAAGAAGAAGAAAAGAAAAGAAAATTCACTAATCAAAGGTATGTCTTATGTTTGTGTGTGTGTGTTTGTATCTGGATTTTGTCGGATGAATAGAAAAAATAGTTTTCAATCCATTCACCATTGTGATGAATAAAGTCATTTTAATTATACAAACATTGTTTGTTTGTTTTTGTATATCCATAATGAGCTAATTTTTTATTCCATTAATTAATTGAAAAACATTAATCTTGTTCGGGTTTTTTTTTCTTTTTGCCTGTCAAATGGAAAATCCTCTTTGTTTTTTAACTCTTCTTTTCTATGATATTCCTTAATTTGAGTTTTTCTTTCCACCAACAAGCAAAGCAAAAAAGGTCATCATTCAGGTCATTTGAATGTTTATAATTAAAAAAAAATTCATTCAATTGGCACGCGTTTAACCATATTTCAACATATGTTTATTTTTGAAATTAAACCAATCAAAAAACATTTGTTTTAGTTCATAATTGTTTAATATTGTCTTTTTATATTGCTAATGTCCATATGATTATAATTTGTTTTGGTAAATTTTTCGGTAAATCAATTTGCGGTTTATTTTTTCATTTATATTTGTATCCTAATGACAAAAATTATCAACTAAATTAGTGATCAGATTGGTCTTCAGAAATAATTTTCAGGTTTATTTAGTCAAATAGAATATTGAAATAGTAAAACATTCGAAAAATTATCCGTATCATCATCATTATAATTATAACCATATGACCGTATTGAATTCTTTGAGTTTATTGTTTCATTTTTTTTAATATTGAAAAATGTGCAAAACATATGATACGATTCATAATTAATAACCATTTTTGTTTCGTTTCAAAAAAAAACTTAGTCTATTTCAAACAAAATCAATCATCAATGGTCAATCCAAGCGTTAAAAATTTAACTAAACAATCTTCATTGAATCGTCATTCAAATAATCATTATTATCATAAACAACAACAACAACAACAACAATCATTGACAATGTCGACAAAAGCAAAACATTTTTCCATTGATTCATTAATCAGTAATAAAGATGCTGATTTAAATAAAGATAATTCAACAACATCGGATACAATGACAAATATCAGACGTCAAATAAATAATTCATCACGTTATAATGATCATAATCAAACATTATTCAATGGTCATAATCATCATCAATGGATTGATAATAATACATCCAATAATACAATTAATCAACGTAAACGTTCCATTGATTTTGAACAAAAATATCGTCCAACAAAAACATTGAAATCAACAATGACGAAACGTTTGATTGATGATTATCATCAACATAATATTAATATTGAAGATAATGACGATGATGATGATGATGATGATGATGAAGAAATCAATGTTGATGATGTTGTTGATATTGAATCTAATGGTTCAAGTCATGATGATGAATGTGTTTCATGTAAATCAGATCCAAATAGTGATCAACCAATTAGTCCAAATTTGGCTGCTACATATCCATATGATCCTTCATCATTATTACCATCAATTGGTTAGTTTTTTTTTGCAATTTTCTTTTTTACTTTTTTTTGTTTGTTCAATTATTTTATTCATTTTTGGATGATTTTTTTTCCCAAAAAAAAGGATTAAAAGGCACAATTCCTGCTGATATGAATCCATTTTTTAATCCAGCACATTTTAATCTAAATCTTCTTCGTGCTGGTAGTCTACCTACTACACATTTATCTCAACTTCATCCAAGTCTAGCACTTCAACAACGTTTGAATGCTGAATTTAATAATTCATTTGCTGATCTCGCTAAATTTGCCAAGATATCACCTTCAGGTTTACCGACATCAAATCAACAACAACCGCCGCCACCACCACCATTGTCACTACCATCTTTACCTGTCACATCACAAACATCACCTTCATCAAAAAATTCAAAAAATTTTTCAAAATCAGCATTTTCATTTGTAAATAATTCATCAGATAATAATGATAATTATCATGAAAATCAAACAACAAGACCGGGTCCAAAATCGGGTAATCGTTATTCATCAAACAATAAAGAATCTAAATATTTATCAAATAGTCATCATCGTGATAAAGAATCATCATCAAAAGTATCAAATAATCAATATTCATCATCATCATCATCAACAACATCATCAAATCATCATGGTAAAAGTGGTAAAAATAATTCAAATGATTCAAAAAATAATAATGCAAATAGTAAACCAGAACTTAATCCAGCTTGTTTACCACGTTGTAATTGTGAAGAATTAATGAAAATTGATGCAAAATTAGAAACAAAAGAATTATGGGAAAAATTTCATGAATTAGGTACCGAAATGATTATCACTAAAACTGGTCGAAGGTAAGCATTGATTTTTTTTGGAAAAAATAACTTTCTAAATAAATTAAACAAACAAAAAAATTCATAAAACACGAATGAAAGATAAGACAAATTACAAACACATTTCAATAAAGTGAAACAAAAAAGATAAAGTGAGCAATATTAAAGCCGTCAAAATGTCGCCAATCAAATAATAATAATATATTCGTTCGTTGGTTCATTCGAACAACTTCATCTACGAAAGTAATCTTTATTTCTGTTTTTTTTCTTTCAAGATAGTAAGAGAAGTGAGAGAAAGCTAAAAAAAAGAAATTACCAAAGCAATTACCTGTCGGCGGACACATTATCATTTGTCATTAATTGATGATGATGATGAAGAGTAAAAAAAGGCCGGCCAATTGATTATCATCATCATCATCATCATAATGTTGTTTTGCATGATGGTCCATTTTGTTTTTTTAACCTTATGATCTTTACAATATTCATATATGTTTGTCGTGTGTCGTTCTTATCTTTTCGTTTTTTTTTGTTTTTGACTAAATTCTTATCTCCCCGTTACTACTGCTACCATCATCATCACCATTATGATTATTATGGTCCCGAAAAAAAACTAGTAATAAAATTTGATAAAAACAAGTAAAATTTTGTCGAATTTGAAATATAACACACAGAAGCATTTGCTGAAAAAAAGCCATTGATCGGCCAAATTAATCGGATTTTGTTGGCGTCAAATCAGTTTTTTTTCTGTTCATTTGTTTGTTTGACGCGACATCTTTTTCTCCATAACGATTTTAATCAATGTTTTTTTTATTGATGGACATTCAAACATTGATTATTTGAAATAAGTGTGTTGTGTATATCAACAGACATCAATTATCATCATTATTATTATGGCTATAGGCTACCCTTTTTTTTCCACTTTGTTTTGGTTTTAGTAGAAAAATTTTCCAATTAATTCAATTTGTCAATCAATTTAAATTGATTTATCTTTTTCTTTTTTTTTGGCTGTCTTGATCTTTTGCGAAACTTTTAAACTGATAAACTTTTTTATTTTTATTTTCTCTCTTTTGATTCTAATTCTATTTATTTAAATTCATAGAATGTTTCCAACTTGTCGAGTATCATTTCATAATACTGATCCAATGGCAAGATATGCTGTATTAATGGATATTTTACCGGTTGATAATAAACGTTATCGTTATGCATATCATCGTAGTTCATGGTTAGTTGCTGGTAAAGCTGATGCACCATCACCAATTCGTCTTTATCTTCATCCAGATTCACCATTTACTGGTGAACAATTACGTAAACAAATTGTTTCATTTGAAAAAACTAAATTAACCAATAATGAAATGGATAAAAATGGACATGTAAGTCTTATGGTTTTTTTTGTTTGTTTGAAATCTTATTTACGTTTTTACAATATTGAAAATCAAATTAGATTGTACTGAATTCAATGCATAAATATCAACCACGAATTCATTTGATCAAACTTCGTTTAGATCAACTAACACATCATAGTAGCCAATTGATGATTAATAATCTGGAAAATGAACAATTTCGTACATATATTTTTCCTGAAACAGTTTTCACTGCTGTTACCGCATATCAAAATCAATTGGTAATAATAATGATTTTGTATTTTTTTTTTACTTAGAAACTAATTCTATTTTTTGTTTATTTATAAGATTACCAAATTGAAAATTGATTCAAATCCATTTGCCAAAGGTTTTCGTGATTCCAGTCGGCTTACCGATCTGGAAAGGTATGAAATGTAAGAATTCATTTTGTTTTTTTGTTGTTGAAAAATTTGCTAATTCATTCATTCATTCATTCAATAATAGTGAATCTGTCGAAACATTATTACGGGAACATGCATTTCGACATTCACCATTTCGTGCATTTTTCGGTTCAGATCTATCTCCACATGATCAACAAGCATTGGCAAATGCTGCTGGTATGTTCATCCATTAATGTTTTGTCGATATTTTTTCTTATCTATTTTTTCCTGAACAGCATTAGGACGATTACCATGTGGTCAAGATTTTTTGGCTTTAATGGCTTCACAAGCTGCTGCACTTGCATCATCAGCATGGAAATTTAGTCCAAATGGTCAGACATCTACTTCAACATCGGCATCAACACAACCTCCATCATCATCTTCGCAATTACCACCTCCACCACCACCAACAACAACAACAACAACATCATCCTCATTATCCACATCTTCTATTCAAAATCAAAATCATTCACCTGGCAACAATTCACCAAATACGGATGTTTCACCAAATTCATCTTCTTATTCTTCAGCTATGATGCCAGGTATAAATCTATTGTGAATATTATCATTCCTTTTTAAATTAACACATCATTTTCAGGATCAGCAGCTGAATTTTCTTCAATGATGGCAGTTAATCCTGCATTAGCCAGTTTCTATTTTGGAAATATTCCTCGTAATTTTCTTTCTGGTCAAAATATGCTACATCCTTCACAAATGATGAATTCTACACAGCCAGAATCGACATCATCCTCGACGGAAACATCTAAAGTAAATAATTCTAATGGTAAATGTGGTAGTAAAGTCAGTGGTAAACAATCAAATGCCAATGCTGCTTTGAATTTAACCTGTACGGATGGAATTTCTTCGGCAAATAATCCAAATAACAACATCAATTGTTCAAGTCCATCACTATCGAATTCTTCGAATGAAAGTTCTTCAAATCTGAATCACAATGTACAATCACAAGCAGCAGCTGCTGTTGCTGCTGCATTCTATACACAATTTCCAAGATTCTTTCGCTTGCCAACGGCACCAATTACGCCACCAGGACCGAATATAATAACGACTACGCCTTCACCGCCGCATCATCAAACTCCAGTGTCGAATACAAATGCGACAAATCGATTATCACCGGTTCAAGCTCCTAAAACATCATTTTCATCACCTTTATCGTCTCCAGCGGCACAATTACCACCCCCACCGCCACCATTTACATCATCGCAATCTGATATGAAATCAAATTCATTTACAGATTGTCATAACCGATCATGCCCAAATACACCGCCATCACCATCATCTCCAACATTATCGATGTCACCGATTTCGGATCTATCGAATTCCAGTCGTTTGACTAATGATAAAACAACAAGTATATCTACTTGATTATCTAATTGATTTATTCTCATACACACATTTAAAGATAATTATTTGTAAATGACTATTTAGTAATTATTATTGATGCATACATATCTCCTCCCTGAAAAAAATATTAGTCAAATTTCACTTATCGATGTTTTCTTTCTCATTTCATGTAATCATCATCCGTGAATATCGATTGTTCATATTTTTATTGATTAAACATGATTACTTTGTCTGATTATCTTTAAAATTATAAAGATTCTTATTTGGAACACCAGATGTTGTTGCAGAAATTCTATACCAGTGCTGCCATCCATCTGAAGCCCGACAAAAAAAATTTTAGATACCACCTAATTATAACGGATACTGAGTCGAAATAATTAAAATGTATTATTGATTCGGGTATTTCGATTTTTAAGAAATAAAATTTATTTCGTGAGACCTTTTTTTTTCCTTTTTATGTTTCTTTACAATATTCAATAATTAAATAAGATAGAAATAAATAATTGGAAAATTGATAAATTGTCTGTTCGAAAAATCTGAAGCAATTTCAGATGTGTTCGTGTGTTCGTAAGCGTATGATGTATGTGTGTATACTTGTGTCGTTATTTGATCCAGGTTTTCCGGTATCGACTATCATATATCACATGATTAAAAAGAATAAATTGTATCAATGCGACTGGAATTTTATAAATTTTGATGAAATAAAATACTTTTCATTTGTCAAGAATGTATTTATTCGTTAATGATGTGCATGATGTTTGATGTTCATTGATTTAAATTTGGAGATTGTTTTTCAGATTTTATCTGATTTGATTGATCTTGATTAGGTCCCACTCCTGATCCGTTTCCCGATGAAACATTCGAATTGTTCGGAATATTTCCGGCATTCGAATTCGATGAACTATTGCCATTGTTTGGTCCATTCGGTGGCCATGAAGGTGGACCACCACTTCCACCACCACCGTTTGAACCTGGTCCGATATTAGCTGAATTATTGCCACCATTGTTTGTTGTATTAGTGCCGCCCGATGAGGAGCCTAATGAATTAAAGTCATCGTTATCTTCCAGTCCGTTTGTTCCTGACGCAGCGTTCGGGTCATATTGGTTGTTTTCTGTTTCGAAACAGTGCCGTTTAGAAAGTCTGTTTTTTTGTTTCTTGATTGTCATACCTAATCGAGTGATTAATCGTTCATCCTCGTCACCGAATTCGCCACCCATTAACGATGGCTCGCCAACAACCATGACATCCTTAACAATTTTAAAAACGAGAAAACAAACATTGTTTAGCAGAGATGGATTGAGAAATCATAACAAACTACCTGTGTTGCCAATGTAAACGGAGGTGGAACTGGACTCATATTGTTCTGATTATTTTTCTTTTTGCTATTCGTCGTAGTTCCAGTATTAGTGGACGATTTTCTTTTTCTTCGTTTACTTGGAGGCCGGCTGGTTTCAGGTGGTGCAACCATCCGTTGCCATTTTTGAAACAAGGTCGTTTTGAGACAATCTCTGGGCGATAAGGAATAAGCCTTATGTCTTGACATTAGTTCTTGCATTGGCTCAAGAATGACACAAAGCTAAGATTGAAAATGGAAAAATCATTGATTGTATAGAAAGAATACAATGATTAAATGAACTAACCCGTAGATAATTTAATGTTGAATTGGTCAAGCCTTGTCGGGTGATATTCTTGGTAATTTGATCTAACATGGAAGGATCTTGTTGAGCTTGAAGTGCTAATGATTTGGAAATCAATTCATGGTGGATTCGTGTAGCAAAATGCCATGATTTGATTCGGGGTAATTCATCATAAGTGAATTCCAAAACTAATCGTCCTTCGGTACAGACTAGAACCGATGACTCTTTCATCATCTGTTCTTTCATCATTTCGTTCGATGCATGTGAATAAGGTCCCATCTGATTGAAAAAAATAAAAATAAATTTAAACAATAAAAAAAATTATGTTCAACTAACTTTAAAGTTAGGCTTCCCATGGCTGCTCATTATGGTACACTGATCACAGTCGACTGTGATCGTTGTATTATGAAATGATTCTTTACAATTTCGAAGATTTATTTGAAATTCAGTTACACCTCCTTCGAAAATACTACGGAAATAACGAGGAATCAAAGTTCGACCAATGGCTATGATTACCAATTAGATGAATTGAATTAGATTTTTTAAAAATGAAATTTGATTAAATTAATAATTACTATAGCGTTTAGGGCCATCTTCAAGACAGAATGTGACTGTTAATGTGGCATCATCTTCGAAAAATTCGGAAGCGAAACCATCCCACCATATGTTATCAGAATCCTATCATTTTGTTTGGACGAGACAAACGTCAATTATAGTCAGAAGTAAATGAATGGTAGACAAACCTCATTTCTTTGCTGTAAACGTTTATTCATTTCATGGATTCGATTTTCTGGTTGTCTGATATCGTAGAAAGGCGTATGTCTTCCATGTGGATGTTGTAAATTTGGATTTGGTGGTGGCGGACCTCCAGGATGTTGCATCAAATGTGGTGCATGATGCATAACATGTGGAATTGAATTGGCCCCCGGATTATATGGTCCCATCGTCATTGGTGGAGGACCGTTTTGTGGTATTGGTTGCGGTGGTGGTCCACAAAGCATAGGAGAATGATGTGAAGGATGTGGTGGTGGTGGAACAGGAGGATTATTGTTGTTGTTGTTTATATTGATACCGTTTCCAAGATTATTTGGATGGTTTGGAATACCCTGTTGATATAAATCAAATTATTTATCAGATTTTCGATAACACACTGATTATTCTTACAGGACTGCATGATGGACTTGGACCTCCAGATCTACCAGGTTGCTGTTGTGGTGGTGGTGGGTGTGCACTGATCGGTCCACTAAAATTGTGGTTCACGATAGGCGTTGAACTTCGACGCGACCACTGTTCCAGTTCCAGATTAGATTATAAATTAGATTATTATTATAATTCAATATTTCTGTCGAAAGAATTTACGATCCTCGTAAACTCTTAATCACAAATTTCTTGATATAAAAACAAAAAACAAAATATATTTCAAAATAGGCCAATAGTTTTTATTTTTTTAACCGTTCGATGAATTCGCTAAATAAATTGAATGATTGATTGATCAACACATTTTTGTTGTTTATTTTAGTTCGGAATTCAATTCACGATTGATTTCTATTACACAAACAAAATATAACAGACACACACAATAATGATGATGATGATTTCAAAACCAAGAGAATTTCATTTCCAAAAAGAATCCAACATCAAAAAAAAAATCTATTCCTGTAACAACTTGTGATTCATTTATTCATTCATTCATTTTATTCCGTATATTTTATTTTTTTTTTACACATACACAAAATGATAGATAGACAGATATAAGGATGGTGATGATGTTTATTCAGCCAAAAAAAAAAAAAAAAACACACCAACGAGCGCCACATAATAAAAACGAGCGAAAATAAAATCATTAGTATCATACACACAAAATAGGTGTATAGTGGTGGAATTGGATAATGATAAACAATGGTCGAAGATATCCAAAACAAAAAAATATGGCAAAAGGTAGTAGTATAGTATGAATGATATGAATGTATTTAACGGGCGGAGGGAGTAAGTATGCATCAACAAAATCATCGAAACTATACCACCACCACCACCGCCAAAATCATAAAATACCAGTTTCTCTCTTTTGGTTTGGTTTTTAATATCTGGTTTTTTGGGATTCGGGAATTGATAAAGTTGTGTTCATCATTTGATTCTGATGCTACTACCATTGTGTTTTGTTTTTTTTTTGAATAAATAAATATATCCCATTTGGTTCCCGAATATACCGAAAAAATATGTGAATGATTGGATGCTAGGATCATTGATTGTTTGCTATATCCGTTTTTTGTTTCAAAAAAAATGAATTTCTTCTAACGAATGCTGCTGCCTGGTGGTGATTATTCAATGAATATGGATGGATTCAACATCATCATCATCATGTGAGACACATATTTGCAGAGAAAAAGAGAAAAGAAGGAAAAAAAAGATACATGTAAATATCCATTTGGGAACGAAATTCTATCGGTTCGTTTTTTTTGTTTGGTTTACCCGCGACCAACAACAACGGTATTTATCAGGCTTGTGTGATGAAAAAAAAATTCTACTGAGCATGACTATTTCGAAAAAAAACGTTATCATTATTGATTCTATAGAATGGATATTGAATTGTTTGTAGAATTGTTTTCGAATACAACCATTATTTTGAAAAAATGCGCATGAATCCAACTCTGCTTGGAATGGTTCAATTTTTTTTTGTGAATTTGTGATCCAATAGAATATATCATCTAGAGTTGATGGTTGGTATTTGTATAGTTTATTTTGGCTAAACAACCAACCAAACTTACGACGACGACAACAACAACAACAAATTCAATTGAATATTTTTAATGCCGTACTTTTTCACCATCAAACAGAACAGTATAGTGCACCATTTTCTTTTCTTTTCATTTTTTCATCTACAAAATGTTGACATTCAAAATTTTTTATATTTTCTAGGTTCATATAACCACAGCATCAAGTATAAAGAATGAGAATAACTAAAGTAGAAGTGGAATGGAAAGCAAAAAAATAAATAAAATGAGAGATTTTTTTTCCCGGTTCCATTCGATGTTATGAATATATTCTGCCACTTGATAATTGCCAGAAAATGAAGAAGAAAAAAAAATATTCAAAAAGTTCACAAATGACATAACACAACAAAGAACAGAATTCGAATGGAATTGAAATGAAATTTTAGTATTTTTTTTTCCCATCAAAATTTCATTCGTTTTGTTTGTTTGTTTTTTTTTCAGCGGGCACTTTTTTCATTTATTAATTATTTTTTTTTTGCATTATAATATCTTGTTTTCTTTTTTTTTGAATGTGGATTGAAAATTTTCAATTACAATTACTGATTGAAATATATATTCTCATTTTGTTGTTTTTTCCTGTTTTGTTTGAATGTAATGTAATAATTTTTTTTTTGTTTTGAAAATTTATTATTTTATTCATGAATATAGTTTTAGTTCGTGTATGGGAGTGTTTTTTTGGTTAATGAATGCATAGGCGTATGTTTTCTATTTAGTTTTTTTTATTTTGTTTTGTTATCGTCGTCGTCTTCGTCGTCGTCGTTGTTGTTAATGATGTTATTTCATTCGATTTTGATTAGGTTCAAACTTCTGTCTGCGTGTGTGTTTATGTGTGTTGTATGTATATTTTCGTTTTCGAAAATTAATTAGTACATCGAATAATGAATAACTTTGAAAAATAGATAGACAAAAACGAAAACAAATACTAAACAGAATCAACCAAAAACAAAACAAAAAAAAACAAAAACTAATCAATCAATTACAATGTTAATTATAAATAAAAAATGATAACAAATAGAAAATTTTCATTCCGTTTTTTTTATATTCATCATTCCAAAACACAACAGTGTAGCTATGGCAGCAATGCTATAGTTTTTTTGATTAATTTTATCCTATTTCAAATCAAATCAAATCAATCAATCATTCATTGTTGTTAATTGATAATTACTATTTATCGAATGTGACTATAGGAATCAGGCAAACATCATCATTAAAATAACAAAATTGAAAAAATTTTTGACTAAATTTTTTTTTTAGAAAATAGGTAAAGATGAGAATTGCAAAGAATTTAAATGTTTTTTTTCTTGTTTGTTTGTTTGAAATTCAAAATAACAGCACTTTTCAATGATCATAATGATGATGGTATGAATCAACAACAACAACAACAACAACAATAAGTGATGTTAACAGAATTTTCTTCAATATTGAAATTGAATAAATAAAAAAAAACATTTCTAAGGGTTTTTCAATTTTTTTTTCTATATATTGTATATAAATTGTTGTTGTTGTTTATAAATATCTTTAGGCGAAATAATTTTTTTGCAATTGTAATCATCATTATCATCATAATGATTGATTAATTAATTTAGATTTTATTATTCAATTAATATCATTCAATTGTTTCGATGACCAAATTAATAGGCGATTCTAAAATGTTTTTTTGTTTTTAGTTTGTAGGCTTTTTTGAACTTTTTTTTTGTTGTTGAAATAAAGAAACCAGAAAATAAAATAAAATAAAACACAAACAGAATACATAATTAACAGTTTGCAATTAACGACGATAACTTTTTTTTGTTGGGGGGGGGGTAATATTTTGTAAATGTTTTGTTGTTGTTGTTGTTTGATGTATATAATCAACTGGCAAATTAGGGCAAGAACAGAAAATTAAATCAAATGAATGGAACAAATGAAAAAAAAAACAATCAAAACAAAATCTTTAATTTCATTCATGTTGTTTACTTGATTTACCTAGACAATATTTTAAATATCATCACTTGACATTTGATTTGCTAGTTTTTTGTTTTTGTTTCAGAATCAAATAATCATTTTCATTTCATTTTTTTTATATAAACGTTTCTTTTTTAAATATTTGATCAAGGCTTTGTACCCGCGATTAATTTTTTTTTGGTTACTAAAAAAACATGAAAACTTAGATAAAGAAAATCTTTGAAAATAATATCTAAATTAAATCCAAAAGAATTTCTTGAAATGAAATAAACAAACAAATCAAACAGAAAATAATCAAAATGTAATATGAATTTATAATTATTTAGGCCCACAGAAACAGAAACAAAAAAAAAGAATAATCAGAATTCAAGAAATATCAAGACACAGAATATATTTTGAAAAAGGGAAACAAAACAAAAAAACAAGGTAAGATAATTTATCTTCATGTATTTGTTATTGGTAATGTTGTAATTGTCTGATAATAAAAACATTGAAATAATAATAATAAAGATTTTGTTTTGTTTTGTTTTTGGAACATAGAAAATAATTTATTTTTGTCTGTTTGTATTGGTTGTGTAGGTGTGTAGAAGTCAAGTCGACAATCGATCCATCGATCGATCGTTTACACGAGATTCATCATTTTGTTTTGTTTTGTTTTGTTGGGTTTTATTCTTGGTTGTTTGCATTCTTCTCGTATTAAAATTTAATAATTAAGAACAGAAATATTTTATTATCAAATAATTAAAGAGCAATATGGAGAATTATATTATTTTACTAAGACACGATCGAGAAATATATATTTAGTAGAAATGGAAAAAGAGCATTTGTTGAAAATATTATTTTGTTTGTTTGTTTTCAAAAAAAGAAAAGAAAGAAGAAGATCATCTTGTTCATCTTGTTAAGACATATGAAAATGAAAGAAATAAATTTTTGTTTCCTTCTTCGATTGGAAAACAAAAACAAAAAAAAAAGGAAATTGATCGTTAATTCGATCCTGACTGAATTATGGATAATTTGAAATATAATAATCATTTTCATTGGAAAAAATCTATTTTTTCACTGGATCATCATCATCAATATCATGGTAATTCTCTTGGTTTTCTGGTGATACTTTTCACTCAAACACATACGCACAAACGTTTTAACAAATAATTAATATTGGAAAAAAAACAAACACACATAACATAAATATATTTGGGAGATAGAATATTTTCAAATAAATAAAAAAAAACTGAAGCAAAATCAAAGAATTTTCGTTTGTTTGTTTTTTTCGAAACAATTTTCAATGAACAAAATGGCACTCACTATTCGTTTTCAATGTATTTTTTTGGTTTTTTTTGGTTACTTTCGTGAAGGACCTTGTTTATCATTCATTAAAGCTAATATCTTTTCTTTTCTTTTTTTTGATCAAATAGAAAAATTATCATCATTTTTATCGAAAAAATCTAAATCAAAGAAATGTTATCTATTTTTGTCTGTATTTTGTTTTGTGTTTATGTGTGTGTGTGGGTGTTGTTGGTCAATGTTTGTTTGACACAACCACAAATCCCATTTTGAAAAAGATCAAAGATAGTTATCTAAAAAATTTTACTCGAATCGATAATTTTGGTTTTTCAAATATTTTTTTTTTGGTTTTTTTTTTTGGTTTTAGTTCTACTACGACACACTGTTATATTCAATGTCAAGGAAGAATAATTTGTATTTTGGCAAGGAAGCGATAACAATGAAAAAAAGATGTTGGCCAATGTTGTTGTTGTTGTTGTTGTTGATTGGATGGATAAATATGATGATGGTGTATCCACATTTATTATTGATCAATTATTGAATGGAACATTTTTCTTCAATCTGACCTTTAATATCGCTTACTTGTGTTTCAATTGTATTTTTAAGTTCTGTAATATTATTATGTGTGCGTGTGTGAATTATGTGGGGAAAAAAAGAAGAAATGTTAGAAGAAAAACGAAATTATAAATAATGAAATGATCAAATCAATATATTTTAAAATGAATGTTTTCAATAAAATTATTGACAAAAAAAAAATAAAAAATAAAAAATAAAACTTACTAGTAAAATCATCTTGATTAGCTTGTTCTTGTTCGGCAGCAATTTCTTCGGGTGTTTTCTTTTTCCTATTAATACCAGAATCGGTTGATACACCACCCATTAATGCTTCTTGTTTCTTTTTTAATTCAGCTTCTTTTTCTTCTCTTTTTTTGATACCATACTAAAACGAAAACAACAACAACAATTTTTGGATATTAGATATTTTTCGGAAAGGTTTTTCGATTTTGTTTTGTTGATACGATCAATATATTAGTTTTGTGCAAAAAAAAATATGAAACGAAATGGAAACAAAAATCGAAATAAAAGAAATAAAATTCAAATGAAAAATGCAAAATGGCGAATAAAAATTTGTCAAAAATTTGTTAAGAAAACGAAAAAATGAAAAAGAAAAATTTTACCTTGTCACGAATTCCTTGTCGCATTCCTTCTCGTTCTTCTTCCATTTTTCGATGTTTTTCCTGTCGTCTTTCTTCAGCTTCACGTAACGCTTCTAAACGTTCACGTTCCAATTGTTCCATTTTTTCTTTTTCCTCAGGCGTTGGGCCATCTCCACCGCCGATTTCTATCATTTTTTTTAAAAAAGGAAAATTTTGTTGTTGTTTTTGAAAGAAAAAAAATGAAATTTCAGTTATTTTAATTAATTCACATTTAAAATTATTTTTTTTGAAAATTTCAGAAGCAAAATTTCCAACAACAACAACAACAAAAACAGAAAACATACCTTTGACGGCGTTCAATTGATCGCCCATCATCTGTTTAGCAATGAAAGCAGCCATTTTTTTAAATTTATTTAAAGATTTTAGATCAAATTGAATATAGTTTTGCTTTTCGGATTGATGTTTTTTTGGAATCTTCTTTGAATCTTGTTGAATTATTTCGTTAGTTTGTTGAATTTGTCGTTTTTTGTTTGTTTGTTTGTTTGAGTGCAATATTAGTGCTGTTAAAGGTGTTGTTATTTAAGTGAAGTGGCTAGTCGATCAATTGTAAATAATTTCAAAAAAATAAATATGGATCTCAATTAACGGATTATCAAAGAAAGTAAAGTGCAAATAAATGAAAATAATATCAATGCATACCTATTTCTTCGGTGAAAAAAGTGTTGAAAAAAATTGGTGAAAATATATATGGTGTATATTTTTTTTTTCAGAGGTGGTGAATTGGTGAATTGGTGAAAGGGTGTGTGTGTGTGAGTGGGTGTGTAGTGTAAATTGTGTGCTATGCTTCTACATGCACACCCAATTTGTGAAATTGTTGATTATTATTTTTTCGTAATGAAAAAAAAACTGAATATCTATAAATATCAATCGTTATCGTTGTGAATGAATGTACTAAATTTTATCGATATTATTATCGTTTTTGTTATTGTTATAAACCGAATGACAATCATGTCAAACCAAAACAAAACAAAATGATGATCAATTAGAATCAATTGTGTATGTGGTATGAAAGAGTTATCAAATGATGATGATTTTTGCGATTATCTTGATAATGATGATAATGATGATGATTATTATTATTATTTTCCAAATAAACAAATAAACAACAATGTCACTTGTGTATAATAATAAGTATCTGCAGAATAAGAATTTTATTATTCTAAAAGTAAGTATGCTATGTATGTTTGGTTGGTTGGTTGGTTGGTCGGTTTATAATGATGACAAACAAACAAACAACAACAACAACAACAAAAAAGTTTGACTGCATTCCATTTGCTTTTGGCTTGATCGACTATTTGGAATATTTGTATGTGAATGAGTATATTTGTGTGTGTGTCTGTGACAACTGGAACTACCACCATTAAAAGAACCATAATTCCAACACATACACTAGGAATCGTTTCTACATTTTCAAACAATTCTGTATGGTAACAACAACAACAACAACAAATAGAAGAAGATCTGTGAAATACACTGTGATAGTAAAATAACCAAACGTTAAAATCATCATCGTCGTCAACTTATCCACATGCAAAGAGTCAAATATATATCGAAGATATATAGTGGAAAAAAATTGACGCATAGAGATGCGCATCATTTAACCATTCACGATGATAATAATATTGATGATGATGATGACAAATATATAATTCTAGAATTTTTTTCTGGTTTGTTGGGTTTCCAATTTCAAATTCTCCATATATATAGAAATGATCCAGCAAAGTATTTGAATTATTTCAAACACCGTATGTTCCAACGCCGATACACACACACACAATCAACCATGATAGACGTTCGTATAAACGTGTACGATTACGTTTACTATATCTATATTTTTTCCACGAAAAAAAATTGATTTCGATTGGCTAAAATAACAAACAAATTATTTGCTGTTAGCATCGATCGGTCAAGGATATATAGAATATAATCAAGTAACGAACCAAATTGAAAAAAAATGTCTACCATATATTTTCATCCATTAACGCTAGATGTCATAGTAACAGGGAGATTTTCAATATCCATCATCAAAAAATCCAAATTCAAAAGAATGGAAATGAAAAATAATGAAAATCAGAATTCAATGTCAATGATATAGGCGGTGCATTTTAGGTTTTTCTTAACCCAAAACCAGAGTGATATTAAATATAAAGAAGAACACATGTGCAATATTCATTTGAGCACAAAATCGATTTTTTTCAATGTAAAATCGATTAGATTTTGTTGTTATTTTTTTTTCTTTGGTTTCCATTCAATTTATTCATTCATTCAGAATATTTTTCTGTTCATACAATAAAAATCAAATATGATAATAAATTGAAGAAAAAAAAATAAATGCAATGCAGGAAAGTTGCCATTTTTTTCTAAATTCACACCACAGTAGCAGAAGAAGATACAAAAATGATTAAAAAACCAGCTTTGGAATCAATAACGAAAGAAAAAAAATAAAAGAAAAAAACGCATCAATCAATCAATTTTCTATTAATTTAATTAAATTTTCTTCAACCTGTCTTTTATTTCTTATTTGCATTTTATATATCATCTTATTGAATGGAATCCGAGGGAAACAAAAATTATGCAAAATGGAAAAAAAAGATTTGATATGAATTTTAGGAAGAAACAAAAAAAATGAAAACATTCAATGTAATTATTCCATTGTTAACAACAACAACAACAAAAAAAAAGAATATCAGAAAAATTTGTTTCATCAAAATTAACATTATCGTCATCATCATCATTCATGTAAAATAATATGCATTTCATTTGATTTTGATTGGCAACAAATTATGGAATCAACAACGAAAAAAAATAGATTGGAATAACATAGATAGATTGTGATTGCGTAACAAAAAAAAAATTGCTGGTAAATGGTGCACATGAATATTATTATTATTATTATTATGATTATGCTGATTTGTCATTTCATTCTTGTTTGCCCTCACTATATATATTTATTGTGTGTGTGTGTGTTGTGCAATTAAATTGAATGGAGTAACAAAATAGGAGATAGAGAGTGAGAAAGGAAGAGAAAAGAATTGATTGAAAATAATGAATCCAATAATGATTTTGATGTTTTTGATATGCATCGATTTTGTGTTTTGTATCGGTATATAATGATAGTGTAAGCAAAAAAAAATTTTTTCTTTCTTTCTTTCTCGAGAAAAACAAAACAAAAAAATCCTTATCATATTATAATTATATTGGTTGTAAGCATGTTGAGCATCCAACGATGATGATGATGATTAGAATCCGATTAGATGAAGCAAAAAAAAAAATGAATGAATTTCGCCATCGATACAAACAAACGGAAACATTTTTTGATTTATTGATGCAAAATACAAAAAGCTCAGATTTTTATTTGTTTTTTTTCTCGAAAAAAAGCAATGTTGTATCAGGATAGAAAAACATGGAATTTTTTTTCTCCGTCTATAAATGATATGTGGGTGTATGGTTTGTTTTTTTTGTTTTATTTGTTTTTTGATTGAATAATTCAATTTATTTTGAAAATTGAATGATAATTGTGTGCCAATTATATTGATTATGTGCGATTGTGTGAGTGAGTGAGTGTATGATATAGAAAAAAAAATGATATAAATTATATATATCAATTTTGGGTGAAAAAGGAAGAAAAAGCTCATTGGAAATTGAATTGGGAAACAAAAAATGTGAAGAAAAAAAAAATTTACGATAAATGATTGAATCGATAATTTAATTGAAAAAAAATGATAATGATGATAATGGTGGAAACAATCGGTATAATTTTCGTTTAATTTAATTTAATTTGATATGATGATGATGACGAGCACCATTAGAAAATTGTTATTGTTGTTGTTGTTTGTTTGTTTGATTGATTGATTTTCTTACATAATTAAACATCTTGATTCAATTGTTGTACGAATATCATTGATACGTTGTTCAATAGTATTTTTTAGTTTAGTAAATTCATCATCATCATCATCATCTTGGCCATTGATCATTGTTGGATCAGCACCATCGATTGATTGTCGATTTTTCATATCATCACTTTGATCAATGCTTGATTGATTTTCTCTCTTTTTGATTTGATACTGATTTTTTTTGTTGAAAAAAAGAAAAAAACAAAAGACGATTTTTCTCAGTTTTAATTTTGAAAAAACTGTCATATTTTCACTGAAATATTATGTAATTACCTTATCACGAATTCCTTTTCGTACTTTTTCTCTTTCCTCTTCCATTTTTCTATGTTTTTCTTTTCGTCGTTCTTCTTGTTCTCTATTGAATTGAAAAAAATGAAAAAATGTAGAAAAAAATGAAATTTCTCAGAAAAAATTTAAGACAAAAAAAAACCAAAGAATATTAATCTATGAGACTAGGGGTTTATTTTGTTCAACGAGCAAAATATACCCACACATCATCATCGAGAAAAAAAATTATAATTGATGAATGTAAAAACAAAAAAAATTCTACTTACTTTAAAGCTTCCAATCTTTCCTGTTCTAATTGTGCAAGTCTTTCTTTTTCTTCAGCACTGAGATTGTCACCGACGCTAATCTCTTCAATAATAATGATAATGAGATTTGAATGAATTTTTTTTCATTTTCGTTTTGTTTGAACAATGTTAATATTGTAAAGATGTTATTATACAAAATACAAACACACACACACAGACAAAATTGAGATAATGAGAAAATAATAATAGGAGAAGAGAAGAAAAGATATCATTTCATTAGCATTACAATAAATTTGATCAAAGAATAAAATAAATTAAAATTTCTATAAGAAATAAAAGAATATATTGAAAAGGTTTTGAAGTGTTTGTTTGTTTTGCTTTTTGTTTGGTGCATAAATTTTTTTTATTGGTACAAAACTAAAACATACCTTTAACAGCTGAAAGCTGATTTCCCATCATTTGTTTTGCAATAAATGCTGCCATTTTTTTTTCTTCAAATAATTGTTGATTGGTTTTTGGAATCCTCAAAAAAAAGTTCCGGAAGTTTACTGTGTTCGGGATATGAAATGAAAAACAAAATTATTATTATTTTTTCAGATAAAATTCCTGTATTTTTTTCTTCTTCAAACTAATCATTATTATTGCATTAAATAATTAATAAGAGAAAAAAATGATATAAACATCCTCATGATGATTAATGTAATAATCAAGGGATCAACAACTGCAGTGAATATAGAAGAAAAAAACACAAACTAACTTTTTTTTGGGCGAAATTTTTCGTTTTCTCAATGGTAAATCAAATGAAAATTATCATTATAATCATTATGATTCTGAGCGTAAATCAACAACTATAGATATAATGGAATTACCGACCAAACAAACAAACAACTAAATCGACTAGACAACAAGAATTATTTCGATATAAGAAACAAACAAACAAACAAAATGAGAAAGTTATGTGGTTCTATGTTTTCGAGAAAAAACTATCGACAGTAATGTTATTGTTCAATAGGATATTAGTGATTATTTAGTAAAGAACTGAAAAAAACTGGGTAGTAGTATTTTTCGTTGTTTATCAATGTTATAGAAGTTTTATAGTTTAGCATCTTTTAATAACAACTCAAAAAAAACAACAACAACAAAAAACTATCAAAAAAGAAAATTAGATTCTAGAAGAAAAGAAAGAGCTAATCATAATAATAATAATGGTACATCAAACAACAAACCTGACAAAAAAATATAAGTAGTGTTCCAAAAACAAAAAAAAAAATTGATGCAATATATTTGATATGAAATGATTTGATATATCAAACACACACACAAACAAACAAGCAAACAAAAAAAAGCTCAGGTTAGAAATAATATAATGTAAAGAAAGATTCGAGTGTGCGATCTCTATAGATTTAGTGTATATTTAGATGATTATGATTATTATGTTGTTGTTGTTGTTGTTGTCGATTCACATGATTACAAGATTTTTATAAATACGATTATTATGTGTGTGTGTTTGTGGGCGGATGGATCGAAAACAATTATAATCATTGAAATAGAAATTCGTTATTGATGATAATGATTGTTGTTTGAAGATTTTTTTTCAAATCAATTTTGTTTCTGTCAGAATTGAAACAAAAAAAAATTTTTTTCGTTATCGTTCAACCTTATGAAAAATCACGTTCATCAAATAAAATTGAATTAAAGAATTTTTTGAAAAAAAATCATGTCATCGTATGAAAAGTTGAAAAACGAATGATAACAACCAAGTAAGCAAGCAAATCATAATTTTTTTTTCAAAAAAAAGGATTCTTAGATTTTGTTTGTTTATTTATATTTTATCTATCTCTCACTATCTCTCTCACTAATATCATTCTGTTATATCAACAACTCTCCAATCATGATAATGTTCAACAACAAAAAAAAAACGAATATTATGTTTGTATATGGTGGTTTTTCTTTTTAATGTTGGCCATTCAAGTCAACCAATTTCTATAGCTAATGAAAATGGGCAATAGCAAACACATACACACACACACACACAAAACGTAAAACGCAAAACGCAAAACCCAAACAAATAAAAATAGATACTAGAAATAATAGAAGAAGAAAAATAAAATAGGCAGCGCCTGAGTTTTTCAATTCTGGATCACCTTATTATAACGAGGTTTTATCAGCCAAAAAAAAAACTCTGCTATAGTCGTCTATCGATAGCACTAACACCACTGATGTGAAAAAAAATACAGAATCAGATCGAGAGTTGAAAAAACCATGTTTTATATACCGAATTTTTTTTTGAATGTCAGAATTCTTTCTCTAGTACTTTTATTATTATTATTATTATTTTCACTAGCATCATCATCATCATAAGTACACAGAATCGAATCTTTTTTTTTCTTGGTTTTTGTTTTGTTTGTTTGTTTGTTTTTTTTGGCCTGCTGAGACTCATAACACACACGCACTTAACACTTATCGACAATACATCCAAGATTGTTAAAGAATAAGAAGAAGAATGAAACTTTTTTTTTGAAACTATCATGTTCCATTAAAAAAAATAAATAGAAAAAAATCTACCTTTATAACAACAACAATAATAATAATAATAATAATATATTTTCAACAACAACAACAAAAAACTCTCAAAGATAATAAATGGTTATAAACTTGATAGAAATTCTGTAACGTGAAGAAAATAACTCTTGCCGCTGATAGTGTGGGTGGTTGTGGTGATTGTTGTTGTTGTTTTTTTTGTTATTATTATTCTATCAACACCCATCATCGAATGTAGAATATTATACTTAGGTTTTATTCGACTAGCAATAGATACCTAAACATTGAACAACAAGAAGAATATCAAAACCCGAATAATAATAATGAAAATAAATAAATAAATAGAAAAATCTTTTGTTCCAAATTTGTTCCAACGGTGAGAGAAAAAAAAGTAAACAACAACAACAACAAAAAGTTACAAGCGGTCATTGTTGATGAAACATACATTGAAACTGGTATTCATATATAAAGAAATGATAAAATTCATGTAAATAAATTTTTGATTCATTTCAATTGAAAATGTGTTTTGTTTTGTTTAAAAAAAGTCCCCAGAATAAAATTCTGAAACAAACACTTTTTTTTCATTATTTTCACCATATCATTGTTTTGAAAAAAAAACTCATTGTTACTTCATTATTATTATTTTTTCCATTATTTTGTTCCATATATTTGCCAAGTACAATAACATTCATTAATCATTCTGGTGAAAATTATATATATAACTATGTGACTAGATAATGATAACAACAAACAAAACAAAACAAAAAAGAATACATGATGATCATACATAAACACATTGGTCCTATAGGTATACAATGATGATGATGATGATAATGTACTAAAGAAAAACAGGATAATAAAAATTGAATGTGTAACGTTTTTTTTCTTTTCTTCCTTATTCTTTCAATATTCATTCATTCATTATGGTTTTTATGATATGTCAAAAAAGGCGAAGAGGTTTTGTCACAGTTTTTTTTGTTGTTGTTGTTGTTGTTATTGTTCACCTCATAAATGATAAACTATGTTGATTAAATGTACGGGCTGTGTGGTTTTGTTTATTATTTTTTTACATTGAATTTTCATCATAGGTATTGATCTGATATTCATGATTGCCGGGTGTTTTTTTTGAACAGGAACCTAAAGAATCAAAATGAAATAAAATGTTGTGTTGCGTTTTTTTTTGGGAAGAAAACAATCATTTCCGATTTGATCAACAGAAATAGAATTTGATGGTAACAACATAACCGATTAGAATTCATTTAGATTGCAAGATGTAACTGAAAATCAAAAAAAAACATTTTGTTTTTATTTTGTTCCAGGTTCAATTACCTTTAACATTCAAACTAATTGTTAGAAAAAAAAAATCTTTATCGATTAGAAATTGGAAATATAATGAATAACAATAATAATGAAAACATGCAAATTGAGAAAATTTTCAATAAATAACACCTGGGTTTCCAAGGCATTTTGTTTTTTGTTTTTTGGTCAATTGGTAAAACCAAAACAACATTAACGTTGACAACGGAACATACCATAACAAGAAAATTTTTATTTATCAATCAATTTATAAATCAACGACTAACTTGGTTTGCTTAACTTTTCAATTCATTTCAAAGTTGTTGATAGGAAAAATTGATTTAACATAAAGAAAATTTTTGAAAAATAAATCAAAGAAAAACATTGAAAATTTCTTGAAGATTTTTTCCTGCTTGAATATTCTTATGTAGATTCTGTCAAGTTTGTGTGTGTATGTATGTGTCATTTAAAAGCAACAACAACAACAACAAACATTCGTCTTAAGAATCGTGTTCAAATCCTCAAAAACTAAACAAACAAACAAAAATGTGTTGTTCTTGTTCAACCTTTACATTTCTTACATTATTCATTTCATCGGTTATATTGTCTACGGTAGTTATTTGCTATTATGAAGGAGCCCGAATGCAAACATTTCTTAGGGAATTGGTCGATTCAATCTATTATAACGATGATTATTATGACGGAGATTATTCTTGAAATTTTTTTTTCATAATTTTCTTCTTTTTCCTTTGATATTTTTCAAAAAAAAAATCGATTGAAAAAACCAACAATTTACTTTATTTTTGTACACCAAAAACAAAATTTTTTTTTCTTTAAAACTTCAAACCATAATGATAATAATAAAAATTGTTATTGCGTGCAATGAATCCCGATTTGATATGTACATTTTGCGTGTAATATATTAACAAATTCAGATTTTTTTTTGATCTTTTTTATCTTTTGCTCAACTATTTACCAACATTATTTTTTTTTACTTCTGTTTCTCTGTTTATTTTTTTCATTTTTTCATTTTTATATAGATAATCGTTTCTGGTGTGTACATTTTTCAAAATGATCCACAAAAATTAATAATGAAGGAAAATTTTACTGGTAAATTATTTGCCATTATTAATATGGCCAGTGAACAATCATACAGCTATTTATTACGTTTATTAATGAATGATACAAATATTGATGATTATGATACACAAATGTTTGATCCATTAGACGAACCATCATCATTGGATGAATTGACCACTGAATTTGAATCAATTGAACCGGCAACAACAACAATGATGAATATTCGAACAAAAGTCAAAAATAAAAATAATAATAATAAACAGAAAAATAGATTGAAACCAAGAAAAAATGAATAAAATGATTGATCGATCAATCGATCATTTCGGGGGTATCCAATATCATAAATATTTGATAATATAAATCGATAGCTTAAAAAAAACAACAAAACAAAAGTTAAATAAAATTATCATAATTGTTCATTGTTTTTTTTCTTCTTCTTCTTCAATGAAATCACCCACGCATACTTGCACACTCACACGCATAATATCCAATAAATCAACGAACAATAATGACGATAATAATCAGAGCAAAACGACAAAACATATTACACAAATATATTTTCAACAACATAAATTCTTTTTATTTTTTTTCCATTTTGTAAAAAATAAAAATTGAAGAGAACGATGAGAAATTTTTTTTATTGTTCGGTTTTGCTTTGTTTTGTTTTCAATCAAAAAATAAGTCTGATTCAATTTGTTATTTACAGTGATGAAAAAATGAATTGTTGGTGGTGTTTGGTGATTGCGATGGTCATTATTTTTATTAAACAGGCTTCGATGACAAACTGTATGAATGACCGGTATTAAATTGTTGATGATTATGATGTGGGTGAGAAAAACTTGAATGATGTTTTTTTCGAAATTCATAATCTATTGAATGAAATATTTTTTTATTAGAAAAAAAATTGAATTGAATTGAAAAATTTCTGTATAGATACAATTACCTTGTATGGATGTTTCATTATATAGTGATGCTCCCGTGGGACGATCATGAAACAGGTATTGTGAACGATGATGTGAAATGGGCGCCAATTCCATATTATATTCGGCAATTGGCTGCCATGCAATAAAATCCTCTCTACATTTGATTAAACAACGAAACCATTCGTTTTGTTTATCATTGATCGATTCGAATGTGAATGTTATATCATTGTTGATTAGTTGGATCAAAGTTTGTTCTTGTTGGCTAATTTTTGTTTGATTACTGATCGGTATTATTATATCCGGCGAACGTTTACTAGCCGTATGTTTAAGATAGGCTGGCTCATCTTTCAATTCGGTTTTCATGTGCCATAGATTCAATTTAAATTTAGACAATACTGACCAGAACATTTCATTGGAATCGATCGATCTAACAATACCAGAATAATAATCTTTGAGCAAACATTCTGGTTGTACAGCTAAACGGCAACAAAAATGTCCAAACAAAGGTAATTGTAGATTTTTATCCAATTCTTCTTCAATATCTAGATCATATGTTTTGATTAGATCGGCCGAATCTTTTAAGTTCAATGTAGAACGAGCAATCAGGTAGAATTTTGGTCCACTTTATAAAATTTATCAAAAATTAAAAAAATAATTTAAAAGATCTATGTTAAACTTACGTTTCAGGATCAAAATCATCTTTATAATTGATCATTTTACGTCCAAAACTCCTGGACAATGAATTAGATATTTTATGCGTAATTTTTTTATGTGTAGATGCCATTGATAGATCATCATGTAGAATTCGTGCATAAATATATAGATCAAATGTAAAATTAGGTTCAACACAATTAAAATGAAATGTATCATCAAAGCATATATCGGTGGTATTACGATCTATATTCACCATAATCGTATCATAGATTTCAGTACCAATTTTGAGCAAACAAAATACAGCGAATCGACGATAATCGCCTTTGTTTTTAAAATAATCACTATCTTTCCATATCAATGGTATTCGAATGTCTGAATTATTTTAATCGTATTTATTAGTTACAACAATTGAATGAATCTGATAACAATTTTAACTTACCTGAAACTGATGCTTTAGCTTTAAAGACTGTATCGGTTCTAGAAAATCTTCATTTGAAAATGTTTGTAATAATTAGATGAATTCAAAGTTCAAACAATCGGAAATAATCAATCAATGTCATCAGTTGATTGATTAATGTGAATAAATTTAACTTACTTATGATTATTATTATTATTATTAATACGATGTTTACGTTTTTGAAGTTCTTTACGAAATTCCGCCAAACGCATATCGGATGTAAGCAAAGATTTAGCTGCCTCTAAACTTTGATTCATATGTTTACAAGCGGCCAATAATTTAGATGTGCCTTCACGCATTTTGATTTCCAGATCGATTTTCTGTTGTAAATCATATTCCTGTTCAAAAAAATGTCAAAAAAATATATATAAATAACAAACTTAATTTATTGATAACAACCAATTATTGGTTTTATTTATGGCAAAAATAATAATTTCAATTTTAATAAACAAAACAAAACAAAACAAAAAACTACATCGAAACACCGAAACAAACTGTATGGGCAACAATTTTTGGAGAACCGATTGAAAATCTTACATGATAATTATCGGCAATTTGGCGAAGAAAATAGGCACCATTATTAATTATACGAGATGATGGTGCCGATGGTGATGATGATGATAATGATCGACGATTTCGATGATATGATAATGATGTTAATCGAAGTGATGATGATGCAAAACGTGGTCTTTTAAAAAAAGATGATGTTGAATTTTTTCGAGCTGCTACCGATGATAATGACACTGATAATTTGGATGATGATGATGATGGACCATCACCACCACCAATAATAATTGGTTTATCCAAACGGTTACCCATATCTGTTATCTTTGTTATCACACTATTTTCTATAACAAATAATTCACATAATATTTGTCGCTTTCAAGATCAAATAAATTTTGAAAAGAATAAATTGCCCATAGATCTCATCGTTTGTTTTTTTCTGATTAAATTTGACATTTGATTTGATATAACTTGTATAACACAATATTTCAAATGATGTAAACGATTTAAAAATTAAAAATGTTATCAATCTATGTGTCTCGATGTATGTGTTGTGTGTATGTATCAAATGAATCATTCATCCATATCGATTCTCTCATCATAACAATATTTTAAATCTACTTCAGTGCTATTTACATTTGATACAATAAAACAACATCTCTTTTTATCTCCCTTGAAGCTATATCATTCGTTCAGGGTGTTTATCAAAAAAAAACATAACATTTATTTTTTCACATGAAAAAAAAATTCAAATTCACACAGCAGCACAATATGAATGAAACAAACAAAAACAAGTAGCTAGAGATAAATAATTCATCATTCATTTGAAAAGTGGGGAAAAAAATTAAACAACCATAACAAAACAAATGAATAACAAACAATCAACAAAAATCAATGATCTGGATGGTTGGTTGGTTGGTTGGGTTGGATGTTTTTCTTTACATTCTCATCATCACCAACAACAATCCAATGAGTTATACAAATAGATTTTTATTAAATGATGATAATGTAGTGGCGGCAATAAGAATTGTTGCTATTTTTTTCCAAAAAAAATTATCATCAATGATGTTAAGTGTAATAAAATTGAACACACACACATATAAATCCATCCAATTATGTTGCATCAGTATATCATCATCATTTAGTTTCAAAGAAAAAAAAAGAATGACTCAATCAACTAAACAAATTATGGATTTGGTCGTCCATTGACACACACACACACGGAGAGGGAGACAGATTGTAATAACACAAACAAATATTGATGAAAATAATATCCGCAAACAACAACGATTAATTGGAGAAATTATCGACGGACAGTATACACACACACAGAAATCAGCAAACAAACAAATTATTACAAAATTTCTTAAAGTTTTTGCAATATTTTTGTTTTTCGTTCGGTTTATTCCTATCATCAACATTCAGGCTAGAATTATTTTATATGAGCCATAATTATGGTTTCACTAAAGACAAATGAAAGAGAGCGTAGAGTGCATGAAGAGAATTGGCAATGTTTTATGTTTTTTTTTGTTGTTGTTGTTTAGTGTTGTCTGTCGCTTTCAACCACTTGATGGTAAATGTGGATGAATATAAAAATATTTCTTTCTTCACTAAAACATTGAGAACAAACAATTCATAATCAATGAAAATGAATTGAATGAGAATTTCGTTTAACAGACTGAATACATACATAGCCCCATAAAAAAACAAAGCAAAACAACAACAAAAAAACAGGAATTTCGAAGACAAAGCTTAAACTATGACCACCACCACCATAAAAAATTGAAAAGATTTTTTTCGCATTGAAGCTTCTTCTCGTTATTATTGTTGTTCTTTTTGAACTTGTTGATAATGATCGTCTTTTTGAAAAACCAAGTGTGTATATCACTGAATTCAATGTGTGTATGTGTAGGTGTGTGCAGGTTCATTCATCAAAAAGAAAAAGATATTACATCATATAACATTTAAAAAAAAGAAATAGATTTTAATAATGTTATCATCATATTATACAATAACAGTGAAAAAAAAATTCAAATGGTAATGATGAATATTGGAAAAATGGGCTAAATATTTGAATGGAAATATTTTCAAAGTTATCAAAGTTGATGATTTTTTTTAGAAATAAAAAACGATCGTTCGATCGATTGATGGTCAATCATTGATGTTCAAGAATATAATGACTTTTTTTTATTTAAAAAAAAATCGATTCAATTTAATATGAATATCAAATGTCAGTATCTATATCAAGAAAAAAGGTGATCGAATCATTCATTCATTCATCCATCAATCAATCAATCAATCAATCAAAAATTGGCATTTCAATTGAATTAATGAACATACCACAAGATTTTTAAATGGATGGATAATTTCTGATTGATTGAAAGAAGCAAGAAATTGTATGTCAAAAAAAAGAAAAGAAAAACGATATGGAAATATAAAACGAAATATAAAAAGGTTCAATGCCTATAGGGATTTAATGTCATTCACTTATTGGTGATGATGATCATCATTATCATTAATGGAAAAATAGACATCAAAAATCCACATGATATTGAATGTCATTGTGTTTGTGTGTGTATGTGAACTAATTGCAATGAAAAATAAGTCTTTTTTTTGCACTAAAAAAAATTTGGCCCAAATAAAATGAAACACCTTGAAATCAACAATAAAAACTACGAAAAAATGTGAATAGATGTGTGAATGAAATAATCATCAAATTAAATATAGAAATGGATTATTATCGATTGGTTTAATGGATAATAATTGTTTTTATTCGCAAAAATGTGGCCACTATTATCAATAATAAAAACAATTATAATAATTGTGGACAAGGTTTTGGTGGTTCCTTTTCAAATATCAATCAATCAATTTGGAAAATTATTGTGAAGAAATTGAATTTTGAGAAATAAAAAATGCAATATCTGAAAATCATATCTGAAAACAGAGATACTAGATGGCGACGCTTTTGTCGAAAATATTAATTTTTCTTTGAACACATTTGAAAATCTTTTTTTTTTCTTCATAACAAATTAATTCTCAAGATTAATTAATTGATTACAAAATTATTTGAAAATGTTTTAGAAACAAGAAAAAAAACAAACAAATAAATGAATGTATACTTACAATAGTATCAACATAGCAGAAGCTAGTTTTATCATCAACAATTGAGTAAATATAACGATGCATTTTTTGATTTGATTTTGATTTGTTAATTGTTGATTCAATAAATCGATATTCGAATCATAACAAACAGTAAAAAAAACCTTTAGGAATTGATGTTTATTTTGAACTAAAATAGTAACACCCAAAACAAAATAAAACAGTTTTTGTTTGATCAATCAACAAATACCAGTCAGTCAATTTTTGTTATTATTATTGTTGCTGTTATTGAATTTGTATTGATCAATTGATTGATTAATAATTGTTGTTTTCTTTAGCTTTATGGCTGCTGCTGATGATAATGATTATTATTGTTTGATTATGATTTTGATGTGTGTTGCTGGTGATGATGATGATGATGATGGTAAACAATTTAATTTTAAAGTTTAAAGTAATGTTTTTTTTCTAAGAAAATGTCAATAAAGTAAAATTTTTCTTTGAAACATGGATTCATTCGAATCAAACGAAGGACCCGATCTGTTCTGTTGACCTGTGTGAATAAAGCAAAAGGTCAAAACTTTGGGTCAAAAAAATTTTTTTTTTGCTTTCGATAGACACGATAATTGTCACTTTTGATATATATTTTTCTTCCAATGAAGACACCAAGAGAAACAGAAAAAAACCTGTTACAAGGTAGAAAAAATATCGACACAATATAAACGAAAGCAACAGAAAGATGATCAGCAATGATTTTTTTTCTGAATTCAATGAATTTCATTGGAAAAAAATCAACCAAACAACCAGTAATTATTTTTTTGAATTTATTTATGCTTTGGCAATAAAAGAATCCTTAAATGGTTGTCGATTTTGGTTTGGTTGTCAATTCGATAATAATAATGATGATGATGGCGGTGAAAAAAAATGGAAATTTGAATCAAATTAAGCAGAGGGAAAAAAATGTATTGTAAACGACTTGTAACAAAAACAATGTTTGTTGAAAATTTGTTTCAAAAAAACAACCAATGAATAGGTGCATATTAACATTTTTTTTTTGTTTTGTTGAAAAGAAAATTTTTCACTTTATCCGCTGTTGTTATTCCGAATAAAATCATTATATATGGATGGATAGATTTATGGTTTTTTTTCATTCAACATTTAACAAAAAAAATCGAGAAGGTCATCATCATCATCATAATCATAATGAACAAATGAAGGTAGATTTTTTGTTTTCTACATTAAATATTAAAAATAATTTTCCTTTTATATAAAATAAATGAACTTAATGAATGAATCTTTAATAATGTAGTCGACAAAAGAAGCAAATAAGAAGAAAAAAATCCCAATTGAATGGTTAATGAAATCAAAAGAAGAAAAAAAATGATAATTCCAATAAATCAAATAACACAGAGTGGCAAAGAAAGAGAGAAAGTATATGAAGATAATTATAAATTTTAGCTGGTATGGTTGATGATGATGATGATGATGATGATTATATTAAAAAATAAATTGAATAAATCAATGGATTCAATACGCCCATTCATACATTCATCACTTTTGTTTTACTTATGTTTAACCAGATGTGTATTGCTTGTGAATAAAGTGAATTAAGACAAAAAAATAAACTGGTTAAAAAAAACATGTACATTATTTGTAAACTTCGGGGGTTAAGAAAATGTTTTGTAGCAAAACAAAAACAAACAAAAAAAATCAAATCAACGAAATTTTGGAAAAAATTTCGTATCCACAATTAACAAATGGTTGTGATTTTTTTTACTTGTTTTCTGGTTAAAATTGTTGTTCGATGTTTGGTGAGGATAACAACAAAATTACAAAGTGATGACGATTATACCATTATCATCAATATAGCACCGATTAGTTGTGGTTTTATTGGAATTGACAAACAAAACAAAAAACAAAAAACAAATAGTAAACGTAGTTGTGTTTCGATTGATTTGTTTTTTATTTATTATTTTGTTCAAATGACAATGATCAAAAAAAAAATCAATCCAATGACAAAATGAATTGGGAGAAATAAAATAAAAAAACATTCATATGATATTTCGTATATTTTGGCTTGATGTATTTAATGGTTAATAGTGGTGTTGGCGGCGGTGATGATGGTGGCTGATTGAAAAACATATTATATATAACGGGATACGATTACTTCACAACAACATTTGACAACATTGACAATAATAACAACAACCACTAAATAACATACTATTCATTTATCATCAACCGGAGAAAAATAAATATTTAAAAAATAAACAGGTGTCAAATATAATCATTTCGTTGTTTGCTTCGATTGTGATCCATTTTTTTTTGGATTGTATAGCCAAAGGTTGATGAAATTTCCTATTTAAAAAAAAATGGATAGTTTGCTGTCTGTTTTTTTTGTTGTATTTGAAAGGATAATGGTGATGATTTGACGCCCTTGTTGTTCATCATCATTTGTAACCAGAGAAAAATAATAATAATAATAAAATTGTTACCATGGATCATCATCATCATCGAATGATATCTACATCCATCTAAGATACAAATTTAGACATCTTCATCTTTTTATTTTAAAAAATATTATGCTTTTAGGTGAAATCATCATCATTGTTAATACAGGAAAAAAATTGCCATTTTTGAAAAAGAATATGATGTGTCATTGTGTTTAGGATGTTGATGATATTAACGTGATTGAATAATAATAACTAATAAAGGATGCCAAACAAGGATGAATAAATAAAATAAAAGATTTTGGATTGAATAACAAAAAAAATGAAATGGAATGAAATTTACAACCAAATAAGAATATAATTAAATAGACATTCGTTAAATGTATTTTAGCATTTTTTTTCATGATTTCAATGACAACCTCGTTCATTATCATCATCATCATCATCATTATCTATGACATCAATTCTATTACAATTTTAGACAATTTTTTCTTTCCTCTTATTCATTCATTAAATTTTTTTTTCCAAAGAAAACCATTCTATTACTCGTAAAAGAGATAAAAATTTTATAAACCCATAAAACCGACTAGTTTGATTGACATTATCATAGATAGTGATTTCAACGAAAAAAACAACCCAATTGCATCATTCAAAAAACAATCTCATATTGATAGTTTAATTAGATCAATCAATATTATTTGACAGTTTGGAAAAATTTTTTTTAATTAAACAAAATTAAAAACAAAAACATTACCTGTTGTCGTTTACTATAACGTATTGATGTACGAAACGATGGTATTGGATGCTCTGTTCGTCTGGTTTGGTTGGTGGATGATAAATCATGTCGAATCGACGAACGATGAAACGAACGAAATTGATTAAATTGTCGACGATTTTTAAATTTTACAATCATATTACTATTAGATGTTCTATTCATTTTGTTTGAATTTTTTCTTTCTGATTAAAAATTGCAAAATTTTTAAATTTTTTAACAACAAAAAAAAAAGACACCGAAAGATTCGATAATAGACAAAAAAAACTTGTTTGACCGTTGGGAAAAAAAAATACTTTTTATTCGACGGTTTGGATCATGGATTCGATCGACGCATGCGCAATTCGATTTTATTATCATTATTATTTTTCACAATTTGGTTTTTTAAAAAAGAATAAAATATTTTCATTAGATTAAAAAATAGATAGAATGTAAATAGAATATGCTGATTACATGATATTACATTGTTGTTGTTGTTGTTGTTGTTGTTGTCCATAATCCGGATTGTTCATTGCATTCAAATGATCATTAAACATCATATCAGTATTACCAGATACTAAAGCCGATGGTGGTGTTCCAAACGATTGCATTGTTTGCATTAATGATAATATTCGATTAAAACGTATCGATTTCATTTCATCATTATTTGTTTCTTTATCATTATCATCATTTTCAAATTCTTCACAAATTTTTCGTATAATTTTCAATTGACTTTCATAACGACAATAATCATCTTTTGATAATGTTGATTGATTTTCGGCAAGATATGCAGGATACTAAAATTCGAATAGAATGTTAAATGAAAAACAAAAATCACTCATTTGATAATTACCTTTGATTTGAGTTCAGATAATGTTGGATAAAGAAAATCTTTCGAAAGTAAATTTTCCATAATGTTCGACATAAGTGGCATTATTTTATTCAATTCAAACATATTATCTTTAATGTTTTCATCATTGTCACCGGTTTCACCTGATGATGATACAGCTAGATTGGTCATTATTTTAGCCATTTCATCATCGGAAAAGATAGATTGATCTTTGGATATTGATTGCGCTTTTTCCGATATCACTTTCAATGATGATAACAATGATTCGTGTAAATCTTTGTCCACTTATAGTAATAAAATTACAATCAATTTGCATTATTTAAAAAAAACAACGTTACAAACCTGGTTGATTACAAGATTTAGCCAATTTGGACCAATTTTCTTTAAGTTCATCATCCGATCCATATAATGACAAAAATGGTGATGTTGTTTCAGAATCATTTACATTCGAACCATCAATCGAATGTGTTTGTTCCGATAGATTTTCATCACAAAAATTCATATCATTTTTGTTTGATGATTCATTTTTGTTATAAATTTTACAGAAATCATTAAATGTGTCTGTAGAATAAATATTAGAATATATGAAATATGTCCCCGAAATGAATAAAACTTACTGTTAAGTAAACTACCAAGTTCATCCTCATTAATATCATTATCATTATCATTTTTACTAGGATTTTCACTCATTTTGTTACGATTCAATTCAATTTAACTTTTTTTCCCCTTTTATAAATAATGATGATGATGATAAATCAATTCAACAAAACAACAAAGAAAAACAAAACTTTTTCAACGAAACAAAACAATGATGAAGAAAGTTTGAGTAGCTCAAAAAAACTTGAAATTGAAGAATCAACATAAGAAAACAATTCATTTGCAATGATAATGACATTTTTACAATGTATATGTGTGTGTGTGTGTTTTGGTGGTATTGGCTGGCTACATGCAACAAGTGGCCGCTATACTGAAGAAATATATTGATGAAGAAAAGATGAAAAACAAGTATTTGTCATCATCTTTTTGCGTGGCCCTTATTGATATTTAAATTTATCATAAATTTAATCAAAAAAAGTTTTAATATTTGGAAACAAAAGTGGAAATTAATATTTACAAAAAATAATAAAATAAAATTAATAATAGATACATTGTTGGGAAGCGTTGGATATAAATGGTTTTGAGATCATCTCATCAAGAATAATGGCTACATAATTATCATTATAAACATCGTAATTTTAATCACGTTTTTCATGTTGATCATCTTGTTCATCTTGATCGGTCAGATCATCATCACGAGCATCAAGAAAATCTGAACAACATGTCATATAAACAATAATGGCCAAAAAAGAACTGGGTAAACCAAGTAATAATAATGTAAGAACCGGATTTCCTTGATACATTGTCAATATTGTTGTAAGCGTATCGAAAAATAAACGAATAATTCGATGAATATAACTATCGCCACCATAATACTGTTTGAATGAAGGAGAAAAAAATTTAAAATATTTCAATTAGTAAATAGATAAGTAAATTTCAATTAAATACAAAATCTTATCAAAAAGTTCAGTGTTAAAAAGCTCATACATATTATTAGTACATCAAATATGTTCAGAAGTGGTTTCAAATGATTCATCATTCAAAAAAAAAAATTATATTTAAAAAATTTAGTAGAAAAAAAACTTACAATCAAAGTTTCGGATTCATTTATGATTTGATCTAAAAATTTCAAAATGTTTTCACGAATTGTTTGATAAGTGTCGCCAATTTCTTCAAAATTATCACTTAACAAATAATATTTTAATGTTGTTGAATTTAATATCAAAAGATTAGGTATTGGATGTATGGTACGAATAGCCAATGAATTCATTGTAATCAAATCGGATGAATAGCCAAAAAGAAAATGATCTTCTTTATTCGAATATTCATTCGCAATTGATTCCATTATATTTTTGAATGCTACATTTTTCTGACCAATTAATTTACCATTAGATCGATGTTCTTCCACAATTGATATGGCTAATAATTTATCTGTAATGAGTATATAGAAGAATTACAATCAACAATGGTAACAATATGAATCGATTATAATGATAAAAATTGACAAAAATCAGTGTTAAAAAGCTCGAATAAAATGATCAATCATGAATCGGCTCAGTTTCGGGATAAGTTGTGTTCATCATGATAATACACACTTGTATTGTTATAAATATATTACGAAAATACTTACGACTACTCAAGGCCATGTGTAAATTTGTACTGGTGAAACGAGTAAAATGAGGAAATCGATGTCGCCGTATCCAAGCGGCAAGATCACCATTTGTTTGATAATCTAATTTTAAATTTTTAGATTGATTATTTTCAAATTCGTTATAAATGAAAATAACATACCGAATTTAGCATAAACATTTTTTGATTTTAATGCATAAATTCCCGGTTGAAAATCCTGGCATAACATTAATGATCGGAAAAACCAATCATGTGGTTGAAATTTGGCTGCCAATCGTGTAAAATTACCATCAGCTTCAGGACCAAAATTAATAAAAATTACACGACGACCATCCTGAACAAGATCATTAAGTTGATCACAACTGGACAAATACCGGATCGGTGGTCCATGTACGCGTAATGCAAAATCAATTATATCATCGCGGGTTCTTTCACCTTTGAATTCAATTTGCTTTTGGGAATTGATATACAAAATGGTAGGAAAGCCACGAATTGTAAAATGACTAGCTGCTGTTAAGTATTTGGTACAATCTACACGACCCACCACAATATTGGCATCCAAATTGTGCAACTGTTGGGCAACTTGGGCCCATACTGGCTCTGTAATTCGATTGAAACATGAATTACAAAAAGTCTAAAAAACACATGCCATGCGACAAAATACAGGCACAGGAAAATGACTTGGCCGCTAGACGACGCTATATATCGTTATGGAAAATCAAAAAAAAACTCACCCAAATCTTGACAATGATGACACCAAGGAGCATAAAATTTGATCAAAAATGATCGTTTATCATTGGGATAAACTTCAACAAGTCGATCATTCATTTCAATCACTCGACTTGCATGAACCGATTGAATATTTGACCATAATAATGATTGTTGAAAAGGGCCCAAAAAGATTAACCAAAAGCCAATTGGCATTGTGCAATGAAAATTTTTCCATTTGAAAACCGTAATCATTATTCGAATAATAAGACACGATATTGGATTCATATTTGTTTTCGGTTACAATTGATTTCGAATGGAAATAATTCTGTTTTGATTAAAGTAAATGCGAATAATAGCTATTGATTTATGACAGTAGACATGATTATGAATTCGTGGAATAATTTTTTATTAACTACTTTTAAATTGACTTTTTAAAAAATGGACTAAAGAACAAAAGCCAATCGAATTGTGTTTGATAAATACAATTTTTGGATTATTCAGCTTATAGCTCATCCATACAGAATAATACAAGGAACATTCTGATTCTTCATTTAATAAAGTTATATAACTCGTCATACAATGACGACTATTTGGACAGCAATCGGAACACCCTAACATTAATGCGAATGAACAACGTGGTTCGATTCTGGTATTTTTACAAGGCAAATATTAATGCTGTTTTATCCGTATTTTTTTAAAATTGTATTTAAAGAATTCAAAAAATGGGTAGCCTAACTGAAAAATTAATACAGTTACCAGATTCGACTGAAGATCAATGCAAGCAGGATGAAGACTTTGTCGATCCATGGACTGTAACCTGTTCTAGTCAATCTGGACCAGACTATGATAAACTTATTGGTTTGTTTTTATTAGCAACCTTTTATTATTTCATTGTTTTAATTGAAAAATAAGCTCGTTTTGGTTCTGCAAGGGTTACCGATGATTTACTGAAAAGATTTGAAGCTGCATTACCAGCAGGCGCTAAGTTACATCGTTTTCTTCGTCGTGGAATATTTTTCTCTCATCGAGATATAGAGCCGATATTGAATAAAATTGAGAAAGGCGAAAAATTTTTCTTGTACACTGGGCGTGGACCATCATCAGCATCATTACATGTTGGGCACTTGATTCCATTCATTTTCACAAAATGGCTGCAGGATACATTCGATGTTCCATTGGTCATCCAGTTGACAGATGATGAAAAATATTTATGGCGCGGTTTGAAATTGGATAATATAAAAAGGCATTCACGCGAAAATATCAAAGACATTATTGCATGTGGTTTCGATGTGGAAAAAACATTTATTTTTACTGATACCGATTATATTTCGTAAGTAATAACAATGTTATTTAATTGTTGTTTGACTCAATTGTTTTTAACTGTTTCTAGTAAATCTCAAGCATTTTACGAGAATATTCTGAAAATTCAACGATTAGTCACATTCAATCAGGTGAAAGGAATATTTGGATTTGGTGATTCGGATTGCATTGGAAAAATTGCCTTTCCAGCTATACAAGCTGCTCCGTCATTTTCGACATCATTTCCACAGATATTTGGCACTAGTTCTAAATGTCAATTGTGTCTGATTCCTTGCGCGATTGATCAAGATCCATATTTTCGAATGACTCGTGATGTAGCTCCTAAACTGAAATATCCAAAACCATCATTATTACATTCGACATTTTTGCCAGCATTGGGTGGTGCGATGACAAAAATGTCGGCATCCGATTCTAATAATTCAATTTTCCTCACCGATTCAGCCAATGAGATCAAAAACAAAATCAACAAATATGCATTCAGTGGCGGCGGTGGCACTATCGAAGAACATCGTGAAAAAGGTGGGAATTGTGATGTTGATGTTTCTTATCAATATCTACGATATTTTCTTGATGATGATGATCGTCTCGAACAAATTCATCGCGATTATAGTTCGGGACAAATGTTGACTGGAGAGATTAAAAAAGAAATAATAACCGTACTACAGGATCTAGTGATTAAGCATCAACAAGCAAGAAAAGAAATTACCGACGAAATGGTCGATCGTTTCATGACACCTAGATCATTGAATTTTACTTTAAACACAACAAAATGAAAAATTAAAAAAAAAATTTATTTAAATTGAAAAAAAAATCAAAATGAGCAATAATTGAGTTAATATTTCGAAATGTATAATAATTAATCGGTCAACGATAATATCCACCAATTAATCCTCCATATATTTTACCATATCCATTTCCATGTTTTTGATCATAACCATAATGATCATAATATGTTGGATAATATGATAGTTTTGAATAATATCGAGGATGATATTTAGGTGAATATGAACTGTAGTATGGTGTTGGAACAGATTTATAATAAATTGGATGAGAATATCGAGAATATCTGTAACCACCACCAAGGCCAAATCCACCATAACCACTTTGATAAGGAATGGCTATCACTACCATAGTGGTGTAAAGAATTAAACAAATAACAAATATTACCTGTAAAACAAAAGACGAAGGGTTATTCTTGTAACACTTATATTGAATGAGTTTTTTTATAACTAACCAACTTGGAAGACATTTTTTTTGATTAGTTGTTTTATTTTTGGTTTGAATAATGTCGAGGCACTTTATTCGAATACAAAATATTGATTGTATCTCTTGTGTGATCGGAGGACATTGTTTTTATATGCCTGTACTTTGAAGGCTAATGGTTGAGAACAAAAAAAAAGAAAAGAAAAAACATTGCAAATCATCTTTGTCGCAGTGATGTGAGGTTTATAATAATAATAAAATTACGACAAAAAATAATGACCAGAACATCAATCAAATGACCTCCAGATTTGATCATAATATTGGATTATAATTTGGTAGAAAAATCGATACGCATCGAAAGAGATCGATAGGTAAATCTGATGATAGAAAATGGGATGAAGCAATCACAGCCATGCACACATATCGATAAACGAGGACATTGAATTGATTAATTACCACCACCAATCAACTGTGAAATATTTGCCAAACTAATTATTAGGATAACTAATCATCAAGGATATTGATCATTACGCCAGATGTTCACGGGAAAAAAAACATCAGCTCATTTAAATCACATTCAACAAGATGAAGGTAAATTTTTTATCAAACTACGTATTTTATCTCGTTCTTGTTTTGCTTCATTCAATTCAAGCCAATCGGTTTGTAGTAAAATTTCGCCGATTTCGGCCAATTTTTCCGGCTCATCAATGTCGAGCGATAATATTGCTGCATACATTTGAGCAGCGGTGTATGAACGAATTCTTGGAACTAATCGATGTCCCAACAATACGTAAAGATATCCTTGAACCAAATTTATTTGACCAAGCACTAATAAGGTACAAAATATATCACATGCAAGAAGATATTTTTTTGGAATTGCACTCTTTTCAGTAGCTTTCCATGCAAATTTAACCGCATTTGACTGAAATTCACCACAAGTTTCAAGTCGCGTGAGAATTGTGTTTGTCGAAATTAATAATGGTATTGATAAACGATTGCAACGAGCATTAGCCTCAGCCATTAACAAAAATTGTTCAAGCAATTTCTCACGTTTTTCATATTCACAATCCTTGATGTAATCGATAATAGATTTGCATTGACGATCCAGGTTGGGATCGGCTAAAATCAATACGAATCCACGCCACAAATCAATGACAAGTTTATCACAATCAAATAAATGCAGTATTTTCTGAAAAAGTTGTGAATCTTCAATTGAATCATCAATATCTAATCTCAGGTTTGAATTAGATTCAAGGGCTAAAATTTGATACAAATTATGATGTCGCGATTCATTGGAAATGAATTGAAAAATCGTAACCAATTTCTGCATTGAAAGTCTGAACGTATAACCTCGATATGATGCTGCTTCAGATGAAATCAATTGAATAAAAAGCAATAACTGATCGGAATCTATACGGTGAACATAATCTAAACAGGAATGAATACAAGCTCGTCGGACGATGAGACCAGTGTCACCTTTATTCGTTATTGTATGATCATCGAAACATTTCAATAGAATTTTTTGAACACTAAGTAAACATTCAAGGTCATGTTGAAGCAATTTTTCATAATGATGAGATGTAATTTGCAATAAACATTCGGCAACATCAGCTATTGTTTCTGGACGGCGAATTTCATTTTCAAACCAATATTCTTGAAATTTAACGAGAGCATCAATAATCTCAATAACTGTTTTGGCCATTTCTGGAAGAGAATCAACATTATTTGAACTGAAGTAGCGAGTGAAAAATTTTGCCAAAGTAGACATAGTAAAATTATCACAATTAGGTTTGGCCATAGTTATTAATTTTCGCAAAAACTGACAGCTCAAATCAATTGGTACATTATGCATAAAGCTACAAGTAGCATCTACCGCAGCCGATCGAATTAATTCATTCGAATCGATTGTTTTAATAGAATCGAATAGAAATTGATCAATTTCAGACAAATCTTTTTCAACTAAAAACGGAATAGCTTTTGCTACAAAGATGAGAAGAGATTCACGAATTAAATTGTTGCCGAATGATGATCCTGATTGATGAAGCAAATGAAATTGTTGAGAAAATTTATTCAGAAATTGTTCAATTACTTGAGGTTGTTTCTGTAGCGATCCATCGGCACTTAACAAATATGAAGCGGTCAACATTAGACCATGTTGCTGGTTCAAATTCAAATGAATCATTTTATCCAAATGTTGTGAGAATTTATCATAATAATACTGGCCATAAAATGGACAATGATTTGCAATTTTTGCCACAGTTTTTGAAGCCAAACGTCGAATGACAGGATCCCAATGAATGCATTTTTGTGACAAAAGGTTATCAACAATAGTAGGACGAAATTCGTCATAAGTAATGGCAAAGTGGAAACCGATTTCCAGGTAAGTATGTTCAATTTGACTGAGAGCATGAAACTCTGTTTTCGGTATCACATCAATCCAATGGGGAAACTGTTGAGTTCTACCGGCTAGTTCTTGGATGACAGCTGAAGCGGCTCGACGACAATTTACTTGTGGATCAAAACAAGCTACGTTTAATAGGTTTGGTGCAAGATGTGAAACAAACTGGGCGATTGATTTGCCGTCATAAGCTCGTGCCATCGACCAACAAATATAACAAGCTGCATCACGGACATTCGAGCCAGCAACAAACGATCCTTTGATTTGTTCGTAAAACAAAGCATCATCCACCACACGAATTATTTCTGGCAACATTGAATCAATTGATACAAGACCACGTCGAACAAATTCAGCCAATGCCAAACATGAGCCATGCCAATAATGATCTTCACTGTTGGATTGACAATTTTCTAGGATATGTTGGACAATTTGTTCGGAAAATTCTGCACGTAGACGACTGCTAATCGTGGATAGATATTTGGCAGATGAAAATCGAACAGCAATTGATTTATAAACTAAATTTTTAAGCATTAGTTGAATGAGATTTTCAAAATAATCGGGAAGATCTTGGTCAAATTCATCCATTTCCTCAACAATATTCTCGCCTTCAATTGATGATTTCATTGCATTGTTGGGCGATTCCTGTATAACACGAGTTCCGCATTTATATCGCCATTTTAATTCGGAAGAAGGTTTAAGATGAACCAATATTGAACGGCCACAAATTTTGATGGAAAGTTTGACAAATTGTTCATGATCGTGATCGATTGATTCGACGATTGTAGCAACAATTTGATCAACATACAATAACATTTGGCTACGATCCACTGATTTTAACAACGTTGCCAATATTCTGAGTGTACATAATTTTGAATAAATCAAATCTGTCGAACGAAGGATCAATAATAGATTGGTGATAAAATCTTTCAAACAATTATGGCAATCACGACGGGCATAGAATGAACCGGCAAGAAGATGTAATACTGGAAAAAGAGAATGATTTTTAACGTTTTGCAAAATGATTCTTTCTACTCTGAAAATGGTTTTTTCTTCTTCAGATTTACTCGTATCGAATCTTGATAGATCGAAAGGAGTTTTGATTGCTGATGCTAGCCATAAGATGAGAACATTAGCTGATGAGAAATGAAGACTCGGTTCATAACGATCGTTCAGATATTGTTCAGTCCATTCGATAACGGGATGAAGCCACTTAACATCAGTAGGCCAATATCTTGATAATCGTTTTGGATTGATACAAACAGAAAGTGAACGTAAAATATCCATGGTCATATCGAAAATTGTTTCTTTTGGTTTGCTTAATTGTAATGTTTGAAGATATCGATCCATCAGACATGGAACAATGGGCAATATTGATCGCCATTCTTCTTGAGCGTTATATAAAATTTTTTGTATTTTTTCTTCATGTGCTTCATGTTTTGTTAGCCATTGTTGAATATCATCTGGAATTTTATCATTACAAGATGCAATAACTTTAGCTTTTTCAAGTAAATCATCGGCAAATTTCAAACAGAATATTAAATCATTATAAAGATATTGTTTCTCTGTAAATATTTGATTCAAAAACAAATATTGTTAATATGATTAAATAAGCATGTCAATAAACTCCTATACCTTTACTTGAGAATAAAATTGGATCTAAAAATTCAGTCATATTTTTTCCCTAAAATTTTTTTAATGAAAAAAATGACATGTGCTTTATAATTTGTTTTATTTTTTTTTCGTTATATAACCTGTAGCAAAAAAAAAATTATCCGATAATTATTGTAAGTACATTGTAAGTATATTATCGAATATTAGTGCTCGATTTATACGATGATGTTTACGTTCGAATTAAATCTTGTTTATTTTATTTTCAATGATGATGATCATCATCATTACCTTGATGATCAGATTTGAAATGAGAAATGTAAGATTTACGATCTAATAAATATGCGTTTTTGTGCCATTAAAAATTTTCCAAAATTCTAATAGCAACCGTATTTTTTCTGTTGTTTGTTTGCATATTCATTTCGACCAATAAAATAATGATGATGGAATTGAATAGTGTTGGATGAAATGCAAACTTGCAATAGACAATAACTTGAATATAGGTAAGTAATCAATCATATAAAATTCCAATTTGTATGAAATGAATCATAAATCCTTGTATAATCTGTTCGGCGTTCGGTTTGGTGAGCATGAATTTGAATGAATAATTTTTATACAGAATTATATCAATTAGATAATTATTATCGGGCGTGAATTTATGAAACAATCTGATGATGTCACCCATAGAAACGGTTAATTTTATCAACCTATATTGATATGATAATAAAGAAAATGCTGTCCTTTTACAAACTAGATCACATTTTTCATGAACACCGATAATAAGGTTTGATAAGGTTATAAAAAGTTTAGCTCTGTTTTTGCAATAAATTATCTATTACTATTTATTATAGAGATATCGAGATTTTTAAAGGTATGACCAAATTAGAGCTACTGATTATACATACATAATTGATATTTTTGTAAATCTTGTTTTTTTTAATCCGAAAACAATTTAAAGTCGATTCGCTATTTGATTTTGATTTTGCTTGATAACATAATATAACTCACCCTCATTTTGGTTAAAATTATCGTTTTCGATTTTTAGAACAATCCGTATACTCAAGTTTTGTTACATGTAATATAAATGTTGATGTATGTTTGCACAATTTCTTTGGCTTTTTTCGCATTCATTGTGCATTGTTGATAGCTGGCGATAAAAGAAAAAAAATGATAAAAGATGCGGAAGCTGATGTTCATGTCTCGCTAATTTCACAACCATATAATCATCATCATCAACCATCATCATTATCACATCGTTCAATTTCGAAATGGTTTTATCGACGATTTCGAAGATTCATTCTTCTTCAATCATTATCATGGTCTAATTTTATTATAGTCTGCCTGATCATATTATTCATCATTGTATTTTTGTTCAGTGAATTCAATGTATTAATACAATCATCCAATACATCTTTGTCTTCGAAAACATCCGATTTATCGACTACAAAAAATGAATATATTCGTTACATCGAAGAATTAAGTTCAATATCGGAACATCCATCGCATCGTATTCGAGCTGCACAGATCAATGAACAATTACGTCGAATTGAAATGAGTTTGAAAGAGAATCGGGAAATATTGCACTCAATTCGTAACAGTATTGTGATTACGATCGGATCAAACACCACTTATAATAAACAAAATAAATTGATTGATTTTTTCCGAAAAAGCCAAATTTCTGTTGAAGATGTTTTCAATCAAAAACAAATTTGTCCATCAGTTACCTCTCAAGCACAATTCTTTCCAGATATTGATATGCATCAAGTTTACGAACAAATGCCATTCGATAATGTTGATGGTGGTGTTTGGAAACAAGGCTGGCCATTAGAGATTGAAGAACTAGATTTTCAAAAACCGAAACCGAAATTAAAAGTGTTCATTGTACCACATAGTCATAATGATCCTGGCTGGATCAAAACATTTGATGTTTATTTTTCAAAACAAACTCAACATATTTTAACTAATGCTGTCGAATTTATGACTCAACATCCTGATATGCGATTTATATGGGCCGAAACAAGTTATCTATCGGCTTGGTGGGAAACGACAAACGATGCACACAGAGAAATGTTACGTAGATTGATAATTGAAAAACGTTTTGAAATAGTCACCGGTGGATGGGTGATGAACGATGAAGCCAATACTCATTATTGGTCAATCTTACATCAAATGATTGAAGGTCATGAATGGCTTGAAAATAATATCGATAGTGAACACCAAACATGGAGACCAAAACATGGCTGGGCAATTGATCCGTTTGGAATGTCACCAACGATGGCATACTTGCTGAAATTGATGGGATTTCGAGCAATGGTCGTTCAACGAGTTCATTATTCGATCAAAAAACACCTAGCACATAATCATCAACTCGAATTTCGATGGCGTCAATATTGGGAGCAAACCAGCACGACATCTAATGATGAAGGAGACATCGTTTGTCATGTTGAACCATTTTATTCGTATGACATTCCGCACACATGTGGTCCGGATCCGAAAGTCTGTTGTCAATTTGATTTCAAACGATTGGCTAAGCCAAAGTGCCCTTGGAAAATCAATCCTCAAATTATTACTGATGCTAATGTAGAAGAAAGGTAAAAGGTCGATTCATTTTTTAAATTTAAAATAATTTCTGTAATTTTGTTATAGGGCTAAGACATTGTTAGATCAATATCGAAAGAAATCTTTATTGTATCGAACTAATTCTTTGTTAGTTCCACTTGGTGATGATTTTCGGTATGATGACATCAAAGAATGGCGAAATCAATACGATAATTATCGCCGTATAATGCATTTTTTGAATTCACGATCGGAATTCAATGTCGAGGTTTGTTGCCAAATGTGAGATGTTCGTATTTATTGTCATTATTATCATTTACAAACAGATTAAATTTGCCACATTGAACGATTATTTCGATTCAATTTTAACTAATGATGGACAATTATCTCAAACGGAGCAGTTTCCGACATTAGTGGGCGATTTTTTTACTTATGCTGATCGTGATGATCATTATTGGAGTGGTTATTATACTTCAAAACCATTTTACAAACGTTTCGAACGCATACTTGCTAGTCATTCAAGAGCTGTCGAAATTCTTTTTTCCATGGCCAACATCATTCTCAATAACAATGTAACCATTAATCATGATCCATTCGAGCATTTGACATATGAATTGACATTCGCCAGACAAAATCTAGCATTATTCCAGCATCATGACGGTATTACTGGAACTGCCAAAGATTCTGTTGTCGTTGATTATGCCAATAGAATGTTGCGATCATTTCAAATTTTACAAAAGGTAGCTACATCATCTTTATCGATGATAACAAATCATTCGATCCCTGAATTGGAATTCATGCACACTTTTGTGAATATCCAGTCTCCTATTCGAAAACATTCATTTCTTCTAAATCCGGAGACACGAAAGTAATTATAAATTATGATCATTATGATTGATTATTCTAATTTTTTTTGATTGATTCATAGGTATTTTATCTTGTATAATAGTCTGGGCTGGACGCTTGACACTCAGGTATTCTGTTTCGATATCCATTGGACTACTGACAATTTTAGCATGCCCGATTGGTGTTTAACATCAAACGATGTTGATAGTTCGAATCCTGATGTTTCAATCAAAATCATACAAATCAATCATCAATGGCGAGATTTGCATCCATCCAGCGAACCATTAGAAAAACGTCGTGAAATTTGTTTTCAACCTAAACTTGGACCTATTTCACTTCGACAATATTGTTTCGGTCATTGCCGATGTTCACCGGTTGATAGTGGTAGCTATCGACATCATGAAAAACATGAAAGCTTCGTTACACTTTATAATTCTCATCGAGATTCGATGGTAGCGAAAAAACCATTCGATTATCACGTTCTGTCACTCATATCATCGGCTCCCAATACGACCATCGAAAACGAACTAATCCGTTTGACTTTCGATTCAACATCAATGAACGGTCTATTGAAATCTTGGAGCTATTATAATTTTCAGACAAAATCATGGATATCTATTGATGTAAAAATGACGATATTGACTTTTGGTACCAAATCTGGTGGAAAAAATGTTCAAAAATCCGGTGCTTACATATTTTTGCCAGATGATCAAAATCCAGTTCCACTTGAATGGACGAATAAGCCAAAGATTCGAGTTACAATAGGAAACCTCGAATCTCGTTACGAATGGATGATTGAGGAACCATATCCTGTGCATATTCGATTTAGTTTATATCGTGGACGACCAACAGTTGAAATGCAAACCGAATTTCATCTGCAAGGTAAACAAGGAGCTAATCGTGAATTGTTGATTCGATTCGAAATACCTCAAATCGATAATGGTGATCGATTTTATACCGATTTAAATGGATTGCAAATGATTGCGCGAAAGCGTTATGCAAAAATACCATTACAAGGTAATGTTTACCCGCTTACAACGATCGCTTGGATTGAAGATAATGAACATCGATTCACTGCTATGAGTGGCCAACCCTTGGGTGTGACAAGTCTACGTAGATCAACAATGGAAATATTCCTGGATCGTCGTTTAATGCAAGATGATTTTCGTGGTTTGAATCAAGGCGTTCTTGACAATCGTCAAACTCGCGAAATATTTCGGTTAATGTTGGAACCAACAACAATTAAGACAAATTCAAGTCCAACGTTGACGAGTGGAATGATGTTTGAATCGCAGACATTATTGAATCCGATTATAGGTTTGACTACCAAGCAAATCGACGATGATCGGCCACCGATAAACAAGATTTCTTCATCAAAACTTAAATTATTACAATCCTCATTACCATGTGATTTACATTTGTTAAATTTAAGACGATCAATCTCTCGATATCGTCAATTTAGTCTTTGGTTACATCGTACAGCTTTATCTTGTGATTCTAAATGCCTTCAAACGTCTAATTCTACTTATACGGTCAATTTATCAAAGTATTTGTCCGAAGAAATTGTTGAACGTTTAGAGCCAAAGATCGAGCTAATGAATGGAATGTCTTGGTTTCATCATTCGAATCAAACCGTTCCGTTAAATCAAACAATTAGTATCGGGCCAATGCAATTATTATCGTATCGATTATATCGTATAACACGATGAAATTATCATGCAAAAAAGGGTTAACTTTTTTTTGATAATGATAATTTTATTTTTTGACCTAGTCTTTGGTGCTGACTCACTGCACATTGTTATACACACTGTTCTATTCATGACTTTATCACGATCAATATTAGTTTTTTTGTCAATTTTTATTTTTTAACTGTTGCAAATTAAAAAAAAAATTTATTCAATTTTTTTCTGAGGTTTGTGTTTCAACTGTTATTTTATCGCTGGTTTCATTAGATGTGTTTGTTTCGCTCGGCATAGTTACTTTTGTCGAATCCGGAGATGATGATGTTTCCCTACTTTTCCGTCTAGAACTTCGTTCACTTTTTTTCGAACGACAACTACGACGGTGATGATGATGACGGTGAAAATGTCTGTGGCTGGTTTTATTATCGTCAGATAAATCATTATTCTTATGGCTATGACAATGCTTGATTGGTTTTTGTCGTCGACCCGGACAAACAGTCAGATCGTTCAATCGGAACATAACCATTAGAATTATGATAAGTGAGATGATAAAAGCCGAATAATAGGGCATCAAACGAAATAAACTTTCGCCAGAGTAACTAGGTGCACAAATCCATCGTCCAAACAATATGGATAGAATGATACAGTTGAATATGAATAGTTTATAGACCAGACCATCGTATCGAAACGAATAGATAATACTGACAGCGATTAAACTACCGGAAAGAAAGAAAAATGTTGAAGTTGGTACGGACGATTTTTTGTTTTTGCGATATACTCCGAGAAAATCATCGGCATACAATTGAAATGAATTCAAAAGAATTAAGAATGCCGAAATATATAGAAGATATCGTAATAGATCGATATAATATAAAACATATCCATGAGGAGAATCTGTTTCATCTAAACGGGAGGAAGATCTTGATTTACTACGATGGCGACTACGATCATGACTACAACGACGTCGGCCCATTCTCTAATCAATCTAAACAACTACAATATTCACAAGCAAAATCAGTTTAATTTATATTGTAGAACCAAATTTATTAATTTAATTAAATTTAATAATTGAAAAACAAATGAATTCACAAAATCGAATAAACATTCAGTCATTAATGAATAAATGATAAAATGGTTAAATAAATAATGTTTTTTTTTGGTGTTGATGATTTATGAAATTTGTTGATCGATATCACAGGAATCGGTTGATGAAATAAAAAAAAACGTTAGTTATTTGTAGAGCTTGACTAACATTGTAAACATAGTATTCGGTTACGACGATTTTGTGCAAACAACCAGCCATGACAACGTTGAAAACGATTAAAAACATTTGAGCCGGATTCGAATCTACGCATTGCTTCTAATATTTGTTCTGGAGTTATGGCGCCAAAAAGATTCTTCATTTTTTGATGAGGTAAGGATTGGATATCAGTATTTGTTGACGCGTTGTTTGTCGATGTAGAGGCCGTTTGAAAAGCCATTACCTTTTCAGATGTTCGACGCAAAATGTCTGCTACGAATTGTTCGTTGGATTTTGACTTTTGCAAACCATTCGAATTGTTAGTCGAGATTGAATGAAAAGAATTAATCTGATTCATCATTGGATCACATTTGGATACTTTAGCAGCCGAATCTGTTGATCTTGATTCTATTGATAATTCTCGACGTATTCGTTTTGTGGACATTGCTTGTGATTCGATTGTTGTAGGATAAAGTGGACGACCGCCATCGATACCTGGCCTGGAAACACGACGGTTTTGATCATGACGAACCATCAAAGCCAATTCGACTAGAATAGCAACAGTTTCGTGAGCAAAATATTGTACAATTTCCCATCCAAGTGAATTGGGCTTCAATTCCAGTCGATCAACCTCGTCAAATGAACCAAGTATCCAATCCTGAAATTTCTGGAACATTGAATTTGATATTGTTTGTGAACCAGTTGACGAACCAAAAAATGTTACCGATCGACATGATTGATAGTAAAGGTATTCTTTGACGGACATATGTTCAGTAAATTCACTAAGTCGACGATTGCGAGCAAAAGTATAATCATCAATCAGATCAATGGCGACATCGGGATGATGATACAATAATCGTTCCATTTCGCAACAATTTTGTGGTGTCTGAATAACTGATCGAAGAATTTCCTGACAAGATTTAACTCGTTTGGTAGATGCATTTGTCTGATGTATGGGTATATTGTTTACTAAGGTGGATGATGATGTTTCGAATGAACTTGATGATTTGCTTTCGCCATCACAAACATTGCCTTGACCGTTGGGCAGGCAATTCCATTCGTCAGAATCATCGGCCTGTAATTCACTTTTGACATCGTTATATAAGGATTCCATTTGTGATTTGGAAATTTTCGATTGTTTTGTTGATTTTTCCTTACTATCTACCAATGAAGATGATAATACTTTAAGTTTCATATCTTTGAATTTCAAATATCGAATTAATTTGGCCAAACGATGTCGATCATGTTTGAGAAGAAAAATAAAATCTTCCACACTGATATGTGTTCGAGATGTGTTTGTCGTCGACGATGACTGTGAATGACGCATTTGGGCTACACGTTGAGCTTCCAACAAAAGCATGGTCATCTGATGGCGAACAATTGATTCGATCATACGAGCCGATTCGATTAATGGCTGACGTACATCGCCGAAAGCGTGCATCATTCGACGAATTTCTTCCATGTAGGAGATTATTCTATGACCATTGGTCACTGATGAAGATTGATTTGACCTCGTTGATTTTTTCGTTCGACAATTTTGCTGACATTTTGAATTAGATTGATCAGTGAATGTTGCATCGGAAGATGGATTCAAAATGATACGTTTGGCAACGGCACGTTTTACGTTTTGTTTACTGCTTGATGCAAATGACTGATCTGAATTAGTTCGAATTGAAGTGTTGGCCGATGATTCTTTCGCATTCGTAGTGATATTTTTAGCCATGAAAAACAATCTTAATCAAGATAAGCAAGCGCACAATGTTATTTACAAATGAAAACACTCGGCTCAAATACGATGGTCAAAACGAATGAAAACAAAAAGAAAAGGAGAAAATGTCTGCAGTTGGACAGACCGACTGAAATTTTTTACGAAAACATGTACTGCACCGTTCACGTAGAACGTATTCATCAAACACATTTGGGATAATTAACCACATGATATCATTGTCAACATGTTCCATCAATTAATCTCGCATCTTGGAACTAATTTACTTATAAAATGTTCATGCAATCAAGTTTCTCGAAGATCGGTGGTCATCCTAAAACGTAAGGTTCGTCTTCCCTCTCAACCATCGTTGATCAGTCCGCTGATTGTCGGGCCATTTTTGAAAGATCGACCACATTTTCGTGAACCTAGACCGGTGGCCGATTTCATCTACGAAGAAGTTGAAGATAGTGAAAAAATTGAAGAATCAAAATTAAAACTTATATTATTAGAAACTGTCGATGAAATCGGTGTACCTGGTGATATAGTTGAAGTGGAGCGTGATTATGGCCGTTTTTCATTGTTAAGTTCAAATCGAGCTGTGTATGCTTCACCGTATAATTTGAATAAATTTAAGCAACTAATCGAAGCTGGTTCGAAAGACCGTGTTGGACCTTCGTCAGCATTCGTTGGACCAACATTGAAAAAATTAGCGAATGATGTTATAATTGTTGTTATGAATGATGAACATCCATGGACATTGAAGCCATGTCATGTTAGAATAGGATTACGAGCTGCAGGTTATTTGGTTCCTGAAGAATGTATTCGATTACCTGATACTCCGATCAATGGACCAGATATTGAAGGTAAACAGGGCAAAGATTTTGCCGTAACAGTTACAATCAATAATCGTGAAACGGTTAACGTAAGATGTCTGCTTCACCATAAAGGTCATACATTACGATTGAATTGGAATCGAAAACCACGTCATATACTTTTAGATGAACAGAAAGAATTGTTAGAATCAATGCCATGCAAAGATGCATTGGAAGAAGATGAATATAATTTAGTAAACGAATCATAATATTTGTTTGTTTATTTGTTTTTGAATTCGAATACAAATTAATAATAATAAAAATTTTTATATTATTTAAAATTAAATGATGAGAGGGAGTGAGTGAGAGAATGAAAAATGACCAGATTCAGTTGACAAACAGGATCATCTTTAGACGATTGGCTTATAAGTAAATGAAATTGAAGATCGTAGTAAATGTTATAAGGATAACATTGATGAGGATAGCTGATCGAATTGGATTTGAAGAATGATTTGTGCCATCTTCCCATTCCCGTTCACCATAACGATCAAACGAAGTAGTACCTGACCTGCTGTATTCATCATTACGTTGTCGTTGTTGTCGTTGACTTTGACGCTGACTGCAACGAGCCCGACATTCGATTTCATTTTGTGGACAAATATCACAAAACTGTCAAATATAATATTTCGATTAATTTGGTTTCATTTATTTTGATAGAGAAGAAAGAAATGTGAAAAAAACGATAGATAGAATGTCTAAAAGCTAATAGAGAAAATAAGTTCCAAATTGAAGGAAACGAAAATGAATCATGCAGAAAGTTGAAAAATAAATGCGCAACGTTGGCATTGTTGGAAAAAAATTCATTCAGAAATAGTGGACAGAGGAGTAGTTGTCGAAAAAGAGGAAACAGATTCACCGGCAGCCAATTCATTTACCGTCACTAGAGTTGGTTCATAGAATATTCTTGATAATTTGGAACGATCATAATAATCATAGATAGTAACCGGAACTGGTTTATTATTTGCAACATGATGAGTTCGATGTGCTGGTACAGTAATGCATAGTTCATCACGCGTAACCTAATATGTAGGATAGGATCAGAAATGAACGACCGATATAATTGATCAAATTACTGGATCACTTACCCTATCAAAATAAACAATGACAGTGCCATCATTATTTGCTGTATCAACACGTTTCACTTCTTTAGCTCGAGTAGCTGCGGGCAATGCATCGACATCTGCATTGTAACCTGATGGTAATTCAACTTCCATAACAGCCATGTTGGTCGAATTACCTTCCTTGTAGCTATAAAATGATGAACGAAATTAGTTTCAAGTGAAACCAGAATCATCAACAATAAAAACTTACTAAGTACAAATACTAAGTTGGAGATAATTTTCTGTCGATGTTTTATCTTTCTGTGGATTTAGGAAAAAAGCCGGTTTTTCCGCCGACACAGCTAGATTGTATTGGTATGATACTTGAATAATGGCTGTACCAAATCCAGCTGCTTCTAATTGAACCCATTCTGTTTTTTCTGAATCCAATTGAATTTGTTGAAGTACAAGTGCATTATCCGTATTAAAATACAAGACTTGTTGTGGACCAGGATTAGTGCTCAAATCACCATCTTTAGCATTTCCATGTTTGATATTCACTGCCATTTTGACGGTGGCAGTAGAGATTCGTTCGGCAATGGCACCCAATGCTTGCAATCCGATAACGGTATCCTGAGTACTAGAGAAACCTCCGTTGGAATTTTGTTTTGAAATCAACCAACGAAGTGCCGGAATAGCTTGATCAACTTCGGATCGTAAAGCCATTGTAAGTATAGCATATGAAGTGGCTTCAATGTCGACAGCATTCGGATAGAGTAGATAATCCGATGCAACAATTTTCAACCGATCACTTGTTTTGTTCTGTTCTTGATCGGATCGTATCGACCAGTACATCAAAGAATCTGGGTCTTGTTTAACCATGGCCATCATTTTTTTATGAGCCACATCTTTATGTTGCGAATCGGCCAGATGCAAGGCATAGTTCCCGATGGCAACTTCATATGGACTAGTTGAACTGGATACACGTGAATAAACAAAATCAGCTGCACGTTGTAAAGCTGATTCATGACGAACGCGAATTGGATCAGATTTTGTTTCGTGAAGAATTGCAATCAATACGAAAGCTGTTAATGCACCGGCATTATCATTAGTTTCGGCATCTTCACTTTCGTCAGCTGCTCTAGGTTTGATGGCAGAACCGCCTTGAAGTGCTTTGTTGTGAACTTCACCGTATTCAGCAAAACTTCCGTCTTTTCGTTGTCGTGTCAATAACCATTCAATCGATTTTGTGATAATAGCATTGTCCACATCAATGTGTGGTCGTGCTTGTATGAATGTTTTAGTAACAAACGCTGTCAACCAAGTTGAACCGGCTTTATCCGATTGACCGAATGCCGAGAATGAACCATCATCACGTCGATAAGTTAATTCACGTTGATAGCCTGTTTCAATATGATTCTTGGTTTTAGCACGTATTGCTTCTGTCATGCGTCTGACACGTTCAAGGTAATTGGTGACGACAATGTTTGGCACCAAATTGATCATGTTCTGTTCACCACATCCATATGGCATACGAAGAAGATCATCCAAATGATTGACGGTTGGACCTAATATATCACTGATACCTGAAACCATAATGCGAACTGAACCAGGAACGGCATTCGGTGGTATTTCTATTGAAACATTTCGTTTGATCAATGTTCGATCTTGTTGATTCACAGCGTTTATAAACATAGCTTTGTTGAAGTATTGAGTTTGACCTTCAGGTTTGACAAGTAATTTCTGTACAACAGCATCGCCAATCAAATCGGCACTGGCTCGAATACGAATATTGATAAATCCTAATTTTTTAGGCGTTATCAGAAAATTGACCGAAACACCATCGTAAGAAGCAATCGTAACCGATTTCCGTTTTTCACGAACATTTTGTTCGCCAGCAAATTCAATTTCGTTGGCAGCGTTAGTAAATTCAAATTCATCAGCTTGATTTTCCATTACAACTTCAGCTGTGATTGGTTTGTTTTGATAGTTAAAAACAATTGCTTGAATAGAGACTGATTCGCCACGTATTATTGAATAAGGTAACGAAAGTTTTATGAAAAACGGTCGAAACACATTAATCTGTCATTAAATTAAGAATCGAAATTATTCAAATCAAAAGTACAAGATGATTAAATAATACCTTAAGCGCATCAGGTGCAATACCTAGACCAGTAATTGAATCAACTGCAAATGCTGATACATACCATGATGTGATAGTATCGGGAATCGAATCCGAATATCTTGCTAGACCATCATTGCTAAAGTAGAAAATACAAAAAAAAAATAAATAAATTCTAGTTCAAATTAGCGAAAAAAAAACAAATGAAAAACATTGCAACAACAAGCAAATAGGAAAAAAATTGATTCGAAAAAAATACCCGGTAGTGAGATTAGCCCAGATCCAAGTTTCGGGAAAAGTTTTACGCAAAACAATTCGTGATTCCGATTTTGGTGTCAATTTAAAATCGGGTGGCTGTAATCGATGTTCGAGTATCATATCATCCAATCGAATCGCAGCTAATGGTTTCAAATCTACACACATAAAATTTAGTTTTTTTAATGTTCTAAATCCAATTGAGGATGACCATTACCTCCACGTCTTTGATTATTAACAATAATACCACCACCATCAGCAGCAAAAAAAATTCGTTTTCCTGTTCCTGTGATGATGTGTTGGGATTAAAAAAAAACAAATGCAAACACACAATAGTAACAACAATGGACAATCAATCAATCAAGACAGCAAAGATAGTGGAAAGCAAGAAAGCAAAGAATTACTAATTCATGAATAGAAACCTACTCAGAGGTCAGATTAGACCAAATCCATGTTTCGGGAAATTTTTTTCTCAATTTAATCACAGATTTTGACTGCCGAGTTGGCATTTGTGCACCTTTTCGATATACCGGAGACATTTCTAGTTCTGCAGGATTATCGTCATCAAAAGCAATTCCAGGACTACCTAGATTTCTTGTAAAAGCAGTGGTTGCGGCCAATGGCATAGCGAAATATACTAGAGATGTGTTTTTAGGAAATTTTCATGAAGAAAAGGAAAGTTGTTCATGCAGTGAACAATGATAAAGGTAACTTACTTTTGTGTTCATATTGATGAACTAGACTGTTGGTCAATATGACTACACCTGAATCAGAAAATATATCTGCAGCAGTTGTAGCCGCCGACCATGGCCAATATCTAGGATATAAATCAAATGGATTTTGATTGCCCGAATCATAAGATTCTAATTCATTTAATACATCTTGTTGGGTGATATCGAAACCAGATTTGAGTAATAGAACACTTTGATCAACACCGAGTAATCCTACATAAGCGGATGGTTTAGTTCGTACTTCTATGTTTACCAAACCGCCTGGTTTAGTTTGATTTACGTTTGATGAAATTGATACCGGTGTTTTAAATGAACCATCTACATTGAAATTGAACGCATCGGCTACAATTTCTTTATTGCCATCGCGTATATAGTAAACAAGAAGACGAGCTTTGGGTGTCATTCGATGAGTGATTGTAATGACAATCTGTTCGATTGTTCGTCCAGGTGGTCCGGATCGAATATTTCGAGCCAATACCAGATCACCTTTGGCCATTACTTCATATACAAGATTATCGAATGGTTCAGTTGCATTCACGATGAATGTGATTTCATCACCAACGCGCAATGGTTTCTTTTGGAAAATATTATCATGTTCTGGATTTTCTTGTTTCATGATCACCTGAATAAAATTCATTGATGGTGATTGTGCAACATTGATTGATTCTAGAAAATAGGTTTGTCCACGATATTCTGCACTCAATCCAATAACACCAATCTTTCCCTTTTCCTTAGGTGGATAAAAATCAATCTGAATGATACCGTTATGTGGCACTTTTTTGATCGTATTATTCCATTCATCCTCGTGATGTGAATATCCATAGCTAAGAATGACCGGCGGACCATCGTTATCTACAGGAGTGTCATCTTGATAGGCAACTTTAATGAAAGCGGTATATTTCAATCCAGGCTTAAACGTTTTTGCTGTTTTAATCATTTCCACTTTTACCTCTTTATGATAGATTTTCAGAACGGATGATTTGTTATATTTTCGTCCAGTTAACGTTTCTTCGACCAGGGCAAAGAACTCGATTTCACGATCGAAGAAATCGGTTCTAAGATTCATATCACGAACTATATTAATTGGAATGTCTACTTTACCATCCGCTCCAAGTCGTATTTTTGTTTGAAATTGTTCCAACGGGCGAAATGTAATAGATGAATGACGAAGTAAAGGTTGAACAGTAAGGGTAACATCACCACGAACTGGCTTGCCATAAGTATATGTGGCCTTCACAGTAGCCACAACATCTGAACGATTGTAAGTGGCATAAGGTGGTAACAATACATCCACTGAAAATGTAGGAAGAACATATTCCGCAACAGAAAAATGTTTTTCTAATTTTTGTCCACCGGCAACTTCGACACTAATTGTCCAATCACCCAAAGGAGGCTGATCAGAAAGAGCAAATTGTTCGGATACAACACCACGATGAGTAAATATTCGTTTCCACTGTTTAATTAGATTATCTTTCGGATCCTGTTTCAAGCATGCAATTTATATCGAAATATAATAGATTTGTATTATTAATTAACTTACTTTTATGAATATATCCAAACTACCGGCCAGATTCGGTATTAATGATGGATTTACAATGATGGTACGAAATCGAACAATTTGTCCGGGTTTATAGACGGCTTTATCCGTCTGTACAAAAATCGAATAAGATTTTGAATCAAATTCCAAATCAGTTTCATTAGCAAATTCATATCTTGGTTCACCATCGGTTCGACCTTTAACAATTAATTTATAGTTTCCTTTGGCCCATTCGCCAATTTCAAGATTAATAATTCTAGATTCATATGGTCGAACTGTGACAGTACTATCAATTCGATTAAAATTGGATTGTGTGGATGGACCACTGATGCTAATATCGAATGATGCTGATTGTGTTGTATTCTCAAGTTGAATACTAAGATGATAATCAGAATTTGGACGTAGTTTTGATGGAGAAACAATCGTATAAACTGGATCCGATAAATTTGATTGAAAAATTGACATAAAAGTCAAAATTGCCAGAACAAAATTGGTCCACATTTTGGACCTGAAAACAATATCGTTATTCGATGAATTCAGTAATGAAAGTAATAAATAAAAATGACGAACAAATTTATTCGGAAAAAATTTCGAATATCCGTTGCAATCAATGAATGATTAGCAACAACAAATGTGTTTCAACAAATTATTCATAGCTTGTTTGTTGCGATGGCACAGAAAAAAAAAATAAATGGTTATCACAAAAATGATGATGATGAATAACAGAAAAAAATCCTAATCTCCGGGATAATTTTTTATTGATGAATTGACAATTTATATCTATCATTTCAAAGTTATTTGATAGATTTGTTTATCACACTTTTTTATTTAACATTCAAACATGAAATTATTTTTGGGCAAAACCAAATAGATTTTTTTATGCATGAATGAATTCACTTATTATGATCAAACAATGATCAACTGAATAAATGATGTTTGGTAAATAGGAGAAATAATTTTTTAAAAAAATAGGATTCACGGAAAAATCAAATCAATTTATCAAATTCATTCAAAAAATGGCAACCATAGAAATAGATCATAGAAAAATAATCAAACTGATTAAATTCGATGACGTTTGAAACGAATGGAAATGAATTTGAAAAGAAAATTCACATATTGTTGGTTAGCTTGTTTGAAACATTTGGTTGGCCGTCAATATTTCGAATGAATTTATGGTAGGCGTCAATATAAGCTTGTTTCATTCATTCATTCATTCATTTCAATAGACACTTTCACTTGTGTTTCACGGATGAATCAATCATCATCATTTAAATTTGATATATGTACATATATGGATATTGAATATTGTCATTAAAGCCACCGAATAAAAAAAACAAAAGTTTGTTGATTCAATTTAAACTTGAAAAGGAAACCTTATTGAAGGATCGTACAAAAATTGATGGGCAAATTAAGAGAGATCGAGGGGGTGGACACCGATATCAGAATCATACAGTAGTTATTTTTATTTTCATTCAAAGAAACACAAAAAAAAATATATTGATTCAACATTAACCTATTTTTCATATTGATTGATTGATTGAGTTACAGTTATTTTTTGTCCATCATTTTCTTTGCTTATTCAATACAATGTTTTGATAACAAAAAAATGAATGAATGGACGATGGACATCTTCTTTTTTCAAAATTGATGTTTGCGACCAACAAACAAACAATAATGAGCAACAATAACAACAGGTGTTTATTAAATATTTTTCCTTATGGTAAGTTTTATACCTTGATCACCAATATGAACACACAATTAGATTTTCAAATGTTTAACAAAAAAAAAATTCTTATGATCGTGTCCAAATCGACAAAAACAAATGTCACGAGGGTAATATTAGTCATACAAACAAAAAAAACATGGATAAATAATTCACGGTAATTTCGACCTGTATTAAATAATGAATTTTAAAAACAAAAATGTTGATTTCACAGTTTTTTTTCGAAAAATTTTTTTAAACAAAACAGCAACAAAAACATATTGATGATGAATATTAAAACGGGAATGGACAGGTTTTTTTCTGCCTTATTGTATTTCTTATTCGCAAAAAAAACTTTGAAAAGAGAAATTTCTTCGATAAAATAAAAGAGAGAAGACAGTGGAAGAGAAATGTTGCAAAAAAAAAAAAGATTTTAAAGTTTGAAACGATAAAAACTAGATTCTATACATCTAGGTTATTATCATCTATTTTTCTTGTTGACCATATTTCTGGTTTGTTTTCTCTCCGTTACCCTAATGACCTAGTCTACCTTTATAAGTTGGGTATGGTTATTTATTTGATTCGAGGTAATATTTTAAAGCTTAGTATTGACCTAAAGCCTATTAATGTGGCCGAATTGATGCGGACGATGATGATGATGATAAAGTATGTGAATTGCAATACAGTGAAGAACAATAGAAAATTGATGTCTGAACAAAACGAAGATGTGAATGAATGAATGAATGAATGATGTATAGTTATGACATTAGAAGATGTTTGTTTTCTTTTTTTAAATTGAAGATTTTTTTTAAAAAAAAGGAAAAGGCTGGCAATATTTGTCTATAAGCTGTCATTGAGAATTTGAATTGAAAATTTTTGGTTTCTTTTTTGTTTCTTTCAAAAAAAAACAATTTCAAAATCAACAAAAAAAAATGTATTCCAAATATAGTTTTTTTTGGATATGTAACCAACAACGAGTGAATGGAAACCTACATATTTTTTTTGTCAACGATATCAAAAGTGGGAGATTTATCATAACGAATTTGTTTCGTTATGGACCTTCGATACATGAAAATATTCTCAAAAATTTCAATTTACGACCTTCATCATCATCGTTTCATCAAATTCGTTGTTTATGAATCCGTTTAAATTATATCCGGTTTTTTTTCATTCTGCCAAAATAACTCTTCGTTCAAATTGATGATGATTGTCATCTATGAAAGGTTAATTTTTTGGATTTAGTTGATTTTCAAATGATTTTTTTTTGTTGACTGGCATGCATTGATTTTGATATTGTAGCAAAATAATGTATCCAAACGTACCACTACATTATTTGAATCGGATTAGCGGAATAGTATTCTCTCTGCATGTGTGTGTGTGTGATAATTTTTTTCCCATTATAAATGTATGTGTTTTGTTTGCCACTACCAAAAGGAATCATTAAAATTTATATATTTGTATTGATGTTTGATGTATAATGCTGCCAAGAAAAAAACAAACTTGGAATGGTGTGTGTGCGGTTGTTAAAAAAAAAAAAAAATAGCGAAATTCGGTAAATGGTGAGCGGCGCGAGAAGTGCCCAGTTTGATAATCAATTCTATTAAAACGAACATCTTATTTTGATTTTTTTTAATATTTTGCTATTGGAATTTCTGCGAAAAAAAGGGGTAATATTTTGCGAATTAACTCAAATGATTTTTATAATAATGTGTCTGTTGGTAATATTAAATAGGATTTATATTTTGAACAAGAATCATGGACGATAGCCAAATGTGTGATAATGATGATAATAAAGAACTAATTGTAGACGAATCATTATTAATCAATATTGGTGATGATGATGATGATGATGATAATGATAATGATGTACCATCAACAACAGTTGTTCAAACACAATCATCGATTGAACCATTGTCAATTGTTGAAACCGAATCATCATCATTATTAACGAATGTCATGAATATTATTGAAAACAATGATCAATCTAACGAAATCAAACAAATCGAAACAGTTCCAGTATTAACTGAATTACAGCCAAATGAAGAACTTAAAACCGAACAATCGCCCATCTCAACGGATAATGTTGCTGTAAGTTGGGAAAAAACACACCAAATTGAACAACAAGATCCATGTACAACAAACCAAATAGATACTAACAGAGAACAGAACAATCAAATATCCGGATCAATAGATAATATGGTTCATGAACCAGAAATTAGCATCAATCTTGAGATGGATGCTTCCAATAATAAACAGTTTGATGAATATGAGAATAAACCATCGAATATCTTTATTCCAACCATTCAGTTGGATTCCAGCGATGATAATGTGGCCGATACGAGTGATGTACAAATAATTTCTGAGCCAGATCAGCAACAATCCGAACAACAATCAACGCTAGCTCTATCTACATCATTCATATCGGTATCGAGTACTGGTTCATCATCACCGATTATATCGCCTACATTGCCAAATACTAATCAGAATAATGGTCAACAATCAATTCTGATGTTACCACCTCAACGAGCATTTTTAAACATAAAAAAAGATATGCAAAATTTCCCGGTTGTCGATCTTGATCAACGCTCGTCATATTCAGACACAAACAATGGATGTGGTCTAGCAACGACCAGACATGAAAAATCATTAGGTCTATTGACCACTCGTTTTGTTACGCTGTTGCAAGAATCAAAGAATGGTGTACTTGATTTAAAATCGGCTGCTGATCTACTTGAAGTACGACAAAAACGTCGAATCTACGATATCACGAATGTTTTGGAAGGTATCGGTTTGATCGAAAAGAAATCAAAGAATTCGATTCAATGGCTTGGTGGTGGACCTGGTTGCAATGCACGAGAAGTAACAGAACGTCTTTTGTCACTTAAAGATGAACTCATCGAATTGGACATCAAAGAAATGGAACTTGATGAACATCTAAGTTGGTCGAAACAATCATTGATAAACATTGTGGATGAGCAACAATATTCGAATCACAAACGTTATATGTACTGTACACATGATGAATTGTGTCGAATGTTTGGAAAAGATTGTAATTTGATGGTCATACAGGCACCATCCGGTGCCAAGATGCGTATCGAAACAATGGATCGATCTGACCAACGAAACGATGATCAGGTCAACGATGATAATAGTTCCCAGGCTGAACATATATCCAGTCTTAATCAACTTGGATTGGAGAACATTCATGATTATAGTGAGTATCAAAAATCTTTGCGTCAGATTCAGATGCTTCGTAAACGTGGTTCATGCAATCAAATTCATTTAAAATCCGAGAATGGACCAGCTCATGTCATGATTGTCAATCAGAAATTCGATGATGATTTTGATGATGTTGATGATGACGATAATAAGGATGAATTTGATCAACATCATGAACATGGAAATTCTATTCCAGCATATAAACGAAAAAAATACGCGCATCTCAAACGGCTTATTGAATCACAAAGAATTGAAGCTCAACGTAATCAACCGATTGTGCATGAAAAAGATCGGTTGGTTTTGGAACAAAAAATACTTGAAGAGACTGGTATGACAATGGATGAGGTAAATAAGCCTGAAGATGTGTCATCAAATAACAAGATCATAAGCAATAGCAAAACGAAAGCAACACGAAAAGGTTCAAATCGAACGTCTAAACAACAGGAAGCTGCAAAGAACCGAAGAAAAAAAGAAAAAGAATCGGCACCAGTACTACCATCTCGACATCTATCGCCTCGTCGAGCAGCTCAACATCATCTTTTCTGTCCAACTGCTCGAACCACATCATCCAGCAAATTCACACAGGAATCATCGATAACAACTCGAGCTGGCCGAAAAGATCGCAAAAATAGTAGCAGTAATTCGATGACTGATATTAATCAACAATCCGATGATTCACAGTCCAAAGACTCGAAAGATCTCAATAATATGAATGATGAAATCAAAACCAAGGAAACAGCAGAAAATATCGATGAACAAATGGAATTCGAAATGGAACAAGATGAAAACAATGCTCAACATTCACAATCTCAAAGCATTTTAACGCCGTCAAGTGGATCGGTTTATGCAACGAAAAGTTCGCCAAAAGCCATTAAATCCTCATCATCATCATCATCATCATCATCCAATATTACTGCGTCGACATCATACTCGTTGGTTACTGAAATAAAAGATGAAGTCCTATCACTCCCAAAAACGTCTGAATGTCGAAATAGAGATGAAGATTCAACCGAATCTGAAACAACCTCAATAGTTGATCAACCAGAAGAGATAACAATAATGGCCACTACTAGACAACCGTTTTCTCAAGTACAAATCAAAGTTGATATCGATGATTTAGTCATACCGGATTGTCATTTACCATTTCTTCGTTTATCTCCACCAGCATCGAATCATGATTATCATTTCGATTTGGCCAGCAATGAAGGCATTCTGGATCTGTTTCTTTGCGATTAAATCGTGATTCGCTTTCGTTTGCTTCCTATTATCATATGAATTTGATATTTTACTTTAATGAATTTATTATTTATCCGATTAATTATATGATACAAATAAAATAGTTGGCATTCCAATTTTGTTTTATTTTTTTTTGACTAATATCTAAGCCTGTTCTAATTCAATGAGTACGCCGGAACAATCTTTTGGATGACAGAATATAACAGGTTTGCCATGAGCACCAATTTTCGGACGATCCGATAATAAACGTAAACCACGTTGACGTAAATCAAGACAAGCGGCATCAAGATTATCTACTTCGAAACAAAGATGGTGAATGCCACCTGTAGGATTTTTATCTAAAAAATTTTCGATTGGACTTTTGCAATCGGCTATCGGGTCGAGAAGTTCGATTTTGGTATTACCACAATCAACAAACATAGTATTGACACCGTGATCTGGTTGAGCATGTTTATCCGAAGTTTCCATCCGAAATTTATCCTTGTACAATGTTGACGATTCTTCGATAGTTTTACTGGCGATGGCTATGTGATTGAGGCGTAAAATCTTCCATGAAGATCCGCTACTGTTAGAATTGTTATATCTGTACAATCGTTATGTTTTAATGACAATGATTCACAATATTTCTTAAAATATTACCGTTTAAAAGTTTGATGTGGCAATCTTTTTTGGCACATCATCGATATCAGCAAATTTTTCGAATAAATTCTCAGCATTTTGTTTTTGTTGCTGTTCGATAGCTTGAAGTCTTTTCTGTTCCTGTCTTAATCGAAAATGATGATAGAATCGAACACCAATAAATCCAGTAGTGACCAATGTAAATGCTACCGATGTATAAACGAAATATCGATGTGCCAAATTGAGTATTTTTTCGAAACGTCTTTTAGGATGTTTAATCATGACTTGAATTTTATTCGATGAAATTATCTTTATCAGGTTATGGTTCTTATCTTAAATTGCCAATTGAATGAAAAAAAAACGAGATATCCTTGATCAAATGTTGTTTATATCGATCTGATATACATTCGCGTACGCATCGTCAATTTTTTTTTGCCATCAGCATGCATTGTAACGTTGTACTTGAAAGGTATCAAGAGGATTTTATCAAAATTTCAATTTGAATTTTTTTTTTGAGATAAAAATGTCAATTGAAAAAAAACCAAACATGATCGATCCAGAAGAATATTTTTTTATCTATCTATAGATAAATCAAAAATGATTCGATTTTTTCTATGCCGAATCATTATCATTCAACAAGATAACCACAACAACCAATTGACTAATCATTATTATCGGAAGACAATAAAATCACTGTACAGATCATTTAATTTCAAATGAAATTCGTCTGATGATTCAAAGTGTTTATTTTGTATATTTTGAAACATTTTGGTATTCTAAATTCTTTTTTTTTTGAAACGTCGTAGCTATTGTCTCTATTATGGATTGTGTAATTTACATTGTTCAAAATATATATCATTAAAAATTTGTGGATTTTTTTTCTTGCTGCTACTTTTCTCTTTTTTTTTCCATAAACATACACATTCTATATATATATCATCAACAATTGTTCAATCAAATATATTATCTGACTTGTATATATCCTGAACGTAGAAGCATTTAATTTAGTTAACCAAGGATGTATATTAGGATGTTTATTATTATCAGACACAATTTTGTCTAACTATTTCTTTTATATTGTAAACAACGGATTATTCAATCAACCAAAAAATAAAATAAAATCTACTCGATGTTTTCAATGAAAATGCTTGCCCTTTAATGAAAAAATAATAATGTCCCCTGTGTGTGTGTGTTTATTTGTATATAGATTGATTACAGAAAAAAAATTTAAAACCAAAATATTTTCATTTAGATATGATTTTAATTAATCAAATGATGATCATCAATTAAAATATAAATGTGAGAAATTTTTTTTTCGTTGTGAAATCCACATAGCTATCGTTGAATCATTTTATATCAATAGCCCTAATCCTTTCGTTATTGTTGTTGTTGTTGTTGTGAAAATTTAATTTCAAAGTTCAAGGTAAATTTAGTTTGTTTTTTTTTCAATTCATGGATTCATTTCGAACCGATAAAGTACAATGATAATGTAATGATTAACAAATCATGTCAAGGTATTGTGATGATATTTTTGATAATAAAAAAAACCTTGGGCCTCTTGATCATACACGTTATCATAATGTAGAAATACTTATTATTGAATTGGATATTAGTAATTAAGGATTAGGTTAAAGTCTATTGACAATCATCAATTATCTTATTATTATTTTTTTTTTCTACTTTTCTCACTCATCATCAATTGATAAATCATTCAGGACGTTCAACGTCATTTAAGTAGAGAATACTTGAAATTCTAATCAATTCCAATTATCAATGGATATCTATTATCAAGATTTACATAATCATTGGAACAAATCAAACTTTTCATTATAGCAACAAAAAAAAATTATTAACCTTTATTGTTTTGATGAAAGATCATACATCCAACAATAATATTACAAAAAAAATAGATCGAATTATCATCAATAATGGAAAATACTTCATTTTTGATTTATTCCAATATCAGATACGTTTCAATCTGTTTACTATTAGTAATAATATTGTTATCACCTGTGTTAAGTGATAATTTCAATCATACAATAATTGATTCATTACCATCATCGCAACGTTCCATCTATTCATCGGCTACGATTGTGATGAATGATAAATCAGCATCATCACCAAGTGCAATAAATTCACCAGCCGATTTATTGAATCAAATTGAAACATCTTTGAAAAAATTAACCATTTCTAATCCGGTGACAATGAATTTTCGCAATAAAGATCGGCGAACAATATCGTCGAGAAATGTCGTAAATGGTTTAAGACCCCGTCATCATTCTTTGTTTTGGTCATCATCTTCTTCATCACCATCATCATCATCATCATCATCATCATCATCATCATCACTAATTTCAATGAGACAATTAAATTCGGCGTCATCATCATCATCATCATTATCATTATCATCATTTTCTGATAATTCATGTCGATCTAATTGTTCGGGTCATGGTGATTGTTATAATGGCACTTGCTTCTGTGAGGTAAATATGAATTTTAATGAATGAATCGGCCATTGTCAATGAATTGTTTGTTTGTATAAATGATTATTATTCAGGTTGAATATAGTGGTGGAACGTGTGATCATCCAAATCTTAAATATTACATTTCCTTTTCAACAGTATACTATATGATTTGTGTCGTATCTTTCATTCAGCTTATGTTGTGTATCAATTCGGAAATTGCTCGTCAAAAACCACGATCAATATCAAGAGCATTCCGTGTGAACATTCAAAAATCACTTTATTTTTTTATTTGTATTGCAACAGCGATTCGTGGTTTTTACTTTAGTTCTCCATCAAATGGTCAATTAGCATGGACTGAAAGTTTAATGTCTGCTTATTACCCGATTCTAATGAGCGGATCATCATTGTTGGTCTGTTTTTGGGCTGAGGTCTGTATGATTATTATTATTTGTTTGATTTTAATACTTATTAGAATTGATTTTTCAATTATAAGGTTTTTCATTTGGATGCCAGTGTTGAACGATCTCATTTTTTGGATAAATCCTTTTTCGGATTCATCTTATTCAACGGCATTAGTTATTCTCTTTATTTAGCAGAATTTCTTCTTATATCTTTTACGAATCCTAATGATACTGAAAAGGTAACTATTGTTTTGTATTTACTTGATTCATTATGTTAAATGTTTTTTTTTCAACAGGGTTTCTTTATGAGCATATTCAACAGTATCTATGCATTCTTAATGTTTGTAGTAGTTGTATTCTTTCTTATCTATGGTGTCGAAGTATATTTCAAAGTTCGTGGAGCATTTGCTCCTGATCGTGAAACTGAATCATCCGAATCGATTAGCGCCGATATATCCCAGCTTCAACAATCTCGTTTGGGATTAATTTCTCAAGCCGTATTACTATTGGTTACAATCATCTTCATGCTTTCTGAAGTGTTTGGGTTCCTTTGGAAAGATAAAGTGGCCGTCTTATCTAGAAATTATCATCAAGTTATGTTTCGAGTGGTTGAATTTGGTGTTGCTTTGTGGTTTCCTTGTGTACTATGGAACTGCATACAACCTGAACAGCTTTGGATTTTGAACCCAAGGAGAATCCTGAAAAGAAGACAATCACAATTTGATCGCCGATCAATGAAATCTGTGGATAGTGATAAATGCCAGTTGGCCAATCAAAGTGTGGCCGAATCTGAATATCTAGTAGGTGGCCGTTTCGATGCTACTAAAAGCATTACTACGACGACCACCATCCCAGAATGTTGGATTTGTTATGAAACAGCTTTGTCAAAACCAGAAGCAGGTCCAATGATTCAACCATGTTTATGTCGAGGAGATGTATCGGCCGTACATCATAGCTGTTTACTTCGATGGCTAATGGAATCATGTTCAAGCTCGACTGCTCCTGTTTCTTGTAAAGTTTGTGGCAGTGCTTATAAGGTTGAACATTCACAGGAAACTGTTTGGCTTCCAGCCGGATTAACCATCGCTCATTGGCTTAAGACTGCGACAATAATAACAATCATGTGTTGTACGCTTGGTGGTTCCATTATGATTGTCAAACTATTTCACCATATGTATGTAAAGATGATATCGGTCGGATCGGCTATACTAGTCGAATACATTTGCCTTAGGTAGGTCTATTTCTATTTTTTTTCACATTGTTAATAATACAATTCTCTCTACAGGTTTCTAGGATTCAATATGATTTCGGCTTATCATCGAGCAAAATTATCGGCAATCAAAATAATGGGAAAACGAATTCAAATCAATCAACAAAATCAAAACATGAATAATAATCATCTAAATGATAATGGTGCTATTGTTGAAGGATCATCTCCAGTTAACTTTACAATGGCCAAAGAACAAGAAACAATTACATCGAACAATCTAAAAAATATTTGCGACAAACAATCACAATCACATGTGGAATTAGTTGAAATGAATACCAACGTTTCCAATGATAATATAACAACGACGACCAATACACCTACATCATCGATCAAACATGTAACAATCATCGGTAGTGAACAATCTATTTCAGCGCCAATAATTGTCTGTACAGAATCTAGATTATGTTAATGTGGCAAACTGGAACCAAATTAATCAATCAATCAATCAATATATTGTCCGAGTGATCATTAAGTATTTATTATACTTATTAAGCAATAAGTCTTTCTGTACATATTTTATGTTTTTTTTTCTTTCAATTCTTATATTTCTGATCTTTGATTTTGAATTTAAATGATGATTCATTTGTAGTGAATCAATTTGTAATGTTTGTAAATTAGCTATAAAACGGGTGGATTCCAGGTTTTCCATTCCGTTCAAATAATGATACAATGCAATAAAAAAACACTGTTATCGAATATAATGATGTTTGAGGTAGATGATTTATCAATGCGAAAAAGTAAAGAGAAAGAGAGAATCAAATTGGCTTTATCAAGTGTTTGCATGAGAATGAAAATACTTAATTGATGCGTTTGTTTTTGCCATGCCCACCATCGAAGGTTGTTTCAATCAATTGTATTATTTTTGATAATATATTAATGACAATCATAGCTATTTTTCATTTTATTACGGCGTTCGACAACAAACCATTCACAATGACTGTAGTAGAATTCTTTTTCGATATTGTATCACCATTTTCGGTGTTTCAACATGAATTACTTCAACGACAATTGGGTCATTGGAAATCGATGGAATTAAAGCTGACACCAGTTTATATTCGAAAAATTTTTGAAGCATCACAAAATGCTCCACCTGGCTTAAACCCGGCAAAGGGTATCTATCTATTTTCAGATTTGAAAATCTGTAGCGAATTTTACAAAGTATCTAAGAAATCATTCACATATACAAAGCCTTTACTTACTTAATTGTTTTCATTGATAGATTCCTTTCGATGTACCAGATGAGTTCATGAAAATAGCCATGGAATTTAAATTGGATAAAACTCAATTGTTTTTAGCAGCCATTCAGAGCCATATTGATGAAAGCACTTTTCAACGATTGGTTGGAACTTTTTATCGAAATTTTTTCAATAAAAATTTTCAAGAAGTTTGGGAACCATCTGTAATGAAAAAATTGGCTTCGGAAATTGGAATCACCAATGAAGTGATCGATAAAGCATTGGCATCAATGGAAAGCCAAGAGAATCAAGCTAAATTAGATAAAAATTGTAAACAAGCCATTGAATTAGGTGCATTTGGTCTTCCGGTTACCCTTGTTCATAAGGAAAATGATCCAACATGGGTTTTTGGTTCAGATCGTATGCATATAATTGGTTATTTGTTGGGCGAAAAAGAGCCACCAATTCTTCGACCTTGATTCAAATATATTGATTAATTAAATGTTTAAGTACATACTCAATTGAGTACAATAAATATAATTTCAAGCTTTTTTTGAATGATAAACATGCTCATACTTATTTTTAAGTGCTGTTATCACTTATTGTTATTTTTAAATAAAAAATAGCGGCTGTTTATTGATTTATCCTTGGGATACAACAACGACAACAATCAAACTGGTTATTCATTTATTCATTTATAGTCATTTTGAATAGCATACGATAATCAGGTTGTTGCAACAAATAAAAACAATTCTGGTAACAAAATGACAATTGTAGAATTTTTCTTCGACATTCGATCTCCATTTTCAAGAGTTCAACATGAATTACTTCAACGACAATTGGGTCATTGGAAATCGATGACACAATTACGGATGACACCTGTTTTGATTCGAAAAATGTTTGAAGCATCTGGTAATCCATCGCCAGCATTAAATCCTGCAAAACTAACATATTTGTCTCGTGATTTGGCTATGGTCACCGATTATTATAAGGTATTTAGGCGGTATTGAATTGTTTGCAATTTTTAATGAAATAGAAATATTGTCTCCTGATTATGATTAGATGGATTTTACTCTTCCAAAAGATTTTCGCAAATTTGCCACCGAAATGCCATTGGAAAATACGCAACTATTTTTGACCGCTATACAGAATCATTTGGATGAAGCTACATTTAATCGTTTGGTGGGCGTCATTTTTCGCAGTTATTTTCATGAACCACCAGAACATGTCTGGAAAGTTGATGTTCTTAAACAATTGGCCATCAATGATGGAATAGCTTCCGATATTGTGGAAAAAGCTATCAATGTAATGAAAAGCGATGAAAATCAAGCTAAATTGCAACAAAACAATGATAATTGTGCTAAACTTGGTGCATTCGGATTGCCTGTAACATTAGTACATTCCGATAATAATAAAGATACATGGGTTTTTGGTTCGGATCGTATGCACATTGTTGGTCGTTTGTTGGGAGAAAAAGAACCACCCATTCTTTTACCTTAATTTTTTGAAAAATAAAAATGATTTGTTTTAAATAAAAAAAAAATAATTTATTTAGGTAAAAATTTTATCCAAAAGAAAACCAGAGAATGTAAGAACAACAGCATATAAATGAATCAATAACACAGACATAACATTATTTACCATCATAGTATCAATGGATAAATTGACCAGACCGGTTATAAGATTGGCTATTAAAAATATTAATAATCCTTTGTGATTAATAACGCTAAAAACCGAACTTTCATAATGAAAATTTGGTTTAGCAATTTGAATCCAAATAAAATAGACTAGTTCAATCACAATGTTTAGACAGGCACAACAGGTAATGAAACAAATGAATGGCATGTTTGCTTCACGACGAGATACTGGTTCCAAAAGATGATATGCAGCAAACATTACTGCTAATGATTGAAGACCGATGATTACTAATTGTAAGATAATCGATAAAAGTTCATTAACTTTTTCTCTGTAAAAAATTAATTGTTAATTTTTTTTTTTGAATCTTTGATTCATTTTTATACAAACCTTTTTGGAATGTAATTTCGTCCTAATTGAACGAAGAACAAATAAATGGAAATAAATCCTGGTAATGATATGAAGCCTTCTTTGTTAGCTGCAAATAGATTCAACGATCGATTCGATGGATCCATTATGAATTCTGTGCCGAATGTTTTAAGCATTATTTGATGCACAATCATTATCATTATCGATACTGTATAAAGATTAATTTGTTCACCGAGTAAGGCACATAATATTGAAGATAGAATCTATTTAAAAAAAATTGTCAAATTAAATGAGGAATTTCATTCAAAAAACAAATTTCACCTTGACGAAGCTGATCGTAAAGAAGAAATTCCAATGAATTCCATATTCACTAACATGTTCTTGATAGTTGACCGATTTGGTTGCTACCAAACGAAACAATCCAATCACAATTAATGGAAGTGAAGAGCTTAATGTTTTTTTAAATCTTTCAATCAAAGAAATTTTGCTATTTATCAATCTGGATTCTGGAGACAAGGCCCCATTAATGGCAATAAAACAACCGACACCTACATCCATCAAACTCCAACCATACATTTCTGTCTTAGAAAAACGACGATCAAATGAAGGAAAATCGACGGCAAAGATGGCTAAACAGGTGGCCATTAATAATGATGACATCATATTAGATAAATATGGAAATCTTTTTGTATCGGGATACTGTATGGATTGTTGGCCAATGTTTTTCCAACTAATACATTTCGAATTAGATTTGACATAAATGGCGAAATTGAACAATATCAATACTAAAATAGTTATTAATATCAAAGTAATGTGATTATGGCAGATGGTTACGGCCATAATGAGTGGTGAATATACCATCGTAAAATCGATGATTAAAGAAACAATGGGCCATGTTTTTGGCAAAGCCGGCAAAGCGAATACAAACGATTCGGATAAAATATGGGAAAACTGTGCAATTATAATTAAATGGAATACTTCCCAGGGTCCATTGCTACCATGATTACCATGAATAAATTGTTCACGGCGATGTTTTAATTCGGCATCCATCATTCTACATTATTTTTTATGTTGATCGACGTTTTTTTAAAAAAAAAGAAAAAATCAACAACACCTAATTCTACATCGGAATCTATATTAACTCAATTAAAACTTTCTAAATTTGTCAACACTGTTTATCGATAGATGGCGTTTCATTAGAATTATCATGAACATATCCAATGATTAAATTCGAAACATTCGAAAGAAATTAGTCATCATCATTTATAATGTGGGTTAAATATAATAAGAATGGGATTAGAATTTAAAAAAAAAACATATATTACCTGTACCATTTTACGCAATATCATACCGGTTATTTGGACTGATTCCAAATAACACAAAGTATTACATTCATTTTATCCTAACAAACTGATAATAAATAATTATTCTTTAGGAATTATTGCTTACAAAATCTAATGTTTGAAATAATTATCTACTGTTTGAAAAGATGTTTTTTTTTGCTTATTTTCATTTTGGATATAATCCTAAAATGATAAAAGTCTTGTGATGATGATTTCATTATTATCCTGTTGTTTAGGATGATTGATTATCATCATCATCATCATCATTGAAACATGAATAACAAACTGCATTTTTTATAACGCCTTTTTGTTTTGGAAAACAAATATTTTTTTTTATATGATCAAATAATTTTTCTTTTTTGCATCAATTACCGATGATTATTTTAATTACTTTTACAACAACAAAAAAAAAACATTGACATACGGGATTGGGAGTAAAGTTCATAGACCGGCCTTTAATTGAATACATTTTTTTTCCTAATGCGTTCTAAAATCTTATGATCCTGAACATCTTAAGTTCTACGAACCGATTTTTTTTTTCTCGAAATTATCAACCAAACAAATGTTTACAGCAAAAATAATATTGTTTGAAAAAAAAGAACGAAAAAGAACGAGAAAATTCTAGTCAAACACACAATCTATGGGTGCAATATAGCTAATAGAAAAGAAAAGATGTTATTTTTCAAACGCATTTTTCTCTTCTTGCTGCTATATTGCATTTGTTTGTTGCTGCGTACCATTGATTAGAAACAAAATCATCGTTTTTTTTATCAAATGTTTCTCACGAGTTAATATGATGATGATAATGATTAAAACAGTTAAAGCGGATCTTCAATGAAATACGTTTGTAAATTACAAAAAAGAAAAACTGGAAAAAATAAATACATTTACATTATCTGCGATATATAATTGACGTATATGTACACAAATGACGAATCGCATAGAACATTTGATCGATAGTGAACTTAAATTGTAAAAAAAAATTGAAAATAATTTGCCAAATCATCCACTTCCCATATTTTTTTACTTTATATCTTTTCGATTTGCACATGCGTAATTCGAATTAACATTGGGTGTATTCGAAATACATTCATTCGTTGGAATTTAAAATATTTTTTTTCAACAATATTACAAATTTTTTAAAAAAATGAAAACTTCTCGAATCAAATTTAAATTCAATTAATATCGTTGTTGATAATTGAAACAATTGTTTCAAATAGGAAAAAAAAGCAAATTTGGAAAAAATTAATTATTAAAAAAAAAAATGGTGCAACAAATAATGCGAATAATGACTGTATTTAATTTAGCTATTTTTCCTTATTTTGTAGTAGAAGTATTAGAAAAAGTTAATATCGAACAATCAAAATCGAACAAAAGAGATGAGGAGAAATTGGTGAGTCATAGTAGTGGCAGTGGTAATTGTAGTTTTTTTTTCGCCATTATAAAAACCATTCACAATACGCCATTAATTTATCATTTGTGATTTTTGCGTTAAGTTAAACGATTTTTTTCTCTGCGCTTTTTTTCAAAAACTTTTTTTTTTGTTTCTTTATTCATCAATCGTCCTCGATTTCAATCTATTGCGTCGCAATTTTATTCATTTGGATTTTGACGAATATAATTTTGTTTTTTAATAATAAATTCTTTGAAGAATCTCAATCAATCAATCATGCAAATCTTCGTAAAAACATTGACTGGTAAAACCATCACTTTGGAAGTCGAACCATCGGACACCATCGAAAATGTTAAAGCCAAAATTCAAGATAAAGAAGGCATTCCACCAGATCAGCAACGATTGATCTTTGCTGGTAAACAATTGGAAGATGGTCGTACTTTGTCCGATTATAATATTCAAAAGGAATCAACATTGCATTTGGTATTGCGTCTACGTGGCGGTATGCAAATTTTCGTAAAAACTTTGACTGGCAAAACCATTACTTTGGAAGTCGAACCATCGGACACTATCGAAAATGTGAAAGCTAAAATCCAGGATAAAGAAGGTATTCCACCAGATCAGCAACGATTGATCTTTGCTGGTAAACAACTCGAAGATGGCCGAACATTGTCGGATTATAATATACAAAAAGAATCCACCTTACATTTGGTATTGCGTTTACGTGGTGGAATGCAAATTTTTGTGAAAACCTTGACTGGTAAAACCATCACATTGGAAGTTGAACCATCAGATACAATTGAAAATGTGAAAGCCAAAATCCAAGATAAAGAAGGTATGTTAATTTTCTTGATTTCATCATTTTGTACTAATATTTCGTTTGTTTGAAAATAGGCATCCCACCAGATCAGCAACGTTTGATTTTTGCAGGTAAACAGTTGGAAGATGGTCGCACCCTATCGGATTACAACATTCAAAAAGAATCTACACTTCATCTCGTATTACGATTACGTGGTGGTATGCAGATTTTTGTCAAAACTTTGACTGGTAAAACCATTACATTGGAAGTGGAACCCTCGGATACCATTGAAAATGTCAAGGCTAAAATCCAAGACAAAGAAGGAATTCCACCAGACCAGCAACGTTTGATTTTCGCTGGCAAACAGCTTGAAGATGGCCGAACATTGTCGGATTACAACATTCAAAAAGAATCGACACTTCATCTCGTATTGCGATTACGTGGTGGTATGCAAATTTTCGTGAAAACATTGACTGGTAAAACCATCACATTAGACGTTGAACCATCTGATACAATCGAAAATGTGAAGGCAAAAATTCAGGATAAAGAGGGAATTCCACCAGACCAGCAACGTTTGATCTTTGCCGGTAAACAATTAGAAGATGGTCGTACATTATCGGATTACAACATCCAAAAAGAGTCAACTTTGCATTTGGTATTGCGTCTACGTGGTGGTATGCAAATTTTCGTCAAAACTCTTACCGGTAAAACTATTACATTGGAAGTCGAGCCATCTGATACGATCGAAAATGTAAAAGCCAAAATCCAGGACAAAGAGGGAATTCCCCCAGATCAGCAACGATTGATCTTTGCCGGAAAGCAATTGGAAGATGGAAGAACTTTGTCCGATTACAACATTCAAAAGGAATCGACATTGCATTTGGTTTTACGTCTCCGTGGTGGTATGCAAATTTTCGTCAAGACCCTAACTGGTAAAACGATCACTTTGGAAGTCGAGCCATCGGATACAATCGAAAATGTAAAAGCCAAGATTCAAGATAAGGAAGGTATTCCACCAGATCAGCAACGTTTGATTTTCGCTGGTAAACAATTGGAAGATGGCCGTACCTTATCCGATTACAATATTCAAAAAGAATCCACCTTACATTTGGTGCTTCGTCTCCGTGGTGGAATGCAAATTTTCGTAAAAACATTGACCGGTAAAACCATCACCTTGGAAGTGGAACCATCGGATACTATCGAAAATGTCAAAGCAAAAATCCAAGACAAAGAAGGTATTCCACCAGATCAGCAGCGTTTGATCTTTGCCGGAAAACAATTGGAAGATGGTCGAACATTGTCCGATTATAACATCCAAAAAGAATCGACATTACATTTGGTATTGCGACTTCGTGGTGGAAACTAAACAAGATGTAACAGCATTGTCCTGTTGATTAATGCCGCATATTCCACTTTCATAACATGATTAAAAATATAATTCAAAATTAGTTTTAGAGCAGATGAAAAAAAATTTGTAGTAGTCATTATTTGTTGTGTGTAATTCCTTTTTTAAGCATATTCGATTCAATAAAAGACCAAAAATTGAATTTAAAAAAAAAACCTTTAATTCTTTGCATTTTTAATTCAACTAAAATCAAATTCTGAAAAAATCTTTTAGGAAATATTCCTGGCAAATCGAATTGTCCATTTAATGGTAAAGTTTTTGGCAAAGCATGCCAGCGCATGTCTGTGAGCATTTGTCTGTTGCTGCATGTGGCATGCTAAAGCATTTTGAATGTTCCTGTTTCCTGTGGCTGTGTGCGTGTGTGAGTTTTGTTTTCGTTTCATAAATTTTAATTTGGTTCTAAAGAATTTTCAAAAATGAAGGCTTCTGGTGTGGTAAGTTTTAATTTTTTTTTGAAATTTTTATCAATTATGATTGATCAGACAATAATGTTCATAATCTTTTATTTAATGCGAACCACTTTTTTAAGGAAAAAGCAAAGGTTCTAACCTTTTTCTGTCAATTTTCTTTATTTGTTTTGAGAATTTCTTTTCAACTTGAATAATTAATTAATTCTTTCATTGTTTAACGTATTTCAATAGCTTCGTCAATATAGAATCGTTGGACGACATTTGGTCAATGATAGAAATCCAAATCCACCATTGTATCGTATGACTATTTTCGCTCCAGATGCTATCATTGCAAAATCACGTTTTTGGTATTTTTTGGCTCGTTTGAAGAAAATTAAGAAAGCTAATGGTGAAATTGTTGAAATCAAAGAGGTACAAGAATCGAATGCGGCTCTACGTGTGAAGAATTATGGTGTATGGTTGCGTTATAATTCACGTACCGGTAGCCATAACATGTATCGTGAATATCGTGACATTTCTACCAACAATGCTATCACTGCTTGCTGTAAGTTTATTTCATAATTAAACTTCGAAATATTGGAATGATATTCTTAATTTTTCAATGATTAGATCGTGATATGGGTGCTCGTCATCGTGCACGTGCCGATTCGATTCAAATCATCAAAGTTGAAGAGATTCCGGCCAATCAATGCCGTCGACCACATATGAAACAATTTCATGATTCAAAACTTAAATTTCCGTTACCAAATCGGGTTAGCAGAAATTTTCATAAATCTCGTTTTACAACACGTGTTCCACGTGCTCGACTTTTGTAATTTTGAAATTGATATAATGATTTTTAAAAAAACAAAAATAAAATGAATTTTTTTTCTGATGAAAAGCTTTGTCTGTTTTCAATTCAATTCAAAAGATGGAGCTTATTTTGTTCCGGTTCTTTTTTTCGAATTTTATTTCCACCAATGTTTAGTGCGAACATTTTTTTTTGTTGATGGAATTTTGTTTATTTTGTTTTCGGATGTTATTTGTTGTTTTTTTTGGGGCCATTGAATTTGTTTTTACTTTCAATCATTCATTCATTCATTCATTCTGATGATATAAAACCCTAAATGGCTACAAAAAGAAAACTATGAATATTTTTTTTTTTTTTAAACAAACACAATATTTTAACGGATTCACACAACGTAACATCATTTTTCTCCCTTTTTTTTCTCTCTCTCTCTTTTTTTAAATAATAATCACGCCATCTCACAATAAGCATCCACAAAACGACAATCCAATCCTGATGATGATGATGAATTTTTTTTCATTACATTTTTTTTTTGCATCCATCACATATAGCCTGCGTGTGTGTGTGTTGGCGTTCATTCCAATACGAATAAATGTAAATAGAGAATTTTCGCTTTTCCTCCATATCATTTTAACATCATGTTGTTGTTGTTGATGATGATGATGATGATGATGAACAGATAGAAATCATATTCAACAATTTTTTTTCAATAAAAGTAAAAGTTGAAAAGAAAACAAAAACAAAAAAAAATCCTCATCAACAATTTGATCTGAATATTTCGGTAGGAAATGTGAAAATGTTTTGTTTTTGAATTTTGCATCACATTACACACACTTCATTTTCAAAAATTCTTCCGATTCTTTTGTTTTTTGTTTTTGTTAATCTCTACTCGATATCTTCATTTGTATTTTGTTTTTTGGTGTGATAATTATTTCATTCAATCACCTTACTACAACATTGTCCATCGCTATCTTTAATTTGTTTTCGTACATCATATGTGTGTGTGTGTCGCTATTTTGGAAACATCCTTGAATCCTTTTTTGTTTTGTTGAATCCATTTTTGTAACAAATGGCATATTTCTAAATTGAAACAAACAAACGAAATCGTCATTGACACTAATGTAATGATTAAAATCCAATGATGATGATTATTATAATCATCTTCCTACATCACAATATTTTTTCATGATAATCTTTCAACAAGCAAAAGAAATGATTTTGTTTCTACAAAAACGAATCAAACACTTTCAAAATGGTTGTTTTTTTGTAGCTGTTCCGCATCAATAAAATAATATTTTTTCAATTGGAAAATCTTTATTCAATCATCGCACAAATGTCTTTGCGACAACAATTTTTCTCATCAGAATCACCATCATCCTCATCATCATCATGGTCATCATCATTTGCATCATCAACATTACCGAATAGAAAGAATTCAACAAAATCGTATACGAATGATGAAAATCGTCGTCGTAATAGTATAGAATCTTAGTAAGTCAATATTCACACAATTTGAGAAGAAAAAAAATTCTTTTATTCTTCTTCTTTTTTTCACTGTTTGTTTGTTTGTTTGTCAAAAGCTATAATTCAAAATTCCGTTCTGTCTTCATATTCTTTGTTTTTTTTTTGTGTGAACGAAACATTCTTTTTGTTGTTTGTTTCAATTCTAAAAATAACTTGAATTTTTAAGTTTTTTTTCTCTTGTCATTCATTATATAGTCACCGGCGGCAAGAATACAGAGAGTTCATTCCAATTAGTTGTTGAAAATTTTCAAAAAAATTATCCAAACAATTTGTCATCGACCGTTTCATAGAAAATTAAAAAAAAAACTTTGAAAATTGAAAATGACACTTGTTGCTTTGACATTCATTCATTCGAAAACTTTTTGTTGTTGTTGTTGTTGTCAATTTTCAATTCTGTCAGAAAAAAAGAAAATTCAATAGATTCAATCAAATATGATTGATCGATTGTGACAAACTAATGTCATTTTGTAATGTTTGTTTTGTTTTTCGTTCATTCAAACATTAAAAATGTTGGATCAAATTACAATTTTTCAAACAAACAAACAAAAAAAACTGTTTCCACCCAATCGAACGTTTTGTCTCCTTTCTCTTACTCAACTCATTCATTCTGTTTTTTTGTATTTTTTGACATAATTTTCAAGCAAAAATTCATGTAAAAATCAAATCTAAATGAATCTATAAAATGATTGATTGATTGATTAATTGATTGATTTTATTTGTAAATTTTTCAATATGTTTTTGTTGTTCATTTTTTTTCATATAGAAAAAAAATGTGTGCGAAAATTAATATCCATATTAAGTAATGATAAGGTCATTCATTCATTCTTTCAATTTTTGTTTTTGTTTTCAAAGAATGAAAAAAAAGACAAGCTTGTTGTTCTTGTACTTGTTGCTGTTGGTTATGTAAATGAACACAATTTTTTTGTCAATTTTCTTTGCTTTTTTGGTATAAAGAACAAATAGGAAAAACAATCGAACCGTTTTTGGTGAATATATAATGATGATGATGATTGGTTGGGTGGGAATAGTTGATTTTTTTAAAAAAAAAACCTTTGAGAATCAAATGGAATTGAAGAACTAAAGGAAGAAAAAAAGTTGCTAAAATTAACTTTTTTGTTTGTTATTTCATTTTGATTTTGGATCAAGATTTTTCTCTCTTTTCACAAGAAAGTCAAGCCGAGTAAGCAAAAAAAAACAACATCATCATTAACGCCTAAATGTTTTCTGTGTTGACTTTTTTTAAAAAAAAGACATCAATGACATTGTCGAAATGAGAAAAAAAAAATAAATAAAAAGATTGACGTTAATTTTGATTGATATTTGGCTGATAATGTGATGCAATAATATATAATCAACATACTTTTTGTACATTTGACCTTATATGTGAAACATATGGTCATTTTCAATTTTTTTTTTTTTTTGCTGAACAACTTGAAAATCAACAAAAACTTGAAAATGATATACATGTGCTACCTGTATTTATTTTCAAATTTTACATGTTCAATTAAGGGAATTGTGTTGAAGAATGAAAAAAAAATCATCATTTTTGACGTTTACTTGTGAATTACTTACTATTCACCGGTTATAGTTCCTGGAGCATTTTGCAACATAGGTTGATTGTCAAAAGCCAAAAATTCATTGATTGATTACATAATAATAATTTTTGTTTTATTCTTTCATCGTTATCCACACCCAATTACAGAAACAGACAGTGTTTATAATTTTTTTGTTTTCTCTGTGAAAAGATTTTAATGAAAAGAAAAGAAAGTAAAGAAAAAAATACATTTTCAAGTTTCAAAATGTGAAACAAACAACAAAAAATGATCTGTGGTTTTTCATTCATTCAGTCTGTTTGATGTTTGTTGATCATCATCATTCCATATATCGAGATCTGAAAAAAAAATCTTACTGAAAATCTATGTTGTTGTTGTGTAGGTGGGGGCAATCCATTTTTTTTATCCTTTTCATTAACATTTGTAACATTTGTTTCGTTTTTTTTTTGTCTTTATTTCAGTCTTCTTCTGATATAAACTATATTTTTCCCAATAAATGGATGTAAAGGATTTTCTTTTTCTTTTTTTTTGTTGCTTTCTGGTTTCGATCGTGTTGATGTTTCAATGTGTTTTGGCATCTTAAAAGATTCGGGTTAGTGTTTTTTGTTCAAAAAAATCAAATTTTTAAAAAATATTTTTTTTCGGTTGTTGAAATGAGAAAAATCAACATTTTATTTGTCAATGATATTTTTTTCCAATTATCTAATTGGATTTTTGTTTTCTTAACTTAATTCTCTATTTTTTGGAGTATCGGACAAACATTTAATGATAATCACCTTGGTGATCAAAATCTTTCCCTTGATGATTTGAATGATGTTAATGATAAATACATTGATCGTTCTAAATTTTTTTTCCGTTGTTACCATGTTTTCGCATCGATCGTTAAGTTTTTTTTTCTGTTATTGTTTTGGTTTAAAATTGAGCAAACGATTCATAATTTGAAATTTTTGTTTCACATTTTTAACTTTTTCTTTTTTTGTCTTTTCTCCCCCAAATTAATTATCAGTGATCATCATCATCAACAACAACAATTAATTAAACAACCACAATCACAACAACATCGTTTAGTTATCTATACAAATCCACAAAAATATTATTCAATACGAATTGATCAACCACATAGACAAGCAATACATATTCTACCTGAAAATTATCAATTCTGTTCATTGGGAAAAAAATTCCGTAATACTTTGAATGGTCCAGAAATATTCGGTACTTGTTCGGCAAAAGTTCATTTTGGTAAATGTACTGATTTTGATGTTTTTGTTGAACAAGAACAACAACAACAACAACAACAACCAAAACAACAAAAAATTGACGATTACGACGATACAGCAACATTAAGTGATTGTAAAAATTTTATCTATTATAAAATTAAAACACCTACAAAAACGGCAACACCTATTATTAATATTGGTAGTAGTGGTGGTGATGGTCATAATCATCGATCCATCACTACTACTGCTACAAACACCGCAGCTAATGATAATGCTAATATTCCGAAAAATGTTCGATCCATATCATCATCATCAATAACATCAATATTATCTAAAATCGAAAGCTATCGTGATAATCTAGATGCAGCTATTGAATTATTAACTAATGATGAATTAGATAATCATAATCAACGTAATGAACTTGAACATTTAATTCGGTAAGTTTTATTTCAAATTTCTTTTTGTTTTTTGTTTTCTCTATTATTGAGAATGACTTTGCAGACAATAACAATCAAATCAATGGTTAAATCTAGATCACAAACAACAACAACAACAACTTCATTCGGGTACATTCATTCTAAACACCCACAGCTACTGGATTCAAATACAGTGAAAAAAAATCTAGATCATCATCATCATCATCATTTTTTAATGAATTTGTATCACTTTCATTGAATGAAAATTTTTATAATTATAGTAGTAGCAGTATTAGTATAGTAAAAAGATTACGTCAAAAAAAAAAATCATAATCTTAAAATCATTCGGATTCTTTTTATTCTTTAGAATTTCATCATGATTTAATAATGATGATTATGATCAACAATAACGAACAATATTCTCTGTTCATTTGTTCATGATTCAGTCTATAGTAGTAGTTTTTTTTTGTTTCATTCACTATATACATCTATATTTATCTATCTTTTTTTTTTGTTTTTGAAGATGATTTTTCATTAATTGATAATAATGTTGATGATGATAATCCTTCTACTACCAAATTGTGTTTGTATGATGAAATCAAGAAAAAAAAACTTGAACAATTTTTTTGTTGTATTTGTATATATTCTTCAAATATAAGATGATGTTGTTTTCCTTAAAAATTTTTTTTATAATGCGAATTTAGAATCCATTTTGGCATTGTTTATGTTGTTTTATGTGTTTGTGTGTGTATATATGCTGTGTTTGCATTTATGCTAACACTTCAAAATTTTTCCTATTCTTATTCTTCTTCTTTTAAGAATTTTTTTTTTACTTTTCATCGATTTTTTTTTTCTTCGAATCATTCTTCGATCGTTGATGGCTTTTCGCCATTTTCATTTAGATTTTTATTTTAATCACTGTTGTTTAATTTTTTTTTTCATTCAAGAATTTGTTCTGTTTTGTTTCGGTTGTTAATCCTTCCATATATAACAACAATAAATTTCATTTATCCATTCTTTGATTATGTTGTTTCTCTTTGCAAAAAAAACAAAAAGTTTTTTTTTCTTCTCATTAATTCACTAATCTGATGATGATGATTGAGAATGTTGTTGTTGTTGTTGGTTGATGATTGTTAATCATCTTGATGATTAATTTATTCTTGAAATATTTTTTTAATTTTTAATTTTTCTTCATTTTCATAACACAAACACACAACATGAATAAAAAAAGAAATTTCGTTTGTGAAGATCGTCGTCAAAGACAAGTAGATTCAAATTCTAATTCGGTTAATCATGTTAAAACCGAATCCAACATAAAAAATCAACAACAACAACAACAACAAAAACGACGACAACAATCTTCTATTTCGACAACATCCGATACTGATGAATTGGAAAAATTAGCATTAGCTTTAGTTGCCGAATCTAGTCATGATGATAATAATAATAAAAATGTTAATCCATTATCACCAACATCATCATCATCATTATCATCATCATCGGCGATCGATTATCCATCTAGTGGTAGAAAAATTTTATTGAAAAAATCACAAGCTGATCTATTACGACAACAACAAAATGGTAACCTAAATTATGAACAAAATCGATCATCATCACCAACACCGTTTCTAAGTACAAATCGTGATGGTGTTGTACAATCACGATTATTACGTTTTTCAAATAATATTAATCAGCAACATCATCACCAACAACAGCCATCAAATTCATTATCATCATCATCATTATCCTTGATAAAATCGGAAGAATCATTACAACGGAAACAATGTTCATCACCAACGCCATCATTGATACAACAAAATGGTAATGAAAATCGTAATCAAATTGTATTTGGTATTAGTCCTAAATCAAGTTCACTTGCAAGGTAAATGTCAAAAAAAAAAATCTTTATTGTATTTTTGATGAAAATAATTAATGTTTAAAAAAAATGTTTAGCTATGATCTTTGTCATTTTTTTTCATGCCATATGAATATCATTTTTTTCCTGTTATACCATCTATAGAGAATTCAGTTGACATTTTAGTTTAATTCTCTAATTTTAGCCTATATATTTTCACCAATTTCTTTTTTTCCCTCATATCATTCATATGTTTGATATGAGAAAAACATAACAAACTTGGCAAGTGTTTGCAAAGAACAAATCAAAGCAAAAAAAATGATAATAATAATTTGACAAGCGAAAATGCGAAAAAAATATGTAGAAAATTTTTTGTTTGTTTGATGGAATTACAATAGTAATTCTCTCTTACTATAAACAGGTTTCCGGATTGATTTATAAAAACAACAACAATAACATTGAATGGAATGATGACATTTAATTTAATTTTACTTTTTTTTCCATTTAAATTTTAGATATAAAAATCTTATCGAATCACGAAGTGAAACATCATCACCGATTCAATTAAATTTTGCTACCGGAATCGATCTTTATAATCTAAATCTTGAATTAGAAAATCGACCACATGATAATGATCTAACTCGTAATAATAATACATCATCAAATATTAAATCAAATTCTTTAAATTATATTTCATCAAATCGAAAACAAATGTTTGTTAATGATACAATGGCAAACGATAAATGTTCAACATTGGATTCGAGCCATTTTATTGGCAACAATCATGACATCTGTAATAGTAAAAGTAGTAGCAATAATGATGGTAAAATTAACAAAAAACTTTCGAATAATATTCATGGATATTGTTCAGAGAATGATGATATAAAAAATATCGGTACCGATGTTATTGACACAAGAGAAAAATGTATGATAAACATTATTAATAGCAATATTTATATGGTTAAAATTTTCGTTTTTTTTTTGTTTCTCTTGTTGATTCTTTAGCTCCTTCTTCTTCTTCTACTTCATCTAGATCTTCTTATTTATTATCATCGAATAAAACATTGGGATCGTTGTCAACATCGAATAATGGTGTTAATCATGGTGGTGGTGGCGGTATTAACGGAATTGACGATAGTGGTATATCAAAATTTCATCATAATAAACAACAACCATCATCACCATCAGTCGTTGTTGATTCATCAAAAACATCAGATCCTTTGTTAGATTTTGTGGCAAGAAATCAAGAGCTTAACAATCATCATCGTGTTTCATCATCATCATCATCATATCATTCCTCTTTGAATACGATAAACAAAGATCATTATCATAATAATAATAATAATATCATTAGCAACGACAGTAGTAACAAGAAAATCAATGATAATGAATCATCGAATAATTTAAATATTTTAACATCGAATACGATCGATACATTTATAAAGGAAAATGAAAAATTTTTCCATAGTGGTGGTAATCGTTTATCACGAAGTTTAGGTATAATTGAAAACGAAAACATTTTACCATCCACAACATTATTGGATAATTATTTTGATGAAATGAAATATCAACAAAAACAACATTCAACAATGACATCAACATCACAACAATCAACAACAACCAAATCATCATTAACCGATGATGAAAAAGCATTATTACATGAAACGCTTAAAGTTGGCCAATTATATGGTGCATCATCATCATCATCCGCAGGTTCGGGTTCCGATAGTTCATCTGATAATGAAAAAAGTTCACAATCATCATCATCACAGCAAAAAAGACGTATAATATTTGTATCGAAACCGGCACCAAAACCTGAACCAAAACCCGAACCAAAATATGTAAATGGAAAAATGGTATTCGGACAGGTACATGTCCAACAACGACATCATCATCATGGCCTACAAAAAGGTTCGGTAGCCGAACGTGTTATGTTATTTGAAAAATGTCCCGAAAAAACATCCGTTACGAAACATAAATTAACGGAATTACAACGAAATCGTATAACAAATCCAAATAAGATTGGTAGTTGGATGAAATTTACGGAAACACAAGCTGTGGTAAGTTGTTTGTTGTTGTTTTTTTTCGAGATTTTATTTCAATAGAAAAAAATCATGATGTTAGCTGAATTATGTCATCGACCTTTTTTTTAATGATGATGATTATTGAAAAACAATGGCGATGATTAGATTATAAAAATATACAGGAAGGATTATGATCAACAGACCAAAGAAATGAATCTGAAAACAAAAAGATAGAACAAAGAAATTTTTTTTTCCTTTGGCAAATGAAACAAAATCTTTGCTCATAATTTTTCAGACAATTATGCGTTCAATTTGACATTTTTTTAATCGTTATTCCTTTCCACGATGGAAGAATTTTTTGCTTATTTTTGTCAATCTCATGTATTTTTTCTAATTTGTTTTTTTTTCTGAACATCATCACCCTCATAATTTTGTTTGTGGCTGCTTGATTTGGCTTTGTTGTTGTCATGTTTTGTACATCTATAAATGAAACATTTTAGCTACCACAGAATGATACGACGAGAAATGGTGGAAATCTGAAAATAGCAAATTTGAATAATGTTGTTGGGGAAGATTCTGGCAATCTGCAACCTGTCTCATCATCCACATCAACAACAACAACAACATCGGTTAAATCTTTGACAAAAAATAAAATTCATAAAGGAGATGAGCCAAAATCACCGCCAACTATAACATCGATACCAACATTTAGGCGTTTATCACGAACAAATTCTGGCATATTGCCCGGACAATTGCCTCGTTTCTATTATCCACTTGGACGACCATATTCATCGAATGAGGTCGAAAATCAAATTAAACGTATTATATCGATTTTTGATCGTTTTCCAAGCCGAACAGTTACGGTCAAAGAATTAGGTGGTGTATTAAAATTATGTGGAATACCTGTATATTGGAAAGAGCCATTATTTCGTTCAATATTGGCTGATGTTAAAAATAGTTCAATGGCAAATGGCAATTGTGGTGGTGGTGGTGGTGTTAGTATTCGTCGTACGAATTCGATCGATCATTCATCAAACAGTAAAAATGGTTTCATGGCCAATGGGACAACAACATCGAATGGCAATTGTAGCAATATTAAAGATTATATTACTTGTGATCAATTTACAAATTATTGGAAAAAGTAGGTGACAATTTAAAATTACTGATGATTAATTTTTTTGTTGTTTTTTTTCTAAATTCAGATTAATTTCAATTTGTTACGATGATGCTAGTCGTTTTATAAAAATCATGACACAAGGCAAACGAAATTATATTATTCCTGAAGATTTTGAACCACTTATACAGGATGTGATTGATACACATCCAGGATTATTATTCCTAAAAGAAGCCGAAGAATTTCATTCACGTTATGTACATACGGTGATTGCACGTATATATTATTGTGTGGATAAAACATGGTCCGGTACGATAACGTTACCTGAATTGAAAAAATCTAATCTTCTTCGAGTTATTCATCTTCTTGAGGAAGAAGATGATATCAATCAGATAACTGAATATTTTTCCTATGAACATTTCTATGTGATATATTGTAAATTTTGGGAACTTGATCAAGATCATGATCTATTCATCAGTAAATATGACCTCGCTAGGCATAATGATTCAGGTAATTTTTTGAAATTTCTTTTCAACAAAAAAAAATATCATTAATATGATTAATTTAATTTCAAATTCAGCTATCTCTTCTCGAATGATTGATCGAATTTTTAGCGGTGCTGTCACACGAACCAGAGCATCTCGTAGTTCACATAATAATCAAATGTCATATACTGAATTCGTTTGGTTTTTGTTGGCCGATGAAGATAAACGTCATCCAAGAGCGATTGAATATTGGTTTCGTTGTATGGATCTTGATGGTGATGGTTGTCTTTCGTTTTATGAATTGGAATATTTTTATAATGAACAAGTAAAACGAATGGAATCGGCCGGTATTGAAGCATTACCATTTACTGATTGTCTTTGTCAGGTTTGATTTAAATTTTTTATTTAATAACTTTTAATTAATGCAATTTTTTATTTTATTTAGATGATCGATCTAATCAGTCCAAAAGATCCATCTCGAATAACATTATCGGATTTGAAAAAATGTCGATTAACACCAATATTTTTCGATACATTCTTTAATCTAGAAAAATATCTTGACCACGAACAACGTGATCCATTTGCATCACAACGTGATGAAGATGGTGTATCTATGTCGGATTGGGATCGTTATGCTGCTGAAGAATATGAATTATTAGTTGCTGAAGAAAGTGCACAGAATCAGTAAATGTTTTTTTCATTGTTGAATATTCTGGATTTTTCTATTCACTGTTTTCTGTTTAATTTTCATACACACATTTTTTCAATTTCGTTTCCTTTTTATTATCTTTTTCTTTTTACTGTTCATTTGTAATGAACAAAAAAAAAAATCTTGTCATTTTTTTTTGTGTGGAAGCAATGCCCATCAGAATCTTATCTATTTCTTTTTCATTGTCTTGTTCCATAAATTATTTTGTAAACTTTTCTTTGTCTATAAATACTTTTTCATTCTATCTTTTTCTTTGTGCAATAATAACTAAAAACCTATTACTTTTACTATTTTGTTTTTCTCTTTGTGATTTGTTTTTGAATGAGATTTTTGATTTTTTTTTGTTTCTGTTAATTACATAGTAATTATCATCGTACAAAAGCTTTGATCCATAATAATTTTAACCAACATCAAATACAACAACCAATTATTGATCATATTAATGATGATAATGATGCTGATGATGAACAAGATCGTGAATATGAATTTGATGATGACGGTGATGATGATGATGATGATATATATGAATCAAATGAATCTGAAGATTTTAGTACGACAACTAGTGGTGATGATGATGTTGATACAATCGATGATGGTCGTGTGTATTTAGTTATTGAATCAACTATCAAAAAACGTTCGAATCCGAATCAGGACGATAAATTCTGTGATAATAGATCTGATGATAAAATTGAGATCGATACGAATAACAATTGTAAACTTAATGATGATAATTCTACTGTTGATAAAAATGATGACGATTTTGTTGATAATTTGGATAAAGAATTCTATGAATACATTCAGAATGAATTTGAAACAAATCGTTATTCATCTCGATCAATTTATGATTCACGATCAATCAACAATCATCATAATCATAATCGACCGACAATGATTGTCAAACCAATCAAATTGGTAAAATTAGATCCAATCAATGGCAATGATATTGTTCAACGGCATTCAATTCATGAACAGATGAAAACTGCTGAGATTTGCAACATTAATGATGATGATGATGATGATTTTTTCTGACGACTTTGTTGTCATTTTCAAATGCAAACTATGATTTAGCAACAAAATTATTTCAATATCAACCAAATCATAAATCCAAAAAGTAAATTTTAATATTTTTCCATCAAAATCATATGATTATTTTATTATTAAAAACTTATATGGAAAAAAATCAAATGGCCAAACAATGAATAAAAAAATAGAAGCATCATACGATACTATGGTAAAATGAGTCTAATTGGCACAGACGATGTGAATTAATAAATATAAATGGATCGTTGATGTTTGTGTGTAAATTTACCTTGTATTCCCGAAAAAAATTGAAATTTAAATGATATTTAAAACAATCAATTAAAAACGTTCTTATCAATTATTATTATTTTTTTATTATATAGAAGTTAATATTTGAAAAAAAATTTGCTAATCATTTAGAATGTTTTTTTAAAAAAATATTTCTATAATAGTTTATGTTGGGGGAAGTGGATGTTTGAGGGACAAAAAGGAAAGGAAAATATGATTGATTGCAATGTATTAAGCATCAATCAATCAAACAAACAATAAAAGAGAAATAAAAAGAATCCAGGATGTGTGTGTAAGTGTATAAATGTCGGTTTGTCGATCATAATGGTCACATCAAAATGAGAAAAAGAAAAAAAATTTGGTCGGGCACTTTGAAAATCATCATTATTATTAATAAGTGGCAAGATCATAAATGATTAACAATGAAAAAAAAAATTTTTTTTTATCGAACACGAAATATGACGATGGCTAATATAAGAAAAAAGGCAATCCATGCCACTGTTATTAAATAACCATTCAATACAGCCGGTTTGGATAGATCAAAACCACGTATCAATATATGACGAAAAGATTCCATTGGTTTTGTTTGTGGCATTGCATAAGATATATAACGAAGTAATGCAATCATTGTTTCGACTGGCCAAAAAATACCGGTTATAAAACAGAACATTAGCTGAGATCCGGCTCCTAATGCTAATGCTGTCATTTCGCTTGTACAAATAGCTGATAACATTAGACCAAATGTCATTCCTAGATTTAAAATTAGTAAAAAAGTAAAGATAATTTTTTTTTCTGTTAATTAAAAAACAACACTTACCACAAAGACCTTGTAGAAACATCATGGCAATGGCTAATACATATGAACCTTTCATTGGAAAATCAAATATCCAGAAACCCATAACAACGGTCAATATAATCTGTACGATCAATAAAAATGTTATATTGATAATCTGAGCAATAATAAATTCGGTTGGTGTCATTCCAACAATCATTGAACGTTCCAATGTACCTGTTTTTCAATTAATCGAGAAAAAATAAAAAATCAACAACTAATTACATTAATAATAAATTACCTTCACGACGTTCCGAAAGAAAAGCCATCGATGTGATAGACATTGTCGCAAAGAATACAATGAAAACCATTAGACCAGGACCAACAAATTCAACCATATCGGTCTTTTCGCCTCCATAGATTGGTTTTTCAAATTTGATTGGCAATTTTATCGAACTCATCTGACCACCGAAAATTTTACCAGCATTTTCAACAAATTTAAACAATGCACTAAAAACTTCACGACGAATTATGTTGACATGTAATGCATTCGAACCATCATAATAGATTCGAATAATTGAATCATCATCATCTGGTGCAGTAATAATAGAATCAGTGGTAGATTGTGTTACTGCTGTAGTCGTGAGTAGATCAGAAATGTTACGTTTTAAACGTCGTAATCCGGAATTTTCATTATCATCATTATCATCAACTAACATGGAAGGTGTTTTCAACATTGATTGTGTTGGTTGTGATGGCGCAATATAAGGTGTCATTAATGGCGGTACTGGTTCATTAGTATTCGTTATCATTTTACCATTTGGCTGTGTATAACCTAATATTGGCGGTGCAATCGATGTTGTTGTCGTCGTCGTTTGTGTCGAAAATTGCTGCTGAGCAAGAAGCGGTAAACGTCCTAAATTTGCCGGTATAACTCCACCCATTCTACCGAAACGATTAAGAACATGTGAAAAATTTTTCCCCAGAACTATAGCCGAATAAGTATCGGCATTCCGAACGGAATCTATAGCTTCTTCTGGTGTTCGATAATATTTCAATGAAATAAAATCCGAATCAATTGACTTGAGAAACATAAGACTAAGAAATGGAGGATCTTCTTGATTACAGACAGCCATCTGTACTGATGTTGGATCACGTCCCATACAAAGACAAAAAAGAGCTACTTCTAATGCAGGCAATAACATTGTGATGACCAATTCCGGTACACGTCGAAACAAACGAATACGATGTTTACGACATAAAACTCCAACTTTTTGTATAGAATTTACTGAACGATTTTGACCATGCACAGAATATGTACGAACTTTACTATTACTATTATTATTACGACCAGATGATAAATGGGCAGATTTTTTTGATCTTGTTGATGATGATGATGAAGAAGAAGAAGATGATGATGAATTATTGTTGAATAATGGCGAATCTGATGATGCATCCATATGATGATTATTATAGTCATTATTGTTTAATTTACAATTATTTCCTGTCATCGTATTTGATTCGATCAAAGAATCAGGATCCAATTGTTTATATTGTTCATGTACAATAATATGTTTGGCTGTGTTGTTTGTGGTTGGCGTAGCCAAATGTGAAAGAAGATTTGGTTTAGGTTTACCACCAACATATGCCATCATCGTTGAACCAGTCATAGTACCACCATTCGAAGTGAATATTACCGATTGATTTGTAGGTTCAATTGTTGCTGCAATAGCAACGGCCGGTGATCCACCATTTTCCGTAACATAATTATTATGATGAAGATGATTATTATGATGATTATTCATATTAAGAATCTTATGATTCTTTTGAGGATCCAGTTGCAATAAAATATCTTTTGGATATGGTGATCCATTTTCTAATTGGCTCGTACTATTTGAATGATGATGAAAATCATCTTGTTGAGATAATTTCAAAAATAAACGTTCCATTGATACCACATTATTTTGTAACATTAGATAATTTGGATTTCCTTCGGCCAATATACGACCTTGTCGCATGAAACCAACTTTATCTGCTGATCCGGCTTCTTCAATATAATGTGTGGTTACTATGACCTATAGAACAATTTTTTTAAAATTGACATTAATATTTTCATAAACAAAAAACAATTATCAAATACATACTGTTAGGCCATTTTTACTTTGATCCACTAAATATGACCAGATAGATTCACGAACAATAGGATCAACACCTACAGTTGGTTCATCCAATATCAATAATGGCGGTTCATTAATCATTGCTACAGCCAATGAAACACGACGTTGTTGACCACCGGATAAACGATCCGTATAACAATGTTCAAAATCACTTATATCCAATAATTTTAATAAAAATTCGATACGTGATTCTAATGGTTGCATATGTGATGTTTGTTTGGCAAAACCGGCATAATACTCAAGTGTTTCTCTTACAGTAAATTGTGTTATTAATGATAATTCTTGTGGCATATAGCCAATATTTGGTCCAGGTATACCACATTCTTTTGTACCTATTATTTTTGTAAGAATATTGAAACAAAATGAATATGATGAATAATTTTGTAATAAAATTGAGTAAAGATAGAGTGGCAAAAAAACAAACAAACAAAAATTGACAACAACAACAAAAAACAACCTACATATATCCCATCATATGTAATACAGGAAATATTACATGTTTTTTTTCATTTTAAATATCTCAAGGTTTCTATTTCAATCGGTCGATTAATGATGATGACCTGAATTATATTCATACTAATTTGTCATCAAAATCCTATATTCACATTGTAACATTTGCCCATTTGTATGTTTGTAGCAATAAAAATGAAGAGGAGATTTGTAATATAAAAAAAAACTAAAATAGACCTAACCTAGACCTGAACATTCGCATACAGATTCGAAAAAAAAGATTCAAAAATAAACCGAATCAATATTGATGATGATGGTCAGACATATGAAAACCATCAACATAAACAAAGATCAGAGGAAAAAAAATGGTGTAAAGATCTTAAATGATGTCAAGGTAATGATGATGATGATGGAAAATCTTGTCTGAACAACAACAACAACAAAACTGTATGTTTTTCATATCTAAAAAATCTCAAAAAAAAAAAATTTTTTTTGACAAATTGTCAAGCACTTGAACGGATGCTAATGGATCCGAAGTGTTGTTTAAAAATAGTGATGATGATTATTGTATATTTACATTATTCAATGTCATTTTTTTATTTAAAAAAAAAATTTGATATTCAAAAAAAAAAAAAAAATAGCATCAAAGTTTTTTTTCCGGTTGGCATTGAAATTTTCTTTATTCAACCAATCTAAAATAGATAATGTATTTGTATTTACATACACTATTATCATCATCATCATCATTCTTTGTTTTTCAGAATTTTTTTCCACTAAAGTTGATTATTTACATTGCAATCATGTATTCTGTTCCTAATGACAATTGATTATATTGAATAAATACCTATTGCACCTACACAATGCTAATGAGAAAAGATCTTTAAATTTAATTGTTAATGGAAAAAATAACAAACAAACAAACACATTCTAGCCTTAATCATTTCAATGATTGATTGAAGCTATCAATCAAAGATATTTGATTTTTTTTCTTCTGTAAATTTTAATAATAGATTTTCTTCTTTGTTTTATACATAAATTCACACATAGCCAAAGTTGATCGAAAAATCAAATGCGTATTCATTTAATATCTCAACATTATCAATAATGTTCACAATGATAATTATGATTATTATCATTGAAATGATTTTGTAAAAATATTGTGTGTTAGTTACAATGATGAATCATTGATGCCTAAAAAAAATTATCATCATTTTTTTTCGAAAGAATGATTCTCAAGGAATTAGCTAATTACTTTTTTTTTTGGCTAAATTCTAAAAAATATATTCAAACACAATCAATTGTTTTTTTTTAACATACCTGGTCGATAACCAAAAACGTTTACATTACCACAACGTGGTTTCAAACGACCAACAATACAACGTAATAATGTTGTTTTACCACAACCGGATGGACCTAATAAACCATAAATTGTACCACGTGGTACATGCATATTAATTGATTCAAGATTTGATCCATGTCGTGTATATGAAAATGTTAAATTTTCAACATCGACCGCTGATGAATTTGTCAATGCCATTTTTGTTTTTCGTCGTCGTTGTTGTTGTTGTTAAATTAGTTATTCGCTGATCGATTTATTGATGAGATGAGATGAGAAGAAAAAAAATTGAATGAATTAAAATTTTATAAATAAAGAAGATTTTTTTTACGAATCATTCGTGTAAATGAAAATTGTTGTTGTTATGGATGATTAATAAAAAAAAAGAATGGGTATTTTTTTGAAAAAAAATGAAAGACTTGAAAAAGATGTTATTGATGAAAATAATAATTAAAAAAAAACACCAAAAACCCATACACAAGCACAAAATTATGAGATGAGAAGAAAAAAAATGAGATCGAAGTTTTCTGTTTCTTCAAGTTGATGAAGTTGATTTAGACAAATAAGAATGATGATGATTTATAGATCAAAACAAAGAGAAACAAAAAAAAACACAGAAAAAAATTGAATGCTAACTTAGCAATTTCAATTTATCTTTGTTGGTTGGTTGGTTGGTTGATGGTCGATTGATCGTTTGTCGTTCAAAGGGGTTCAGTACAACAACGAAAAAAAAATTTTATATTTTAATGACCAATTAGATGGTTATTATCATCATTTAATTATTTGTAAATGAATGATTGTTTGAATCGAATGATTGTATTTGATATGGCATGATTTTTTTTTCGTTCTTGTCGCTTACCAAGATGCTAATTCAGCATAAATGAAATTATCACCGAAAAATGAATTTTTGGTGATTATATGGGGAGAAAAAATGAAAAAAAAATTAATGAATTTTAATCACAAAATGAAATCATAAAATAATCCTAACAACAAAAAAAAATTTGATCAAGGAAATTGAATCCAAATATTTGAAGATTAAAATTGAGAATGAATATTTATTTTGGTTCGCTATTTGTATTCATATTCATTTCTATGTTCAAAAAAACAAAATATTAAATAAGAAACAAAAATGGGAGTCGTCAATTTTGTCAAGATGATAATTTATCACCCAAAAGTATATGCAATCAGTCAATCAATCCAGTCAATGGATGTTGATGATGACAAAAGTTTTGCACACACACACACTGAAACATGTTTGATGAGGGTGATGTATATGGTGAAATTTTTTTTTATTTTCGATCATCAAATTGATTCATGTTTGGAATGATGCTACAATATCATCATCATTATTGTTTAGAATTGGCAAATTTTTTTTTTTGAATTTTAAAATGCAACACTCATAACATAACCATAATGTTATAATAATAATGATAATGATGATGAATTTCAACAATGCATCTTTTGATTTATTTATTTGTGAATAATAATAATAATAATAATATTGATAAACAAAATATGTAATGCGTAGGTGTGTAAGTGTAAGTGTGTGTGTGTTTATATCCTATATATCTTCGTGTACAAATACTTGATGCAAAATCAATGATTAGATGAGAATTTCATTTTTGTTTGTTTTTTTTCGTTTTTTTTGTTTGTTTCTCAAAATAGATAAATCAAAACTGTGATAAAAAGCATATTATAGCAACACGAACATATAGAGAAATAAAGAAAGAAAGAAATGGATTCATTATTATCATCATTTTTTTTTTTGATTCGAATTAATTTGATGTCAATAAATAAAATGATAATGGAAATATGAAACTTCAAATTCACTTTATCCATTTATCACAAACACATGCATATCACAACAACGAAGAAGAAGAAGAAAAAAAAAATTCAAATATCAAAGTTCATTTATTTTTGACGATATGAAACAATCAAGAGAAAAAAAAATCACTAATTGTGTGTGGAAAAAGTGAGCAGAAAAAAATTTCGAATCAATAAATTGAATTGGATCGATTGATTGATCAATCGATCAATCAATCAATCAATATTGATCACATCAATAATTAATATTGGAAAATGGATACAAGTCGTGTGTGTATATTTGAATCAATAGAAGAAAAAATATATATATTGTCGAGTGTACTGCTTCTGGTAATTTGAAAAATATTTTTACTATTTATAATTTGATTCTAATCATAATAATTAGAGGGATGAGAAACCAAAAAAACATTAATTAAGAAAACTTATTTTACTGATTGTTTGTCTGCTGAAAAAAATTTTGTCAATCGATTTTTTTTTCGCAAACGTTGTCGAAAATCAATAGATTTTGTGTTTGGTTAGAAATGGATCAAAAAAAAGATCAGTAGGATTTTGTTTTTGTCGGTCGAATTTAATCAAAAAAAAATTTTGTTTGTTTGTTTGTGGTCCAGATTTCTCTGGTTGCTCTGGTATACATCGCTATACTACTATCATCAACTATGTATGACGTATACGTAGATGGTGACAATGATTATTTCATCATAATCGATCAATATTGAAATTTTAAAATTCCCTAAATTATAGATCAAACAAAACAAAAAAAAAGATTTTCTTTTTGGTTCACTATTTTTATCTAAAAAAAATTTGATTTATTTAAAGAAAGAAAAAATTCGATTTTTATTGATTATCAATTGAATTGAACTTTGAAACTTTTTCAAACTTTGTCAAACAAAAAAAAAAGTTTAATTTTACGATTACAAACCGAGTACATATATCAAAGCACAGGAAAAAAAGTTTCATTTGATAAATTTTCTGATTAAAATCAATTTAAACAGAAAAAAAAATCAATATTGCTAATTGATCAGTATTCAATTACTCATTGATCAGAAATTGATTAGAAATTGATTGAACCAATCGATTATTGAGATAATGAATAAAAAAAAGTACATGGATTTATTTCTCGAATGAAAATATTAATGAAACTATTAATCAAACAATGATCAGAAGTTAGGAATTTGAATTCTGTTTTTCTATTTTAAAATAATCGAAATTCATTTATTTTGAGAAAACATTTTGAATAACGCACATTTATAGTTTATTTATTAACAAACTAATAATAAATTTGACATTTTTGTTTTCAAATGAATCAGTTCAAGTTCAACGCACAAACACAAACATTCATCATTATCATTAACATTAACAAATTCAAATTAGAGAAAAAAAAACAACAAATTCAAAATAAACAGCAAGAAAATATGTAAATATTTTTTCCCCATTGAAGAATTTGATGATTGACAAGAGAAAAACAAACCGAACTGCTGCTGCACTGAACAAAACTAATGAATGTTGCAACTGATTGGCAAACAAAGTCAAAAGCAAAGCAAAAACTTGTTGCATCTTTTGGAACCATATCGAAAAAAACTTAATTTGAATTTGAAGAAAATGAAAATTGGACAAACATAGTTACTATTTGGAAAAAAAAAGAAAGAAGGATTTTTTTTTTGAGATTTGTGAATGATAAACAAATAAATAAATGCAAAAAATTTAGGGACAAAATATAGCCACCGAAAAAAAAAGAGACTTGATTCCAGTGGGGATGAAAAAGAAGAAATCAATAAAGAAACCAATTTGTAAAATATTTAAAATTTGTTTTTTTTCGGCTAAAAAAAAAATATTTTTACACACAGGTGTTATTCGAAACCCTGAGATCGGGAGTCAAAAAGTTAAAGAAAGAGAGAGAGAGAGAGATGCAAAAAATCGGGCATCAAAACATCATTGAGAAAAAAAAATTTTGAATGATTTTTATTTCATCTGAAACACTGTTTTTGTATACAATGTTTATTAACAATTTCTCTGTCTCTCCCTCTCTCTAATATTCAAAAATATTCATTCATCATTCGATTCAAATATCGTTCCGGTAGTAAAAAAAAACAAAATGTAACTTAAGATTTTTATTTTTTTGCCATAATTGTAATTTTGTAGGTCGTTTTTCTTCTTCCATCTCAAATATATTTACAAACACATTTACCCAATTCGGATTCGTATATCATTAGTTAGTTAGTTGCGGTTTTTTTTTCGACTGTTTCGGTAAATATGATATTTAAATTTGTCATCACCGTCAAAAAAAATTGATTTGGTTGTCATCAACACTTATCATCATCATCATCATCATCAACAAAAAAAAATATTGACGATGCAGAAAAAAAAATTAAGAACATTAATGATGACAAATAACTTGATTGAACCAGATTTAATCATCATCAAATGGAACGGATTGTAAAATTGGCCGTCAAAATGTAATTTGTAGCAAATGAACGGAAAAAAAAGAAAGAAAAACCAGTAGCAAAAAAAACCGGGCCAGCACCAATCATACCAAAAACCTGAGATGAAAAGAAATTTATAGTGATGGTAAAGTTGATACTTTTCAAGTTGTTTACAGTTAATTGAATTAGGAAGAAGTTCATTCAAATGATTTGTTCAGAAATTTTCGCCAAAATTTTTGATCCGGAATTAAAAGAATTTTGACAAAATTATCGATGATGATGATGATAAAAATGAAAAACTAGACAAAACAAACTTAGATTCAAAACAACAACAACAACAACAAACTAGGAAATGTTTTAACGAGTTAAAGAGCCTTAGACAAAACAGAAAAATGTCTATAACCGATTATTGAAATCGATTTTTGTATCCTTATCATTGAATGACTAAATGGTTTTTATCAATAACGACAACGATGACAACAAAAAAGATCCATTGACCTTACACCAAACAACAGCAACAACGACGACAACAAAATTTTATTCATTATCATCAAATAATCGATCATAACAACAACAACCTCAAAGATTAAAAGATTTTTAAAAATGATGAAACTTTAATAATAGCAAATATCGATATTCAATGATGTAATTTAATGTTCTCTTTCTATAAATTTTCTCAAAAATTTTCAATGTCAATAAATTCAAATTTAATAATAGGTTCAATTGATTTTCAAAAAGAAAGAAGATGGTAATTAACAATCAAAACACAAGAGAAAAATACATATCATTGATGAATATTGCTTTTCATTTATGCAAAAGAAACAAATAGAAAAACTTTATGTATCCATTTCTCATTGATTTTTATTATGTAATAATAATTATTTTTTAGAGAAGAAAAAAAAACTTGAAAATTTGCAACAAAACAAAAAAAAATTATTCAAATCGATAATTATGATTACTACTGATGATGATCCATATATGATAATAGTGGAGAAAAAACAAACAAACAATGTGAATTTCAATTGTTTATTTTTAGTTTTATGAAGAAAAAATGAAATAAAATATTTTATTTATTTCATTT